GATATTCTATTCGAATTTTAAATTATCAATCTTTATAAATTAAGGCTTTTCAGAATATATTTCTATTAGAGAAAAAAATATTCCTAAATTTTATTTTAATAAAATATTTCCCATAAATTCCACATTTGTAATTTATATATAGTCATTTGAATTTAACGTAATCAAAGGATTGGATTATATTGAAATTATTGATTAATCTATGCTAAACTAATTTTTTATTGTAATTTGATTAAGAGAGATGTTACTGAATCCAGAAACTTATAATAATTAGGAGTGAGAAAAACAATGGCTAAAACAATTTGATGATGTTTGAACTTTTTAGGCTTGATGCAAATTTTCATATATGGCATTTTGAATTCTTATAAATGGAACAGCTAATAATGATATGAAACGATAATTTGTAGTATTTCTTAAAAAGATATTTTAAATAACTAAGCTATGGCAGTTAATCGTTATAAGAAACTACTCTTAATAACAAGATAGAGTATTATCTTCAAAATAAAGGTTTTCTAACAAATATGTTACTTATGATGTTGATTATTTTTATTCTGTAGCAAATAAAGAAAAATGTTATATTATATTTTTCCTTATCTTAATATTATTCATCTAAATTTCTGAACTTAAGAGTAGTGATGAGATCTATGAAATAAACTAACTTGATATAAGCTGATTATCCTTCATGAAAATATCATTGCAATAAAATTTGTAATTAAAAATGATGAATTTTGAATTGATAAGCTAATTTGACATAATTTAAATATTGTTGATTGTTAGAATAGTTTTTTCAATGCTATTTATAAGATTTATATTATTAAATATAGAATCTTTAATAGACATACTATTAATAATAATGTTAGTTAATAGATTCTGAACTTGATTTAAACGCACAATTGATGAATTATAAAATTCACATGAATCAATAATTAAATTTTCTATTTGTATTCTTCTTCTAGCATTTTAAAATTAAAATAAAGTAGAATTTGTAAATAAACAATTCTTAACGTGAAAATTATTAATTATTATGTAATCGCTCTAATCTGTACAAACAATATTAAAAAGTACTTAATTATCAAAAGTTATATTAAAAATTGTGATATTTAAAAAATTTACATTAAGGACATTCTTTCCTTATATGGACATTGAAATTGGAGAATTTCTGGTTGAATAAAATTGCATATCAAGTAAGTTTAAATCTACAGGTAAACCCCTATTATAAAATATCAAAGCTAGCTCACTTTCTATATCAAATATAAGATGATTTAATATAATTTTATCAAATTTTAATAGTGACAATTAAAATTTTTCTGTTCTCAATTAGATAGGATTTGATGTGCCCTGAATTTTTAATCTTGTTAATTACATTGAAAATATGTTTTCTTTAACAGTATTGTCTATAAACTATTCAGAATTGTATATTACACAATCTTCCTATAATTGAAGTGATAATGTCCATTATTTAACTCCTATTTCATTGAAATATTGATAATTATAATATTGATCTAAATCAGTTTGGATGACATCCATGCGATTGCAATAAAAATCGCCCTAATTATAATATTAAAAATACATAATTAAATTCTAAATTGTTGTTGCAACTATTTTAATAACAAAATTATGCAATTTTTAGTTTTGGGTCAATTTGAACTTACTAAGAAGGGATTTTCTAAATGCATCTTGAAGTAAAAATCAAATTATCAGGTGTTATCAGAAAATATGGATTTATTGTCTTTTTTATTTATAATATTTTACATTTATTTCTTCTTTAGGTCTCTCTTAACAAACTTGACATAAGGAAGGACAACTAATACATTTTCCATCGGCTTATACTCTCTTAGGCTCTTTGAAGTAATTTAATTTACACTTAGAACAAAAAAACTATTTTTTAATATTATCAGGTTCACAAACAGAACAAGTTTTATCGCAGTATTTTTGGCATGAATTGCCTATTATTTCATATTCTTGTATGCATTAAGTTATTGATAACTTTGGTCTATATACAAAACCAGTAAAAATAGGTCTATTAGGTAAGAATTGAATTATAAAACCTTGAACTAACCATTTCCAAGGTTCTAAAGAATTCTCTTCAAAACATTATTTTGCAGTTACAATAGGGCATTTTATACAAATTCCTGTTTTGGATGATACTAAATAACCATCATCACAGATTAAACATTTTAGTGTTTATTATAGAGTTTGGATGCATTATAAACAATTTAAAATATATATTTGACAATTGATTATTTCGAAAGCAAAACTAAAATCATTAATTGCAGACAATGTGCAAATTTCTTTATCATCCAAATTAATATAGGATCTTAAACAATTTTATTATTAAGGTTTCTAATAAATGCATTATCCTATTTGGAAGTCAAAAATGAATCCTTCAGTACATTAAGCACAACCTACTTTGATCTCTTCATCGATTAGAGAGTAAATTTGATAAAATCCCAAAGTAGTTTTTGTAGGATCATTTGCGAAATAATTAAAACAATATAAACAATGCTGTATTTGACAGGTTATACATTTTTTTTAAAAATCTATAAAACTAGGAGGTTCACACCTTTATTCATAGAAATTAAATTAAAATAAAGTATATGTTGATTCTAAATATTAACAATATAAATTTATTCCTTAGAGTTAGCATTTTAAACATTCTTCTGAGCATGAATAACAATCATTCTCTAATGATTGGCAAAATCTTTTAAATTTAAATATCGATTCAACTTGATCAATTTAATCAAATGATGGATATTTTAAATTGCAATTAGGACAGTATTATATATCATCTCCTATTAAAATATATTACAAATTTTAATTTGTCAAGTATTTTGTAATGTTTCCATTCTTATCTGTGAGTAATATTGTTTCACAAAAAAAAGTTTGAATCCATTGTTTAGGATCTTATACACATTCCAAACATGTTATGACATTGTTGTTGATTATTGATGGGCTTGTTATATAATTTATCAATACCATTAAAAGCAATCATCATTTAATTCAAAATACCCATATAGACATTCTTCTTTCAACGGCTTTTCTTAAATTATATTAAAATTTAAAGTTTAATAATAAATACATTCATCGTTCTAATCAATAGTTCCATATCCACAAATACATTCTTTAAAATCAGGTAAATATATTCTATTTGATGATTCAAAACATGATAGACAATCTACTTTAGTTGGACCATCACATTCCTTACAAGTAGGATGGCAATTTATAATTGGTTAATTGCTATCTGGACAGTTTAGTAACTATAAACCTATTATTGAGATATTTAAATATTAGGATTTAGATTATAAAATATTTCCATAAAGCAATTTTAATTAAACCATATTAAATTGTTTTACTTCTAAATTCATAATATGTTGTATTTAATCATAGCCTTAATAAAATGTTATTGAAATCGAAATAGAAGTGTCTGTTTTTTCTACTTAGATATAATGCCATATTTAGATATCACAATCTATGTTGAATACTTCAGTCTTTAGAAAGGGATTATTTGAAAAATCAATGTTTAGATTTGGGAATGTATAACTATATGTTTTAAAAATGATTTAATTTCCTAAATTTGAGATTTTGTAAAATAACTGAAATGGACTTAGATTTTCTTAAACCAGTTGTGGATTTTAAAAATTACCCGATAATTTAAACAATTAAAAATCAAATTCATCTTAGTATGAATTAATTTCTTTAATTTTTATCCAACTTGATAATAAAAACTATTAACAATTAGTTTATTGGGATACAAATTAAAATAAATCTTATTTTTGTATTATTACATCATCTATATCAGTTTTTGCACTTTATTGACACCAACAGAAATTTTCTTCATTTGATTAAATTATTTCTAAGAAATAGTCAGGATTATTTAACAAACAATCAAGAAGGTAATCCAAATTTCCTGGAAAGTACGAAAGTAAACTATTTTCAAGATTATAAAGTGGTGAATTCTAGCTTACTTTGAAATCTCCTCCTATAATTAAATTAGAATTAATTCCTTCAAAAGGGTAATCAATTTAGAGTTATTTTGAAAAAATCTAAGTAACTTGTTCATAATAATATATAGTGACTTGTTTTTATGAAGGAATTGTAATAAATCCTTAAAAATTCCAGACATATTCATATGATTCTTCATTAATTTGGATTTCCTCAATAAAATCACTGCCATCACTACCTAAAAATTAAAAATATTTTTTGATTGTTTTTTATTCAAAATTGACACATTCGTATTACAGAAAATATACTTAACTATTTGTCTTATCCTAAATTCGAAACAAATGAAAACAACTACTATCAAGTATTCCTATCTCTCCGATTTATACAACATTACTAAGTGGCACATATCTACTCCAAACTCCGAATCCAGCACAATTAATATCGGAATCCATCTCATTTTCTATTGATTAAATAGTAAATGGATTAATTGATGGTAAATTTAGTATGCGCCAGGATATTGAATTCTAAACAACGATTATTGCTAGCAAGTATAATGTATAAATTCTCATTCCTGAAAACTTAAAATTAAATTAATTATGAGTCATTATTAGATATTCAGAAAATATATTTCAGAATTATTTAATATCATTTAATCATCGAATGTATTTAATCAAATTTAATTCTTGACTTTTTATTTTTTTAAATAATAATTAATTCAATAATATCAAGACAAATTTTAGCATAAGACTAAACTAAAATGGAATTAATGGGCAGTTTTGAATTTTATCTATTCACCCATAAGTTTATTTAATTAAAATATCTATAATTATTTCTGTATGGACAATGTAATCTATATCAAAGATATCAATCATATTGTTCTATGTTTATGCTAAAAAATTATGAATTATTCAGAACTTATTTATATTATTGATTATAATTGATATATATCGACTAAAAAAATATATAAAATAATTTTACAAATTCTAAGTATTCAAATTGTAATTATTAGTATTATTTTACCTAAGGATGAATGGAATAAATACAAATTAATTTAGTGCTTTTCAAGTTATGTATTTCAATTTTTATTACATTATACAAATTAATTTTAAGAATTATTACATATTTTTAACAATAAAAAATATTTAATTATGTCTATATTATTCATTTTTTTAATAAAATTTACTTTCTTATTTTCTACTTAGACAAAATTATCTTTTTAGGTTTCAAAATCAAATTTAGAATCTTAATAAAAATTTGATTTTCATTCCTTCATAGCTGATTTTATTATTATAGTTCATAAATACTATTTTTAAATTAATAGTATATATTTTATATGATAATTAATCTCTTCCACAAGATATTAAATATTAAAAAGAAAAATTGTAATAAAATGCTCAAATTGTTTCTTAATATTTTTCAACTTATACTAATAAGCTAATTTATTCTAAACGAAATTGATTTTTTGACTATTATTCTATATCAAAAAATAATATAGCCTATAAGTCTTATTAAAGTTTGCTCTGCTACAATTTTACCATCACTAAATTTCAAAATATTTAGATCTTATTGAAGTGTTAGAACCCTAATTGAAGTTATTTAATTGATTATTAAATAATAACATTAAATAATGAAATATGATAAATAATTTAGTTTTCTATCCCAAATCGTTTGTTTTTCAATTCATTTACACAGTTTTAATGTTCATATTTAGATATATTCAACTTACTTATTACTTAAATATTCCAATGTCTCTAATTCAATAAAACACAAAAAAATTATATTGAACTAAATCATTAATTTATAATATCCATTATTCTAGAAATCTACCAAAAGAAACTATCATTTTCTAGATTCCCATTATAGAAACATTTGAATCATTTCTTCTTTATCCTTGTTTTAAGTATTATACGGAAATGATATCTTGTAATCTTGAAGCAATTAAATGGAAAATTAAGGTCTCGTCTAATCTGAGAATAGGAAAGCATATTTTTTATGATTTATAGATTAAATTTAGATTTTCAAATCATTTCCATATAATTTTCAAGTTTCATCAAGTAACATACCTTTTAGAGCAACTTCTAGTTAGATGAACTTTTCAAGTTGAAAAACGAACAATATGTCATATGGATTGCTTATCATTATTGAGATTAATGGAAAGCAGTATTAGTGTGATAATCTCAAAATATAGTTGTATATTAATTTAAGAATACATTTCCTTGAAAATTCGAAAATGTGTTGTGTTAAAGGTGATTTCAATTAGAGATTATGTAACTATATCATATTTCTAATAATTTTTTTTATTAAATATTAAAAAATACATCCTTAATGATTTAATTTTGAGATTATTTAAGTATTTAAAAAAGCATAAAGAAGCAAATAATGATATAAGAAATCATATAGAGAGAATATCAAATTTAATATTTGGTTTGATGATTAATCATAATGATAATATGAAAATTTTCAAATTAAATATAAATATTATTAAATTATATAAAGCTAATTTTCTGATAGAATAAGTTATAGATTTAAATTCTATTAATTTGTTTTTAAAGTATATTATTATTTTTATGTAAAAGTCTAAATAGCAATTAAATCAGGAAATAAACACTAATGAGAAATCATTGTAGGGAAAATATGTAATTAACTATGATTTAGAAGAACAAGAATTCAATGCCATTACTACGAAATAACTTGTTCAGCTCTTAACTCATTTAAATAAATTTCTGCTTCTTCTATTTCTAATTCTTTTTGAAGGTTGATTTTAGTAATTTTCGGAGGTATTATTTACAACTGAGTTATTGTATTGTATTAATGGCAAGCTCCTTTACATCTATTTTGAAGTAATATAAGAGATCCAAGTAATATAGGTATTTTTAAATCGCAATATAATACATCAAATAAATTATCACTCTAAATCTGAAAACTTTCAGAATTTTGACTTTCCTCTTCTGAATTAGAATTATATACCAAAATGTGTACAGGAATGAATGGGAGTGACTTTGAAGTTTTAGCCCAATCAGATTTGAAGTTAGATTTAATCTAGAAGGCTATTAAGAAATAAATCAAATAATATCTAAAACAATATATTGTATTTTTTTTATAAATCATCAAACTTGTAATACTTTTATAGAACTGAATGCGTCTACAATCTTAATTATTATAATTTTTTTATAAATTTTATTTACAATTGTTTCTCTAAATTATTTTAACATCTAAATATTCTATAGTTGTAAATTTTTGAAATACCTTATTTTCTATAATAATCATGAAATATAAAGATCATTTACTTGATTTATTCAATCAACACTTAATTGATATTCTTTATCAATATGTTAATTTTTGAAACAACTTCAATTTTCAGAAGCAGGATTAATGTAACCTATGATGAAAGGAAATAAGCAGGTCTAAATAATTATATTTTTACAATTAAATTGGGAAGAAAAGTTAGGCAGTTGAGAGTAAACTCTACTTATAAATACTATTGCATGTTGAAGTTAATAAAAATGTTTTAAGTTTAATGAGGTAAAATAAATACATGATTGTTAAAATCATATGATAACTCTTAATAAATTTAAATTATATATTCCTAAATGAATAATTTTCGATGAATTTACATTATTTATTTTACTGTAAAAGGTTTATTAAACTAATTTTATAGTGGCATATACAATTAAAAGTATTCATTTAGTAAAATAATATTATATTTTCAGAAAATTTTAGAATTAAATTATGAACCTTTTCCAATTAGAATTTTATTTCAAATTAGTTAAGAATTATATAATTCAATATATCCTTTTAAATTTAATAATAACCATTTTTAAGTAATAAATATTCTTTCAGATTACTAACTTTTCATAAACTTTATTTATATATTTATTTTATTATATATTTTATTCCGAATAAAATGAATACCACAACATTTTCTTCATGTAGATGAAACCTTTATAAGAACAGATATAATTAAATTTTAATATCATCAATACCAAATATCCAATATTTTTTATTAAATAGGTTTTTCAAATACTTCCATTTTAGTATACTTTTTTAATAACACATAGATATGATATATTCTAACTAGAGCAATTTTTAATCTAAGATTTTATTGAATCACATCATCTAAGTGTTTTTATTACTGAGTTTTTACATTTTTCAAATAAAAATATATTTATTGTAAAAGGAACACTAAATTTTATTATCTTAATTAAAGTACCATTAGTTTTCTCACAAAATAGCAATTAAATTTAAGGTAAAACTTTATTAGTTACAAAATCTTTATTAATTTACATTTTAAAATAAAATTTTGTGAATATATTCAAAAATTATTTTAATCAATTAAATGTGATCTAAAAGATTTAATGTTGTACTATAAGATTATATGGCTCATAATTAAACTAAATTCTAAATGGAGAATGCTTTTTTAAGTTTATAGTTTTTTATCATAAATTATCTAGTAATAATCATCAATTTTGTAACTGTTTTATAAAAATATTTTATTGTTATTGATGTTATGGCTCAACCTCAGTCTTTGAATCTTATTGGAAATTGCTCGAAGTTAAATTAATAGTTATTTATCTTTTATTAAAGTTACACCTCTTATTTTTCTCTTTTTTAATTAACATTACAGGTTTTTGAACTTCTTTTTAAAACATTATTTCCTCTAGATCATCTACCTATGGTCCGTTAAAATATTCAATCGAAGATTTTCTTCAATTAAAAGTATTAAAATTGTTTAAGCTACTGAAAATAAATTAAGAAAATGTTTTAGTTTATATAGTCATCTAATGTTGTTATTCACATCACATTATTTGAAACTTAAAATTTCTAAAAATTATTATTCTTTAAATTTAAAATTTGTAAATCATAAATATCTTCTACACCATAAGATGATTAAGTATATAATAAAGTTGATTATAGTGTATAGCTTCAACAGCAATCAAATATTCATAAGAAATCAATTTTTACTAAATGATTGAGATTTCTTTTTGAAAGTTTTGCTTTGAGTAAATATAATCCTAATATGATAGAAATATAATAGATCCCAAAAACAATAAATGAAAATATTTTCTCACCAGAAAATATTTATTCATAGCAATGTAGATTAAGTATGTTATTTATATTTCATTTTTCCAAATAAAATTATATTTTTAAATTAAAAAAGCATTATTTGATTGATTAAACTTACTTTTCATTATTACATGTAAAGTCTTGACAAGGAATATTATTGTCTGTTGTTTGATAAATAATATTTATAGTATGTATTATTTGGGAATAGTTAAGACTAAGTAGATTAAAGGGTTAAGTAGAAATAGAACCCTAAGTTCTAATGTTAAAATGTGTGCCATACCATATTTAGTCAATAATGTTTATAATATCAAAAATTATACAAAAAGTTTAATTTTATTGGGAAAAATCTCTGAATATGAGGAAAATATAAGTTCAGCGGAATATTTTCGATAGTCGTCGAGAAAATCATAAGAGTAGGGCAATTATAAAAAGAAAAGTAAAAAATAAATTCCGAATTCTTTCGTTATTTAATTGTTGAAACTTCAATTATTAATCACTTAATTTAAAGAACAACAATTTTATAAATAAAACAATTATAGGGGGTATTTATATTTGACATAGAGTTAGATATAATATTTTAAATCTTATAATGATGAATAAATCTGCCATAATTGTATTTTAGAATATCAAGATAAACAATATTTGGATATAAAACCAAATTTTTAATAAAACTTTCTCTTACTGAAACTTCTCTTTCATTGTCATAACTTAGAAAATAGTAAAATATTATGCTAATGTTCATGTAGATTGGCAATCAAACTTGATATTAGAGCATCAGGTAGAAACATAATTGAATAAAAGATTAGATTTTGCTCAATTCTTTATAGTTCAAATCCAAAAAGAAGCAATAAATATATTGATAGATTAAGTAAGTCGAAGACATAATGTCAAAATTCTTAAATTTGGCAAAGACTAGATTAGTTTAAAATAAAAGATTATTATAAACTCCATCAATGATGAGAATATTAGGGGGCAATAAGTTAAAATGACTATTTTGCGTATTAAGTACCAATTAGAACCATTAACAGAGAAATTTATGCTCAACATTTGATTGAATTATATGTGAATGTAAGCAGTCTTTATTACAGAAAATTTTTCATTTTAATTTTGAATAATTCTTGAATTCCTGTTAAAAAGGTTTAAAAAATCTTGAGAGCATGATTGTCAAATAAAAGTTTTTTGGACAATTTTTAGTAAAATTAGCAAATCAATATTCTAGTTCGGAAAAATATCAAATAAGACTTGAGAATAGTCCTTTAAATTAGAACTTGTTTTTCAGGAAGAAATAATTTATTTCTTAAAGATCATTAAAATATTATTTTTTGGACAAAAAACTTTCATTCATCATTAAACAATCCTAAATGCTAATTGTAAAAACAAGATAGCATCAATAAATAGTTTTGCATTTACTTGGATGATGTTACCAAATTGACTATTAAATGCAAGTGGAGTATAAGTAAAATAATAGATAATCTGAAGGAAAATTTAATAACTGTCTAATAATCAAATATCTGATTAAATAATTTTCATATTATTATTTAAATAACAAAGTTTCAAAAATATATATGATAATGTAGTAAGATTGAATTTATGGATAAATATATTTCATGTAATTGATAAATTGACATTTAATCCTCAAGACCTAACGCTTTTAAAACTTATCACTTTATGAGTGTTAGAAATACCAATTAATTTGCTTTAGAAATTGTCTGAATAGTATAAAGAAAGTTTATTGTGATGAGAAAGTATTTGTCAAAATACTTATACTTAAATTTAGTTGCTAAAAGATATTATGAGTAATATTCTGAAATACTTTCTGTGGTAAATTATAAAAAAACTGAAAAACCTCCATTTTCAATACCATAGAATTATTGCAGCAAATTCTCCAAATTCTTCAAGACTACTGTGAGAATGATAGAAAATTTGTAAATGAAATTTTGCCTCATTGCCTGAAATTATTAATTTATATATGATAATAGAATATTTTTACATTTTATAATTAATATATTTTCATTCTCTAAACTTTCTTATTTGTATTTCATTTGATCCATTATCCCATGTGATCAAAAATTCTCCATCATTACTTAATTAACCAAAAATATTATAAGTATCAAATTCAATAAATTTTTCAATTAAAAAGTCACCATTTTCTTTCTTCCTTATTAAATTAACATTTTAACCATTCTTATTCACTAAGAGGCATTTTGATTTTATGAACTATTATGGAAATAAACAATCATCACTAAATGAACCAAACTTTACAAAAATTTCTTTAATCTTCTTATATTAATTAGAATTACTATCCCTCTCATATATATACATTTATTCTTTAAAATAAGGTTAGTATGTAAATTACCTATCATTAATAAAACATAATCTAAATCCAAATATATCTAATTTTATCTTTTATGTAACACTCCATTATTTATCCGACTTTTTTGATTCTATTACTAGTATTTATAAGTCATGTGAACAAGAAATTAATTCATTCTATTGTTCATTTAGGCTTAATGAATATACACTATTAGTGTGATCAGTTATTGTTTATTAACACTGCCATTTATCTTTTTTTATCCAAAATTTAATTTTTGTGTCATGGCTGCCTGAAATAATAAGATCATCAAAGTTGTTCAATAATAAACAAAATATATAATTTTAATGTCCATCCAATTTCTATTGACAATCCCATTATTTATCACCAATCACCTACCATATTATAATTGAATTATCATGGCTGCCAGATACAAAATTATTATTATTGCTCATGAAATTTAATGTTGTTACATGATTCGTATGCTTATTTAGTAATTGTATTTAATTTAGTTTCCCTTACATATGTTGAAATATTTTAATTTCATTATTACATCCAGCTAATACGATAGAGTAATCTTTATTAAAAGTAATAGCTAAACACAATTAATTCTACTTAACTGAATTCTCATTTATTAGCTAAAAAGTAAAAGTGTTTATATTTTAAGCCACATTTTTTTCTTTTAATTCCATATTTATTTTTGTTTAGTTTACTAAATCAATTTTAATTAAAATGATGAAATATATAGACTAAATTGTTACTCTACATTTTTAGCAGGATGGATGAATTTTTTTAAGTTGAAGATGATCAATGTAGGATTAAAATATCTAAACTAAAATTGCTAGGTGAAACGAAATAGATAATTTTATTTATACATTTAATTCTCTAATAATTTAGAAAATCGTAGAAAAAAAATTAAATTCTTCAATTTATTCTTCTACTTTATTTAAAGTATTTTCAAGTCTTTATAGTATTTGGTAAAAAATGATAAAGGTAAAACTTTAATTTATGTTAGTTTATATTTGAATATTATTTTAGTTGTTGATTATAATTTTGTTAATAGCTTCTATTTTTTTTAATATGTATAATATTCATACCATTTTTTGTCAAAAGATATCTAGTTCAATATTTGTAGGATTTTGAAATAAATCAATAATAATTGGAATTTTCGAGAATAATACTTTAATTCGTTTTACTTTTATTTATATACATATATTTATATCTTTTTAACTTTATGTTAAATAAATAATCATCTTCAAAAGATGGAAATATGCAAAAAATTGAGTAGAAATAGATTTCAGACCAATTTGAGAATTGAAATACCAAAAATACTGTTTTTTGGAGATCCTTTTCATTTTTTTAGATTTTATAAAACATCTTTAAATTCAGATAGCTGGATTTAATTTATATTTATAAGCCAAGAAATTAGTGTTGGATTATTCAGATAAATATTACATAAAAAGATTAAGAATAAAAGTGGTAGTTATATTAATATGTTATAAATATACTATTAATTTTGAAATAGTAGTTATGAACTATAATAACAAAACAATGATGAAGCAATGAAAATCAAATTTTTTTACAGATTCTAAATTTGATTTTTAAACCTCAAAAAATAAATTTGTTGAAGTAGAAAATAAGAAAATAAATTTTATATAAAAATAAATAATATAATGAGGAGTTTTCCTGTAATTAATATCAAAGTAAAGAATTTATTGTTGTTAGACATAATTTCATTTGTTTAATGTATTTAGCTTATTTTTCATTATATCCTCAATTAGAAATAATTTTTTATTGTTTTAAATTAAATTAATTATTTAAATTTCGGCTTTAATAAAATTAAAAAAACTAAAGTAATTTAGAATTTTTGTCCTATCCTATTGTTGATACAGAATAAAAATTGTCATCATAAGTAAAATATTTGTTAGAAAATCTTTATTTTGAAGATAATACTCTATCTTGTTATTAAGTGTAGTTTCTTATAACGATTAACTGCCATAGCTTAGTTATTTAAAATATCTTTTTAAGAAATACTACTAATTATCGTTTCATATCATTATTAGCTGTTCAATTTATAAGAATTCAAAATTCCATATATGAAAATTTGCATCAAGCCTAAAAAGTTCAAACATCATCAAATTGTTTTAGCCATTGTTTTTCTCACTCCTAATTATTATAAGTTTCTGGATTCAGTAACATCTCTCTTAATCAAATTACAATAAAAAATTAGTTTAGCATAGATTAATCAATAATTTCAATATAATCCAATCCTTTGATTACGTTAAATTCAAATGACTATATATAAATTACAAATGTGGAATTTATGGGAAATATGTTATTAAAATAAAATTTAGGAATATTTTTTCTCTAATTCTGAAAAGCCTAGAGTTTAGATACATTATAAACAATTTAAAATATATATTTGACAATTGATTATTTCGAAAGCAAAACTAAAATCATTAATTGCAGACAATGTGCAAATTTCTTTATCATCCAAATTAATATAGGATCTTAAACAATTTTATTATTAAGGTTTCTAATAAATGCATTATCCTATTTGGAAGTCAAAAATGAATCCTTCAGTACATTAAGCNGATATGCAATTTTATTCAACCAGAAATTCTCCAATTTCAATGTCCATATAAGGAAAGAATGTCCTTAATGTAAATTTTTTAAATATCACAATTTTTAATATAACTTTTGATAATTAAGTACTTTTTAATATTGTTTGTACAGATTAGAGCGATTACATAATAATTAATAATTTTCACGTTAAGAATTGTTTATTTACAAATTCTACTTTATTTTAATTTTAAAATGCTAGAAGAAGAATACAAATAGAAAATTTAATTATTGATTCATGTGAATTTTATAATTCATCAATTGTGCGTTTAAATCAAGTTCAGAATCTATTAACTAACATTATTATTAATAGTATGTCTATTAAAGATTCTATATTTAATAATATAAATCTTATAAATAGCATTGAAAAAACTATTCTAACAATCAACAATATTTAAATTATGTCAAATTAGCTTATCAATTCAAAATTCATCATTTTTAATTACAAATTTTATTGCAATGATATTTTCATGAAGGATAATCAGCTTATATCAAGTTAGTTTATTTCATAGATCTCATCACTACTCTTAAGTTCAGAAATTTAGATGAATAATATTAAGATAAGGAAAAATATAATATAACATTTTTCTTTATTTGCTACAGAATAAAAATAATCAACATCATAAGTAACATATTTGTTAGAAAACCTTTATTTTGAAGATAATACTCTATCTTGTTATTAAGAGTAGTTTCTTATAACGATTAACTGCCATAGCTTAGTTATTTAAAATATCTTTTTAAGAAATACTACAAATTATCGTTTCATATCATTATTAGCTGTTCCATTTATAAGAATTCAAAATGCCATATATGAAAATTTGCATCAAGCCTAAAAAGTTCAAACATCATCAAATTGTTTTAGCCATTGTTTTTCTCACTCCTAATTATTATAAGTTTCTGGATTCAGTAACATCTCTCTTAATCAAATTACAATAAAAAATTAGTTTAGCATAGATTAATCAATAATTTCAATATAATCCAATCCTTTGATTACGTTAAATTCAAATGACTATATATAAATTACAAATGTGGAATTTATGGGAAATATGTTATTAAAATAAAATTTAGGAATATTTTTTCTCTAATTCTGAAAAGCCTAGAGTTTAGATACATTATAAACAATTTAAAATATATATTTGACAATTGATTATTTCGAAAGCAAAACTAAAATCATTAATTGCAGACAATGTGCAAATTTCTTTATCATCCAAATTAATATAGGATCTTAAACAATTTTATTATTAAGGTTTCTAATAAATGCATCATCCTATTTGGAAGTCAAAAATGAATCCTTCAGTACATTAAGCCCAACCTACTTTGATCTCTACATCGATTAGAGAGTAAACTTGATAAAATCCCAAAGTAGTTTTTGTAGGATCATTTGCGAAATAATTAAAACAATATTAACAATGCTGTGAGCTATTTTCTATTTTTAGTTAATTACTTGTAATTTTTTGAAACCCTTATATAGTTGTAATCAGAAAATAATAATACATCTAAATATCATTTATCAGTTTGGGAGATAAAATATGCCCAATTTATCTCTCTAGTCTATTTGATTTATACTATTGAATTTCCAAGTTAGGAAATTCTCCAATATATACTTCTAAATTTCAATAAACAAATAGTTTACATATAAATTTTAATTTTATAAGTCCATTCTGATTTGTTAAAGTAAGTCTTAAAATAAAGGAATAAGATGTTAGTTAACTATTAATTCTTCTATTGAATTGTTAAGAATATTAAAATTGATTTCAATAAACAAATAGTTTACATATAAATTTTAATTTTATAAGTCCATTCTGATTTGTTAAAGTAAGTCTTAAAATAAAGGAATAAGATGTTAGTTAACTATTTACTTCCCAATGAAGCTGTTAAATTACAAATATTTGTTTCTTCATAAGTATCAAAGTGAGATTAAAAAAATAATCACACATTTTTTTCATAGACCAAAAGACTACTATTATTTAGTAAGTTATATTAATTCTTCTATTGAATTGTTAAGAATATTAAAATTGTTCATTTGATTAAAATTAATTTACTTGAAATGAATAGCATTTTTTAATTCATTTTAAGTTTTTAATCTATAGCTAATAGAATATATGTAATCAATCTGATTTTATTTTCTTGATTTAATACATATTCTTATTTTATTCAGTATTTAATTATAAACAATTTAATTTGTTATTTTAGAGATATATTTTATTGCTACAATAAATTAAATTATTAAGATATTTTCAATAATTCAAGATTCATTCAGTTCAATATAAATTTAAAAATTATAATAATTTATCACTAAAATATTATATTTAGCTTTACATGATTATTTTATTCATTCTCTCATTTGCCATTTGCTGTACACATTTTTGTATAAAATTGCTGTGATTTCTTTGTCTAAATCAATAATTATTGCATATTTTACCTATAATGATTGTTCATTATTTTCTATTTTTTGATCTAATGGTTACAGCTACTTTTACTAAGAATTGATGATTCAACAAGTTTATCATAAATTATTCCAAAATCAAAATTTTTTAGGTTGTTTTTTTGAAAAATAAAAGTAGAAATTTTATCTTCTAAATTTATTGTATTCTGAAATTTACATAAATATATTAATAAAGTTCATAAACAATTTAGTAGAATTCAAATCAATAACTAATTCAATCAGAAATTTTTCTTGATAAATTTTTATAATATTTTATATATTTCCATTCAGACTTTGATAAAGAGTATATTAATCTTTAAATCCTTCTTATTTAATTTTTTTACAAAAAACCATTAATTATTATAGTGTGGAATTATGACTATTTATTATGAATTTGGAAATTTTTCCCATAAAAATTATGATTGGTCATCTATCGGAATATTAACTTTGATATTCAACTATATATAATTTTTTATGTAATAATTTGATTGATTATTATTATTTAGATTCTAAAATAATGAAAAGTTCAAAAATTTAAAGATTAATCTTTTTTCCACTAAATTAAAAATTGAAGAAGCCTAAGATGTGTTTTTAGAATTTTTATCATTTCAAATTTTAAGGAAGGCCTTTATGTTAGAATTGATACATAGTACAATATCAAATTTTGAATCATTATATCTAAATTTCTGAAATTCGTTTAAAACTCTATTAAGAACTATAGTGAAATAAAAATAATATATAAAACCAAAGTAAAATAATCAAATCCTATCTAATTAAATGAACTTCACCATATTTAGATATATAATTATTATCAATGTTCAAATAGAATTTCTAGTAAAAATCTGCATGACAAATGAATTTCGATGCACAACATAAAATGCGCATTTTCCCTTGAGAAACTAGTCTCAAAGGGGGGTTTAAGAAGTTGTCTGTTTACAAGTCCTTAAATCTTACTTTTTTCCTTTTGTTTTGATTTCCTGAATCTCATGGTCAACATTCGTTCCAGAGTGTTGTAGGACGCTATTATCTTTATTTAGAGATGGAGAGGACAACCTTTCAGATGACCCAAATTATGAAATCATCAGACATAAAGTTAATTAAATTTTTTTTTTTTTTAAATTTTGATGTACAAATATTTGTAAATAAATACTAATAAGATACAAAATATTTAACAATTTATTAAACAGATGCTTTAATGGAATCTGAATATATTTAATCATTATTAATACACATTTTATTCATATTTTTCCTGATTAGAATATTTCTTTAAAAGTAAAGGGAGAAAATTTTGTGTTTAAATATTGATAATAAATTGATATTTCCAACATGACTTTCTTCCATTAATCTCAGAACTATCAATGCATTTTAAGTATTGTTTATTTATAGCCTTTAGAAGTTCATCTATTTCAATATAAATGAAATGGTACTATATAAACTGAATAGAAAAATCTAAAGAAATAATTTAAGAATCAAAAATATAGAACAAATTTAATATTTCTTAAAGTATTAAAAATATATATACTTTCATATTCTCAAATTATATATATTCTTAATTTTTTACATATAGCCCTAAAATTCCGAGAGAAATATATCCACTTAAAACAATAAGATTAAATTCATTCTAGCTTTCCTGAAAAAAAATCTATAATTTATTCATATATACATCAATATAGTAAAAATGCATGAGGTTTAGAATGGAGTATAGAAAGGTTTTGTTTTGAGCCCTTATTTGTTTGAAATATCTTTGTTATTTTCACTAATTTTAAGGAGAATTAAAAAATTAATGAAATGCTTTAATGAGGAAGGAGAGGGAAAAGGCTAATTATGAGTTTTGTCTTTGTAATCTTGCGTTAATCTTCTTGCTACAGCAAGTATAGTTCTAATAGTTAGAAATAAAATCTAAAGGTTATTCTAACCATAGGCTCGTTAATGTGTAATTTTGATATATTATAAATTAATATTTTCAAGAAATAAATTTTTTTTGAATTAAACTATTCAATAATCAATTCTATATAGATTAATTAGTTTATTTGAATAGATTTCTAGAATAGTTGATATTATAAATTACTGATTGAGTTAAATTATTTTTCATTTATTGAATTAAGCAAATATGTATATGAAAATTATAAAATTATTTATAAAATATATAATATTAATAAAGACAGGTAAAAAATTTTGAATGCTAATCCATTAAAAATATCACTTATATATAAATTATCTAAACATTAAACCTTAAGATTCTGACCATAAATATGTATAAATATCTATTATTTGAAAAAAATGATATATGATCAGGTAACTTGAATCATATACCTTATTAAATTTAAGACATTAATTATCCATCTTAAGCAGCTATAAAACATAAATTAATTGACAATTTTATAAAATTTAAATTTTACAATCCATTTAGTTTTTAATTATATAACTTCAAATATAGTTTCAAAATTTCATTATAATCTAAACATTTGGAAATTTGATGATGGTAAAATTGAAGCAAAGCTAACTTTTGAAGACATAAAAGCCATATTTATTATTTGATATAGAATTATAGCCTGAAAAATTGAGATATAAGTTGGATTGAAAAATATTAAGGAACAATTTGAGCATTGGATAACTATTTTTCATTAAAATTTTTAATCTCTGTGGAAGGGATAAATAAATCTTTGTTTAGATAAAATATTAAGAGTAAAAATGGTAATTATATGAATTAGTTATATTAAATGTACTTATTTATTTTAAAATAATATTTATGAGTTATATTAATAAAATAATTGGAGAAGGAATGAAATCAAATTTATAAAAGATGACTAATTCATTGGGTGCCTTATGATTCTAAAATTCATTTCATATCTATTTTTGAAAACCAAGTGATAAATTTGTCTAAATTAGAATTAAGAAAATAAACCCTAAAACAATTAGAATGCAAATTTTTACCATATCAATTTGTAATATGAACAACATTTTGTATTCTAAAAACTATGTAAAATAATAATTAATTATTTGTGGTTTTAATTAAAACTGAAATTATTTAATCAAATTAGTCTTTTATAATTTATTATATATTATAAATACAGAAATTTATATTATCTTAATTGGGNGGCTCGTTAATGTGTAATTTTGATATATTATAAATTAATATTTTCAAGAAATAAATTTTTTTTGAATTAAACTATTCAATAATCAATTCTATATAGATTAATTAGTTTATTTGAATAGATTTCTAGAATAGTTGATATTATAAATTACTGATTGAGTTAAATTATTTTTCATTTATTGAATTAAGCAAATATGTATATGAAAATTATAAAATTATTTATAAAATATATAATATTAATAAAGACAGGTAAAAAATTTTGAATGCTAATCCATTAAAAATATCACTTATATATAAATTATCTAAACATTAAACCTTAAGATTCTGACCATAAATATGTATAAATATCTATTATTTGAAAAAAATGATATATGATCAGGTAACTTGAATCATATACCTTATTAAATTTAAGACATTAATTATCCATCTTAAGCAGCTATAAAACATAAATTAATTGACAATTTTATAAAATTTAAATTTTACAATCCATTTAGTTTTTAATTATATAACTTCAAATATAGTTTCAAAATTTCATTATAATCTAAACATTTGGAAATTTGATGATGGTAAAATTGAAGCAAAGCTAACTTTTGAAGACATAAAAGCCATATTTATTATTTGATATAGAATTATAGCCTGAAAAATTGAGATATAAGTTGGATTGAAAAATATTAAGGAACAATTTGAGCATTGGATAACTATTTTTCATTAAAATTTTTAATCTCTGTGGAAGGGATAAATAAATCTTTGTTTAGATAAAATATTAAGAGTAAAAATGGTAATTATATGAATTAGTTATATTAAATGTACTTATTTATTTTAAAATAATATTTATGAGTTATATTAATAAAATAATTGGAGAAGGAATGAAATCAAATTTATAAAAGATGACTAATTCATTGGGTGCCTTATGATTCTAAAATTCATTTCATATCTATTTTTGAAAACCAAGTGATAAATTTGTCTAAATTAGAATTAAGAAAATAAACCCTAAAACAATTAGAATGCAAATTTTTACCATATCAATTTGTAATATGAACAACATTTTGTATTCTAAAAACTATGTAAAATAATAATTAATTATTTGTGGTTTTAATTAAAACTGAAATTATTTAATCAAATTAGTCTTTTATAATTTATTATATATTATAAATACAGAAATTTATATTATCTTAATTGGGTTCTATTTATTCAATTTAAACAAAGTAGTTAGAAATTTTATAATATAAATAAAAAAGTTAAGAATTAATTTTTGATATGTAAATGATATTTATTTATTCTGAAATTTATATTCTTTATAAAATCTAAAAAGGACTCAAAATTAATTTATTTTAAATATTCAGAAATGGGAATTTTTTCATTTTATTTGTTAGCAATGTCAGTTTTTTAGTATTCAATATCCTGGCGAATACTAAATGTACCATCAATTAATCCTATTATTATGGAATCAATAGATGATGATATATATTCAGATTTTAATTGTGCTGGGTTTGGAGTTTGGAGTAGATATGTGCCATTTAGTAATGTTGTATAAATTGGAGAGATTGGAATACTTGATAGTAGTTGTTTTTATTTGTTTCGAATTTAGGATAAGACAAATAGTTAATTATATTTTCTGTAATACGAATGTATCAATTCTGAGTAAAAAACAATAAAGAAATATTTTTAATTTTTAGGTAGTGATGGCAGTGATTTTATTGAGGAAATCTAAATCAATGAGGCATTATATGAATATGTCTGGTATTTTTAAGGATTTGTTACAATTCCTTCATAAAAACAAGTCACTATATATTATTATGAATAAGTTACCCAGATTTTTTCAAAATAACTCTAAATTGATTTCTCTTTTGAAGGAATAAATTCTAATTTAATAATAGGAGGAGATTTGAAAGTAAGTCAGAATTCACCATTTTATCGGCTAGAAAATAATTAACTTTCATACTTTCCAGGAAATATGGAATATCTTTTTGATTGTTACTTTTATGAACCTGATTATTTCTTAGGGATTATATAATCAAATTAAAATAATTAGTGTTTGTGTCAAAAAAATGCAATACTTAAAATAGGAGATGTAATAATATAAAAATAAGATTAATTGTAATTTGTTTCCTAATAAATTAATTGTTAATAGTTTATATTCTCTAGTTGGATAAAAATTTAAGAAATTTATTCACAATAAGATGAATTTGTTTATTAACTGTTTAAATTATCAGGAAACTTTTAAAATCCATATATGATTTAAGACAATCTATGTGCATTTTAATTATTTTATAAGTTCTCATCTTAAGGAAATTAAATGATTTTTAAAACTTATAGTTATACATTCCCTAATTTAAATTTAGATTTTTCAAATAATTCCTTTTTGAAGACAGAAATATTTGACATAGATTGTGATATTTAATTATGGCATTATATCTTAGTAGAAAAATTTGATACTTCTATTTCAATTTCAATAACATTTTACTAAAATTATGATCAAATGAAATAAAATAAAAATTTAGAGGTTAAATAATTTAATATGGTTTAATTTAAATTACTTTATGGAAATATTTTATAATCTAAATCAAACTATTTAGAAATTTCCATTATAGATTTAAAGTTTATAAACTGTCCAGATAACGATTAACCATAGATAAACTGCCATCCTACTTGTAAGGAGTGTGATGGTCCAACAAAAGAAGATTGTCTATCATGTTTTGAATCATCAAATAGAATATATTTACCTGATTTTAAAGAATGTATTTGTGAATATGGAACAATTGATTAGAACGATTAATGTATTCATTTTTTAAATTTTAATTTTATTTTAATTTAAGAAATCCCTCTTAAAAAAGAATGTCTGTATGGGTATTTTGAATTAAATGATAATTGCTTTTAATGGTATTAATATATTATATACTAGCCCATCTATAATCAATAATAATATTATAACATGTTTAGTATGTGTATAAAATCCTAGTAAATGGAATCAAACTCTTCTTTGTGAAACAATATTATTAACAGATAAAAATGGAAATATTTCAAACTACTTGACAAATTAAAATTTGTAATACATTTAAATAGGAAATGATATATAATTCTGTTTTGGATGTGATTCAAAAATCCAACATATAATTAATTTGATTAAATTGAATCGATATTCAAATTTAAAAGATTTTGTTAATCACTAGAGAATGATTGTTATTCATGTGCAGAAGGATGTTTAAAATGCTAACTTTAAAAAATAAATTTATATTGTTCAGAAGAATAAATAAATACTCCAGCCTCATTTTATAAAACTGAATATCCTTGCAAACCTCCTAGTTTTATAGATTTTTATGAAAAATGTTTTACTTGTCAAATACAACATTGTTTATATTGTTTTAATTATTTAGCAAATGATCCTACAAAAACTACTTTAGGATTTTATCAAGAAAACTATTTAGTTGATGAAGAGATAAAAGTAGGTTGTGCATAATGTACTGAAGGATTCATTTATGACTTCAAAAAAGGATAATGTATTAATAAGAAACCAACTTAAGAAAATTGTTTAAGATCTTTTATTGATTTGAATGATAGAGAAATTTGCACATTATCTGCTATCAATGATTTTAGTTTTGCTTTAGAAATGATAAATTGTTAAATTCACATTTTTAATTGTTTACAATGCATATAAACTCCATAATAAACTTTAAAATGTTTAATCTGTGAAGATGGTTATTCAGTATCATCCAGAACAGGAATTTGTCTAAAATGCCCTTATGAAACAACAAAATAATGCTTTGAAGATAATACCTTAGATCCTTGGAAATGGGTAATTCAAGGTTTTATAGTTCAATTCTTACCTAATAGACCTGTTTTTAATGGTTATTTATATAGACCAAAATACTTAATAACTGAATGTTTACATGGATATGAAACGATAAGAAATGAATGTAAAATATACTGCGATGAAACATGTTCTGTTTGTGAACCAAATCCTATTATAAAAACGTTTTTTTGTGGGAAGTGCAAATTAAATTACTACAAAGAGCTTTTGAGGGTGCAACTTGATGGAAAATGTATTAACTGTCCTTCATTATGTTAAGTTTGTTAAGAAAGACCTAAGGAAGAAATAAATGTAAAATATTTTAATTAAAATAGAAAATAAATCCATATTTTATTATAACTCCTGAAAATTTGAAATATACTTCTAGATGTATTTAGAAAATACCTAATCATTAAGTTCAAATTGACCCTATCCTAAATATTGCATAATATTGTTATTAAGATAATTGTAACTACAATTTGGAATTAAATTTTGTATTTTTAATTTTTTAATTAGGGGGGTTTTGATTGCAACCGTCTGAATTATCTCCATACTGATTTAGAAAGATATTATAATTATTAATATTTTAATGAAATAGGGCTTAAATAATGGACACTATCACTTCATATGCAGGAATTTTGTGAATTTAACTATCCTGAATACTTTATAGAAAATACTGTTAAAGAAAACATATTTTCTATTTAATTCATAAGATTAAAAATTTAGGGTACATCAATGCCTTTAAAATTGAATACAGATCAATTTAAATTTTCACTAATAAAATTCGATTAAATCATATTGAGTGATCTTATATTTGATATAGAAAGAGAAATTATTTTCATATTTTAGAATAGGAATTTACCCGTAGATTTAAAGATGCTTAATACGCAATTTTATTCAATCGCAAATTCTCCTATTTCAATCTCCATTCAAGGAGAGAATATCCTTAATGTAAATTTATAAAATATTTCAATCTTTAATATAAACTTTGAAAATTAAGTGATTTTTAATCTTGTTTGTACAGATTAGAGTGATCATATTAAAATTTATAATTTTGAACTAAAGAATTGTTTATTTAGAAATTCTACTTTATTTTTATTGTAAAATGGGAAAAAAAGTATATATATAGAAAATTTAACTATTGATTCATGTGAATTTTATAATTCCTCAATTGTGAATATAATTCAAACTCTAAATTAATTATCTAGCATTATAATTAAAGGAGTGTCTATTAAAAATTCTCTATTAAATAAATTAAATCTTATAAATAGCATTGAAAAAATTAAATTAACTATCAGGAATATTGAAATTGTGTAAATTAGATTTTTGATTAAAAATTTATCATTTTTAATTACAATTTCGATTTTAATGATATTTTTATCAAGGATAACCATTTTATATCAACTTAGTTTATTTCTTAGATCTCTTAAGTGCAAGTAAATTCAGAAATTTAAATGAATAACATTAAAATTTAAGGAAATATTATATAAAACTTTTCTTTATTTGTTATCATTGATAAGACATCCTTTTTTATTTTATTTTAACATTAATTTCAGTTTAAAATTTGACAAAGATTATTAATTAAAAATTATTTTTAGATTATTGATACTGAATAAAAATAGTCATCATCATAAGTAAGTTATTTATTATAAAACCTTTATTTTGAAGATAATATTATCTCTTGTAATTAAGAACAATTTTTTATTACAATTAACTGCTTTAGTTTATGTATTTAAAATATTTTCTTAAAAAATACAACAAATTATCGTTTTATATCATTATTAGCTGTTCCATTGATTAGGATTCATAATGTCATCTATGAAAATTTGCTTCAGGAATAAAAAGTTCAAATATCTTATAATTGTATTAAAAATTGTTCTTCTCGCTCATAATTACTCTAAGTTTCTGGATTCAGTAACATCTCTCTAAATCAAATTACAATAAAAAATTAATTTAGCATAGATTAATCAATAATTTCAATATAATCGAATCCTTTGATTATGTAAAATTTAAATGAAAATATATTAATTACAAATGTGGAATTTATGGGAAATATTTTATTAAAATAAAATTAAGGAATATTTTTTTCTCTAATAGAAATATATTCTGAAAAGCCTTAATTTATATAGATTGATAATTTAAAATTCGAATAGAATATCTTTCATTAATATAATACAGATCCATCTAAGACTTCAGCTAGTCTTTTTTATTTTAATTCAGCTTAAAGCATCATGATATTGAATAATATCATAAGTATAAATAATTCTTTTACAAATTCATCATAGTCATTTTTTTCTATATTTTCATTTGAAATTTTAAAGTTTAGAATCATAATTACATAGATAAGGAATTTTGGATACAGTATTATGAAATTAATTTACAAGAGGAGTAAAGTTATAATGAAATTACTTATGTTATTTCAAATTCTTTCAAAATTGAAACTATTGGAGGGGTTTTATCAACAACAGTTACTAAACTTACTATCTTAATGGAGAATTTAATTATCTTATTGCATAAAGTAGCCAAATTTTTCATATCATTACATAAGGTGATGGAATAATAATTATAAAAAACTGTAGTATTACTAATGCTTATAATTAACTAATTTCTAAAGTTCAAAATGATGGTGCATTTACAATTAATGGCAAAAATAGTTTATTATCAATTAATCTTGAAAATATTACTTTAATAAATGTTTTGAATAAGTTATCATCATCCATTTTTTCAATATATCCTTCATCTACATAAAATAATATTGAATTAAAAAATATCATTTCTTAAAATTGTTACTCACTTGTTTATTAAATAATAAATTTTGAAGCTGATTTTCAGAATGCACAAAAAAATAAAGTAAGAATTGAAAATTTTACATTAATTTAAAATGAATAAGCTTTATTGACTTTTCTTTAATCTCTTGGAAAAATAAATTTAATTGAAATGTAAAAAGTTATCAGTGACAATTCAATCATGAATTTCTAAGGATGTGAATTAATTTTAAATAATATACAAATAGAGGGAATAATTTTATCTTCTATTATTAAGGTTTAAGATTCAAAATTAATCACATTAATGAATTGTAAATTTATTAATATATAAACATTTTATCCTTTGCATTTAGTTGATATATAACAGTAAAATATTTAGTCATCAAGTATATATATTCATAATCTCAATATTTAAAATTTAAGTCATTTTACATTTAATAAATAGAATTTAAAATATTTTGATTTTAATTATATTGAATTAGAGTTTTCTTAATGTAGTTTAAAAATTAATGATGTAGGTGAAAAGTTTTCCAAATAAGAGTTTGATTTAACTTTTTTTGATGATATTTATACTAATTCCAATTAAAATGGATCTTTGATTAAATTAAAAACTCAAGCAAATCAAACTAGAGTATATTTTTCAAAGGTTCTATTATTAAATAATAATTGTAAAAATTGTTTGAATGGCTTACTTTTTTTAGGATTGAATGATTTTCAATAATTTCGAATTTCAGAATTATCATGCATTAATAATTCTATTAAAGATTATGGTTGTATATGCGCTAAAGCAGAGATAAAAATAAACAGTATTTTATTCATTGATCATTCATCTTTTATTTCTAATTATGGAAGATTAGGATCAGGAGTTTTTGTATAAAATTTACGAATAAAGTTATAAAATTCAAAAATTATAAATAATACTGCTTCTTATAGAGGAGGTGGATTCTATTTCGAGGAAGGTACTGATAGATTTACTATTAAATCTACAATAATCATTAATAATTTCGCAGATGAAGCAGGTGGTGTTTTTTTATATGGAAATAGTAGTTTAAGTTAAAATAATTTTGTATAGTCTCTACTGTTATTTAATTTCGCAAAATTTGCTTCAAATAATATAAATGAATTACCCAAATACTTATCGTTATCAATAAATTAACTAGAAATGTAATAATCAGAAAAAATAAGTGAAAATCGTACTTATTAAGTCCTAAAATTAAAACCATATAATATTATATCTTAAGATCATTGAATATAAACCAATTTTTTATTCATTCTTAGTGGTTAATAAATCTTGAATTTTTAACTTTTTAATCCTTACCTTTTCAAATATTTAACCTATCTAACTGAATTCTCAATAAAGCTTAAAAATAGTAGGAACGAACAACAAATAAACTTTTTAAACTCAACTTGTGATGTACAATAATAAATTTTTGATATTAAATCTTAAAAAATAATTGAATTGATTACAGTATCAAAAATAAGCTTTAATCAATAAATTAAAAGCTTTAATTTAGGCTCACTATAATTTTATATAGATCCAAACTAGTAGTAAGATAAAATATAAGAAATTTTAATATATTGTAAAACAGAATATCAAGAGGAAAGTTTAGCTTATAGAATTAGGGTTAACAGCTTTTTATGCCAATTAGGTGAATTTTATGTTTTCTCTGGATGCCAAAAATGTTAATCAGAATAAGGATTTTATTCAGTGACATTCAATACAACAAAATGTTCTCTTTTTGATAAAAATAAATTTGAAGCCATTACATCTAATAAAATTTAATTAAAGCCTGGGTTTTGGAGACCAAGTTAGATTACTGATAATGTAGAATTATGCTATAAAGATCCAAATCATTGTTTAGGAGGATGGGTTGTTGGTGATGACCTTTGTTTTATGGGTCATATAGGAGGATTGTGTGAAGAATGTGATAGATATAATATTAGAGGAGATGGGTAATTCTTTAAAAATTAGTAATAATTGGATTGTTAATAATGTGAATAACTTTCAAAAAGGTTGATAGCGTTTTTCTTAATATCAATATGGTAAATATAATTAATATTTTTAAGGGCTATTTTTTCTACACTTTTAACTATTAGAAGTGTTGAAAGAACAAATTAACTATATGTTTAGCTAAAACTTAATTAAAATTAACAATTTGTTGAAATTTTATTCAAACTCCAACAAGGTATAATAATATATTTATATTAGATCATGAAAGTATTTTACTCAAATTATTTCTTAATTATTTTTGGATTTTTTCACTCATCTTTACATTCAATATTAGTTTTTCAATATCTTTAAACATTGTTAAACCATCAAATGATACTTCTTATTTTATGGCTAATTTTTTTGAATGTTTATTGGCTGAAATTTAAGGAATAGAATTAATTTATAGTAGAATCTTAATTATGTTTGTAATTATGGTCTGTTAGATATTGATTATTTTTATTGGATTTTAACTATTAGATATTCTAAAATACTATAAATTTTATAGAAGAATCATTTCAATTACTGTGTTATATTTGTTTATCTAAAATTATGCATCTTTAATAAATTAGTAAAATTTGTTATGAATTTTAGATTTTTTTCAATTTTGGCAATTAGAAGAATATCTGATTTAAACTACATACAAGGTGATGTCTCCTTGATTTATGGATCTCAGAGTCATATCTCTTGGATTTATGGATTTGTAATACCTGGATCCTTATTAATTGGATTAATTCTACCATTATCTTTATTTTTCCTTCTGTACATAAACAAAGATTAGCATAAGAAAATAACTTTTAGAAGACACATAGGATATTTATTTAATGAATATACTCAAAAGAATTATTTTTGGGAGATTATCAAATTATGGAAGAAAACAATCATTATAATTATCCTAATCTATTTTGAAACTGATATATATTTGAAAGCATCATTGTTAGGTCTTTGCGTATTGATTTATTCAGTAATTGCTTAAAACTATAAACCTTATATACTTCATAAACTTAATATATTAGATATTAAAAGTGCTCAGTTTTGTTAGATTGCAATATTCTTAGCAACAGTAAAATATATTTGTGAATAATAAGATAAAAAAAATATTTCATCTATCATACAAATTATTATCATTATCGATAGCATAGTTTTGGGTTATCCATTTATAATTGATATTCTAAAAGTTTATTATAAAAAGTACAAGTTCAAAATAATGTAATTATTATTAAAAGGATTTTAAACTTTGAGACCTAATTTTATTGTTAAAAAATATCTTAAAAAAAAAATAAGTTTGTTGATTTAGAAAGAAGAAAAGAGTAAGAATAATATCAAAAAATTGAAATAAATGCTATTCTCAAAAAATTAAAAAAGATATTAGTAATATATTTGATTTATTTTTAGACCAAAAATTAGTTTATAATAATTTAATACAAACAGAAAAAAATTAATATAGATAAAAACTGTGAAACTCTTTTAAGAAAAAGTAATTTGATAATTTATTATAAATTTTATTTTAAAAAAATATATTTTCAAATGTTTAGTAAGTTTAGATAGATATCATTTATAATGAGTTTTAATAAAATAAATAATTATCTATGAATATGTAGTCATTTGTTTATATATTCTAATAAGATTAGTTAAGTCATTATAAATCAAAATATTCATAGATATTCATTATAGTATTATAATATTGTACAATAATATTTGGAAAATTTAATCAACCCTTATTGATAAAATTTGATTCCAAATGAAGTTATTAATATATATATTCGAATTGGTAAAATTAATTTGCATAAAAGATTTTTAAATGCAATTAATTCGAATCTAAAAAATAGATTTTTTTAATAGTTTTTAAACTTAAAAATATATAAAATACAAATTTTATTTTGTATCCTTTTTATTTATAAATTGTTTAAAAGTATATTTAATTATTTATGTATTTCTAAGAATAATGATGTATATTTATCATAATATTTATTTGATCACTTGTTAATTAACAGATTTAAAAACAGAAAGTATTCTTAATGATTTCGAATAAATTGCCTTTAATAATTTAATAATGATTCTACAATTGTAAAAACAATTTAAAAATTGTATATTAATGCCTATTTCTAAAAAAATCAAGATTTAAAAAGTATCTCAAGTTTAAATGTTTTCAAGGATAAATATTATTCTCAACTTTAATATTTAACATTTTCAAATTCATTCATAGCAATACCAAAATCATAAATACTTATATCATCTCTTAATAGCTGGAATGCAAAAAAATTTATACTTAAAATTGACTTAGTTTAGGTTTATGTTACAAATTATTAATGAATAAAAATGAGAACATACTATTTTTAAGCAATTTTAGTGAAATTCGCATTTTTTAAAAATAAATAATTGGATGGAAGTGTATTGATACATTACAATCATTAAGCAATAGTGATACAATTAAATAATTATGTTTAAATTTTGAGGAAAATCATTAAGTAATTCATACAAGTATTGGATATAGTGGATCACCCATTATTTTAGTTTATAGAAAAAAATCGAGAAATAAATAAATTTAATGGGTAATAAAATAAAGAATAAGTGAAGAAAATGGAATGATTTGTGCATTTATAAATAATAATTAATTTCTATTTTCTGAAAATTACGGTTTATAATTTTATACACAAAATAAAGATAATTAATGCAAAAATTTTAATAATTTTCTTTTATCTAATTATTAATTTACATCTTTTGAATTTTATCATTAAATTAGATTTTAACCAAGAATGAATTAAGCATAATACAATTATAAGAATAGAAAAAATTAAAATAAAGATAATTTAATCTAAATTGACTTATTTAAATTGCTAGAAGTAGATATAAAGTTTTCTAAATTCAAAAATTAAAGTCTATATTTGGTTATTTTATAAAATTAATTAAGCAAATCAAATTGTATTTTGAAATAAACTGAAATTTAAAATTCAACAGATAATTAGAAAATAGAATGTTAATCCTATTAAGTATCTAATTTTCTTTAAATTAATATTTTTGGATTAAGAATTTCATTAAAAAATTCAACTTGAAATTTTAAGTTAATAAATTAATTGTATTTATATTAATTGAATTTATATATAGATATATAAATATGTTAAATTATTCTTAATAAAATTTAAAACATCAATCTTATAGATATCAGATAATATATTAATATTTGAAATATAAACTAGGGTACTAATAATTTTTAGTATAATGAAATTAGTAATTACAGACATTTTTTTATTGGAAATTTTGGAGATTTGATCATAACATTTTTGATATTTACATAGAACTTATTTTTATTGAAATATCCATGTCAGTATACATTAGCTATTGTAGTATTAAATTTTAAATAATTCTTAGGTTCTTAAAAAACACTACCTCATATTTTGGATTTAAACATTTTAATTGTTTTAATAATTTATTAATGAATCATACAAATCAGATAAGTAATGTTTAAATATTCTTGAAATATTTAATCCTTGTTGCTCTTATAGAGATATAAAATGGGTGTGAATATTAAAATTATGAAGATGGATTGATTTCTATTAAACACCCAATGGCAATATATAATCTAGAAATAGGATGCTCAGAAACAACAGATGAGAAAATATATAGTTTTGGATTTTGGAGTCTTTATATTCCATTATAGGAGTTTCAGAGTTTTCCTTAAGTTACATCTCCTTTCAAAAATAATGTTACTGAAGATGGATAATTAATATTTATGTTGAATGAAATATTCAAAACAACATTAGTAGGCTATTTAAGATTTGATTACACACATCTCTAAGTAATTCACACGATATTGGTTTATAATCAAGAATATGTTGAATAAATATAATTCATATATAATGCTGAAAATTATGAAGGAACTTGGTTATTGTGTTTTATTGCTATTGATACATAAAAAGAAGAAATAAAATTTGAAATGACTGGCTAAGATTCAATCTCAACAAATTTCAATTCAGATTAAGAGAAATTTCAAATTATTTTGGGAGGTCGAGGACATGTAATTAATAAATTATATTTTATGATAGATTTTTGAAACGTTAAACTTAAATATATTTAGAGGAAGGTTGTCAAAATTGATATAAATAGTGCCTTGTGCTTTTGATAAAAATACATTTGAATATATATCGTAATATTGCATGATACCTGAAAAAATCATTTAAGAATAGAGTGTTTATCTAGTAAATTAACTTTAAATATTTGATGGTGATACATTACTTCAAAGTAGTATTGATCAATTAGGCAAAAAGTACTGTTTATCTGGTTGGATCAAATATGACACATCAAAGGTAATTGTAAAGAGCATTTATCCTTTCATTAGATTAACAAATCATAAAAACTATAATAAATAAAAAAATATAGGAGATGAATTATTTAAATTTGAGGTTTGGTTATATAGTTAATTATAATACTTATCCTAAATTGTTGTTCAGGTTGATGTTTATGATATTCCAAAAAGAGGAAACCAGGCAAATTTAGTTGAGATAAATGGATAAAAATTATTATTTGATACTAATAATAACTATTATTTTGAAGGATTACAAAAATGGCATTTTATTAAATATGAATATGGGAGAGAATCTGATAATTAAAAAATGTTATTAGAGATTTAATTTTATAATGAATTGAATTTGAAATAAATATCTTTTGGAAATAGTCGTTATTAATCATCCTTTTTAAATTCAATAATATATTTTTATATAGGAGGAGATGATTTTAATACTGATTTACTTTAAGCATCAATTTATAATTTAAAATTTGAACACAATTATCATTTAGATAAGATACTTTTATATGATGGTATTTATATTTTCAAATCCTTTTAGCATGTCATTACTCATGTTAGGAATGTGATGGACCTATGGAATAAAATTGTTTATCATGCCAAATTAATTCATATAGAATATATTTACCAGAAGAAAAAAGATGCTAATGTCAAATAAATTATTTGAATTAAGAAGGTCAAATGTTATGTAAGAGATATGAGGATGAATTTTCATCAATCATTAAATTTTAAAGAGAAGTTCAGGAATAAATGATTTGTCACTTTGGATATTTTAGAATATTTTTGAATACAAATGATTACATTTGTGTTTAATGGTATTAATATAATTTATTAATTTAAATAGTCCTTAATAAAATAAATTTGATTTATTATGTGTAGATTGTTATTATAATCCTTAATAATGGTATTTGGAATCAGTATGTAAATTAGATTTATTGGTTATGTAATAAAGTTTTGGTAGCTCATATCAATTAAAAGAAAGAGATAAATAAGAGTATGATCTTTATTTGATTGATTTAACTTTTACTTTAGAATTACATGAAGGTTTTTAAGAATATTGTAATCCATTATTAGATGATATAAATTGTCATTAAGTATAATACATGCATCTAGGAAAACAAATTTATGTAAAATGTAAACCAAATTATTATTATTTTGATGATGATTGTCATAGAGTGAATTCTACTTGTTAAAGAGTAGATAAATTAGGGAATTGCATACTTTGTAAATCTGGTATGTACTTATAAGATAACCTTTGTCTCTAATGCCCTGAAGATTGTAATTAATGCAATTTCAATATTTAAACGTAAAAGCCTAATTGTATTTCTTGCTATGAGTAATTTGCTGTTTTTAATGGATTTTGTAAACAATGTGGTTCTTATTGTTAAGTTTGTTAAGATTATTATGATGAAATAATGGACTCAAATTATCTGAAATGCTATAGATGTATTAATGATTAAAAATACTTTATATCTTTTGACGGAATTAATTGTCAGAAGAATTAAATCTAAAATTGTCAATATGCCTTCTAAATTCTATCAAATAACTATTAAATTAATACTTTAGATTATTATTTTTTACCAATTTCATTTCACAAAGATATAATTACTGTTTGTGGTAGATGTATTGTGCCTTATATTTTTGATATTAAAACCTAGTAATGTTTATTGGGAGAAACAGTAAATTGTGAATTTGGTGTTTAAAAAGAAATATTTGGATTATCACCAATTGGTATTGAAATAACATTGGATGATAATAAATATGACTCTTAAGTAGATCTAGACCAAGAGGATAATGATGATCAAAATGGATAGAATGTCAATACAGAAAATATAGATCCAATTATAATAGAACAAGAAATTAGTTTAGAACTTATTGATGATGTCACAGAAATAGAACCTGATATTAGTATTGAACCAGATCCTGAAATAACTGAAGATACTAATACTTCTTATTTTTAATAATATTGTTTGATTGCATAAGACTAAATAGATTCTACAATTATTTAATTTAATAATCTTTGCTCTGGTCATGTTTCTAATTGTGATACTTGTTTACTTGGTAGAACAGAATCTTAAATTACTTGTTTAGTATGTTTACGTGGATATTATGCTGAAAAATTGTCAGGAAAATGTTATTTATGTCCATAAAATTTAAATTGCTTTCAATGCTATTAATAATAAAAACTATAAAAAGATAATTGGAAGGATAAAATAAGAGCATTTTATAGATATATAATTGAAAATAATAATGAACATCCATTTACATTATATGGATAAAGTTAGAACATTCAAGATTATGAAATTGTATGTAGTACTTGTAAGTTTGGATATGAATTAAAGTAAAATAAATGTATTCCATAATGCTCAGAATTTTGTTAGGAATGTTAATTAATTAATAATGAAAATAAGTGCATTAGATGTTAATTTGGATTGTAAGGTAGACAATTAACTCTTTATAATAATTAGTGTATTCAATGTCCTTAAAATTGTGCTTTATGCAAAGTTAGGTCTTTATCTGAAATTAAAATGATAAATTCATTATTTGACAATATTAAATATTTATATAGTGCTTATTAATGTTTAAAAAGCTTTCAAGATCAAAATTACTTTTATGATTAAGAAATAGGACAGTTTTTATAATGTTCATCTGAATAAATAGGATGTGTAAATATATTAATTCTACCAATTAATTTATACTGTTCTTAAACCCTTTATGATGCAGAATTGAATAAAAAATAAAATGAAAAAGAAAGAAAAAAATTTTATTAAGAGAATTTACATATCAATGATTTAACTTCAGGTTAAAGTTTTCATTAAGTATTCAATTTTAATTTTATTAAATTTAGTTTGAAAATGATTAATTTTACTAGTATGGAATGGAATAAATAATTAAAACGATTATTATTAAAATTACAAGTCAAGGTGAATAGGTTTGTTTACTTCCAGATAATGCAGTCATAAAATAGTAATTTAGTTAAAACATATTTTCAGCAATGTAAATTTGTTTTATATTATATTTAGAAATGTTTAGATTGAATTAAACTTTTAACATTACACTGTATTTTAATATTAAAAAAATTTGAGTTTTGTTAATTTCTAATTAATATCTATAACTGGACTCGTTTTAATGCCAATCCAAAATAATTATATTAAGTAACTACTATTTGTTAGTATTTTTAAGTAATAAATAGATTTAAATTAAATTAATTATTGTTAAAAATAACAAACAAAAGATTAATCAATTATTTAAATATAAAATGTTTCAAAGTTGATAATTAATGATTTTATTGTATAAGATCTATACCAAACAGAAGTTTAATCACTAATCAATATTACAAGCACTATTTATCCAAAATATATCTACTTAAAAAATGTAAGAATATTAAATTCTATATTGTCAAACCAAATTACCTTATTATTATTTCTAAATTTAAATGACAAGATTTAAATAGAGAATTTAGTGTTAACTTCTCTTTTTAACAATTCTATATTAATAGAGTCTAAAAATATTGAAGAATTATAAGTAGGATAAATAAAATTATCAAATTTATCAATACAATCCTCAAACATTTTGAATTCTTAGACATTTGTTAATTTAAAAAAATTTTAAAAAGTTGAAATTATTTCAATATCATTTTTTGATACAAATATTAACAATTCTATATTACTTTATTTAAATAATCAAATCAATTTGATAAATCTAATCATAAGAGTTTGTAAATTTTAGTATAACTCTACTGCCATTACCAATTGCAATAAAGTGTTATATGGGAATTTATAATTTACATTTGAAAATATTTCTTTTATAGAGAATGAATATCATTAAACAACAAAATTCATTCAATTGAATAAGTAAAATAATAATTTTAGTGAATTATCTATAAAAGAATTAAAAATATTAAATAATTTTGTGACTGAGATAACATTTGATTTTGATTTTTAATTATTTGATTCCTCTCTATTTTATTTTTAACTTGATAAGATAATACTTAAAGGAATTAGAATAGAAAGAGGATATGGTTTAATTGATATGAGTTTTGTTAAAACTACATCTCTAATTATTCATAATATCTATATAACATAAGGGTATAAATCTTAATTTTTAGGTTTACATTAATATTTAGATTGTTAATTATAATAAGTAAAGGGCCAATATTATTTGCAATCACTATATATTTATTCATCTTGTTATTTAGAAATTATGAATATTGTAATTGAAAAAAGTCAATCATATAATTCTCCAATAATTTTTTATTAATCAGCTGATTCTTAAATTCAGAACAATTAAGAATAAATTATAATTACAAATTGTATTGCTTAAAAGAATTTACTGCTATTAACTTCAAATATATAATAAACATCATTATTTTTCATAAATTCTGTTTAAAATTCTACTATCAAATTTAGTAATTTAACATTTGAAAATAATATTTTACATGAATATTATTAAAATACCTTAAAAATGTCAGCTAGTTTGATTTATTTAGAATGTTAAAATTGTTAAATGTAAATTGGCGAATCAAATTTCAAAAAAAACTTTGCTTCTAATACTTCAAATTCTATAATTTCAATTAAAGTTTAATAACTTAAATTATATAATTGTAAGTTTAGTGAAAATAGCTTATTTCAATATGATATATTTAAATAATATTTATTATGGGGATTTTAGGATTATGATATTGTACATATTGAAGATTTAAGTAAAATATTTAATATAAGATCAGAGACAGGTAATGGATATTTTGTAGTTGAATAATTATTTATTAAAAATAGCATTTTTATTTCATCTTAAGGATTTGCTGGAGCAGGATTTTCTATAATTGCATAAAATGATGCTAATATATAAATTGAAAATGTTAAGCTGTACAATATTAGCACTTATTTTATTGATTAAAATGAATTTGGAGGTGGAATTTATATTAACAGTAATAATGTAAACTCAATTTCTATTAAAATATCTAATATTTAGGCTAGAAATATATCTTGTAGATATTAAGGTGGCCTAATTTATATAAGATCTGGATTTAATAATATCTATCTATTGATTAATAATATATCTGCTTAAGATATTTATTCTCAATCAGGATCAATTTTATTTGTTTAATTTTCAATATTATCCTAGTATTAATAGAATATATACATCAGTGAAGTTGAAGTTAGGAATTCCTTTATTGGATATTTAAATTTTTTAGAACTTAATAAAAACTTAGAACATTTAGAAGAAAATAAATTATTATTTAATAGAACCCTTATATATATTGAATATGCAACTAAAATAATTATTGAAAAATTAACAATCTAAAATTTAATTTATGAATCAATGGTTACATTATTAAAATCATAGAAAATATAATTAAAAGATATTTAAATTTCAAATTGTCAATTAACTAATAATTTAATATACATATCACCAAAATAAAGTAATAGATTATTTTATCATAGTGACATCTTCAAAAATAGCTTTGGAGAGGATAGCAATTTCAAACATCCTTATTGGTCAGATAATTTCAAACAATAAGTGCGAGTATACAAATCAACAAAAATAACTTATATATTTTTAATGTCTTAGTAGGTTTGTATAAAGTTGTGAAGTATTAGTTGAATATGATAAAAATGAAGAATTGAAATATTCTTATTGTTTGTTGAATTAATTGAAAAATAGATTCTAAAATTAAAATGGAAAAATTGGATTAATTTAGATAGATGAATTTTATCATTAAAATTTAAATAAGATTCGCTAGATAAGGATAAGAAATGTATAATGTCAATTATGCAATTATGGGTTTATATTTATAAATGCTGTTGATAATGATAAGTAAATTTATACATCAGAAATACATTAGGTAAAAATAACTAATTGTTCTTGTGGTATATAAGGTTGTTTAATTTTGAGTAAGAAATCTGAAAATTAAATCAACAAAAGAATATTATAAAGAAATAATGTTTAATTATTGTAAAATACATTTGAAATGTTGATTGAAAATTATGTTTGTTTAAATAATACTAGTAATGTTGGTACTTGTTTGAATGTTAATAATTTAAAAGTTTTGGTTTAAAATTGTCATTTTCATAATAATTCAGCAATACAATTTGGAGGTGCAATTTTAGTATAAGATTAATAAGAAATGATATTAATTAATAGTTCTATATAAGACAATTAAGCATAAATTGGTGGTGGAATTTATTTGGAGAAATAATTCGAAGTTAATTATAAATTATTAGGAACAGTAGTTAATAATAATAAAGGGCTTTTATTTGGTAATAATGTTGTTGGAATACCTTAAAGATTGGCTATTAAATTTGCTGAATATTAATAAATATTGTAAAATAAAATTATAATTAATAATGAATAATTAGTTGTAGATTAAACTTTATTGAGCAATATAAAATAATTAAATAATATTAATTAAGATATTGTTTATTTACCTAGTGGATAGAAGATTTCAAACTATAAAATTTTTAATTTAAATTCTAGAAGTTATGTGAAACATGATTTTGGATTTTAGATAGTTGCTTTAAGTTTGAATTATGAAATTATATAGAATTTAGATGGTACATATTGCACAATAAATAGTTATCTAATAAATTTAGATAACAATCAAAGTGAAATTAAAGAGAATTAAAATAAATATTTAAATATAGATAAAGTTGAATTTAATACATCTACATAAAGTTATAATTTAGATGATTTGATTATATATTTTGATAATCAGACTCCTGAAAATATAATATTATAACTTGAATTTTAATGTAATTCAATAAGAATTCCAATATTTAATTACTCATATCCATTTAATATGTTAAAGGAACACAATAATTATAAATTAAGAATGAATATTAGAACTTTGTAATGTTAATATGGTGAAGTAAAAAATTAAACTGATCAATCTTGTCATTAATGTGATTCAAATTAAGGTTTATATTCATTATTAAGAAATTAATATTAATGCGAAATTATTGATGAAGTATCTACTATAAGTGTTAAATAAGCTATGTTGAAATTAAGAATTGGTTTTTGGAGACCATATTTTGATACTAGTTAAGTGAGTGAATGTTTTAACTTACCTAAGAATTGTTAGGGTGGTTGGGTTGAAGGTGATACTTCTTGTTATCTTGGACATATTGGTGCATTATGTGAATAATGTGATTTAAATAATATAAGAGGTGATGGTGAATTTACAGTAAGTGATAAATTCTCTTGTAGTTCCTGTTAAGAAACGAAATTAAACATTTTATTTATCACATTGATTAGTATTTGGTAATAATTTCATTTTATTCATAGGACAATGATATCTATTCTAATATCAGTTCAAAGTACAATATAAGCTATATAAGAAAATATGAAGATCATAAATATTATAAATATGGGATTTGCAATTTGTCACAATAGAAATTAATCTGCAATACTTTTAAAAATGTTTACTAACTATTTATAAATAGTGGGATCGATTACTACATTCTAATTAAATACACCAAAATAATTAGATAATACAATTAATATTTTTGGTAATCCTATATAAAGTGTCTCATATTCTTTAGATTGTTTTCTTTTGAAATATTTTTCTCTTGAAATTCATTATTCTCGAGCAATGTGGTACATTATAATGCCTTTCATATATATTAACATTTTTATATTCCTTTATTTTTTAGGAGTTAAAATCAAAATATTTAATTTTGATAAAAGTGTTATCTCTACAACTTTAATATACATTTACATCTATTTATAACCTTGTTTAATAGCTGGTTTAATATCTTTAATAGCTTATAGAACAATTTCAGGATATTAGTGGATTTCTATAAATGTCTCTTATAGATATGATACACAATAACATTTATTTTGGATGCTTTCATTTTGTTTACCAATTTTATTAATATTGGCTCTTTTTGTGCCAGCATTCTTTTTCTATGGTCTATATTCTAATAGAAATAATCTTGATAATAAATAGGTAAGATTACATTGGGGATATTTGTATAACGAATATACTAAAACAGCTTATTTTTGGGAAATAATAAAAATAATAGAAAAATAGTCAATTATTATATTCCTTACCTATTATGATGATAATATAATAATAAAAGCAACAATTCTGTTATTAATAATATTAATGTATTAACAATTAAATTAAAAATATAAACCATATAATTTAAACAATTTAAATAAATTGGATTATTAATCAGCTAATATTTGTTTGATTTCATTGGTTCTTGCAACAGGAATATATGGATCTCAATAATCAGACAATTATGAGATAACATTGCCATTTTTAATATTATTGACAATAATCAATTTCCATTTTATTTATGTATTAATAACTAAGATAATAATTGAATTCCTAAAGGAGAAGAGTTCAAATTATGAAATTTTATTTGATACAATAAGAGAATTTATTAAATCTTATATCCCCTGTATCCATAAAGTTCCTTATTTAAGGAGATTACTCATAAATAGAGCATAATAAAAATTAAGGGTAAATTAATATTATTATAAATTGAAAAAATTCTTAATTCCTCAAGCTAAAACAATTATTAAATACAAAAATCAATAAATAAATAAATAATTATATGAAAAACAAATTGAATCTACATATAGATTTTCATCTTCAAATAGAGACAGATAAAAAATGATAAAATTTTCATTTAGAGAGAGTTCATCCTATACATCCAAATAATCTTATGCTTAAATAATTTTAGATTAAATGTATTAATTATAATTAAATAATAGAAAATAAAAAAATTAAGAATAATTACCTGATATCTATGATTATATTCCTGAAAATATAGACAAAGATAAACTTGAATCTAAATGAAAAATATATTATTTTATAATTATCAATCATATTTCTTCTATTATCAAAGATTCTCTGACAAAAACTGCTTTTTATATTATAAAATTTAATACATAAATTTTAATTCCGGTGTTCCCTTTTTTAAAAATTAATATCTTAATAAAACATGTTATAAGTCTAATACGACAATATTTCAGAGTTTGAAAACAATCAAAACAACGGTTATTATGATGAAGAATCCAATGTCAACATCTTCACATAACATTAACTTGGCTTATTCAAAAAACCAAGCTACTTCATTGAAAATGAAGATCTTAATCTAAAGAACAATCATGAATGCTCAACAGCAGAACAGACTGAGTCTTCTGAACACTCAGATAATTCTTTTGAACACATTCCTTCTCCAAAATTTCCTTCAAAAGAACTTCCTCCTCCAATCAATGCTGATGAACATTTGTTCAACTTAGATATGAAATACTATCCAAGTACTTCTCAAGAGAATTTCATATTGAATTTTATCAACTAAGATGACTTACAAAGAATAAAAATTGGTTTAGATTATAAGATTTTGGATGATCCATAAACTTTAAAATTCGAAAATTGGGTTTAATAAATGTGTAATACTAAAGCTAATCAAAAAGAAATACAAAGGAAGCTAAAAGTAAAGAAATATTTGGAAAAGAAGCACAATAGAACTTTTGGAAAAAAAGTGCATTATCATATTAGATAGAAGGTAGCAGAAGAGAGACTAAGAATAAAAGGGAGATTTGTTACTTGGAAATAGGTATAATTTAAATACATAATTTAGGCTGTTAAAATGTTAGAGAAATCTGATACTAAAAGAGAATGGACTTAAAGTGATTACTTCAAAATCAAGATCTTATTAAATGAAAAGTATGGTCAAGTCGTATGAGGAAGAATAAAATATTCTGATTTTCACTTTATTTGTTTATATGTTTACATATTAGTATTTTTTAAATTGAATAGAAGCTAGGATTATTTCAATTATATTAATTTAAATCCTTTAATGAATTTCTAAGTTATCATATCAAGTAATGATAAGTGTGTTTATTATTATAATTGTATAAAAATTTAATCATGCTTATGATCGTTTTGAATTAATGAATTATGGATGGTTTATATGTAATTAAATAATTGTTTTATTATAAAAATTAAATGAACCCAAATCCTCCACCAGTCATCGTATTATATAAATAGAGTCTCAATGTAATTAAGGATATTTTACATAAAAGGATCCAGACAAAAAGAATTATAGCAAGTTATGGTAGTAAGAACCAATTGAAGTGAAAGAAGTAATTAAATGATTATGATTAGTTAATAGTTTTTTTCCAATTTATTTCAGGCATTGAAATATTCAAAAGATGGAATGACACATACAATTTTTGAATTGGAAACAAGTGATTCTTTATCTGAGATTTCAGAAATAGATTGGAAAAATTAAGGATTTATTAGTGAATAAAGTAATTCTATGTAAGAATTACTAAATATTCTGGAAATAGAGAAAATATCATTTTAATCGGCATTTTTGGAAAACAATTCAATAAATGCAATTGCGTATATATATTTAATAGATAATCTTATTATTTAGATAATTATGTGAGAGAATGAAAACTCTTAATATCAATTAAGAATTGAGTCATAGAATAAATGATAGCTTTCTCAAAATTTCCAAACTTCGTAGATGAAGACAACCATTAATTTTTGATACTACAAATAAATTTAATATTTAATATTGATTAATGTCCTAATATCAAAGCAGTGATCCATATGAATTGTATAATATGAACCATTGATAATTTAGTTTACATTATTGTAATCAATAAGACTAACAGATCAATGATTAAAACAAATTATTCATAGAAAATCTTGTGATTTATGATGTAAAATATTAGGTAAATTAAAGAAATCATTCATTCTAGATTCATCATCATAAAACAGTCCTACAAATATTCAATGAACAGAATTAGGTACTCAAAACTTTATGGGGTAATATATCTTTAATTCCATTGTAGGTTTTTAAGATGTCTAATTTCCCACTTAATCAAATTTGGATTAAATAATTAAGGATTCAATTGAAAGCAATTTAACTGTAATATAATAATAGCTAAATTAGTAAACTGTATATAGTCAGACTTATCCTGGAGGTTAATTATTTAAGATTGGATATTAGTAAGAAGTCGATGCTTGGTTAATCTATTGTAACAATCTTACAATTGTTGCTTAAACATCTAATGATTTATCAGAATATTAATTCTAAAGATTTGATTCAGCTGTCTAAGTAGCTGAATTATGGTTTAATATTTTGAATGAATGTAAACTAAATAATCTACTTATTTTAGTTAGCTAAGAAAAATTGAACAATTTGAAATTTGATTTACAAAATCGAACTGTTTATGGTCATATCATTAATTAGGAATCACTAATCTATCATCCTAATGATATTCTATAATTTATTGGCATTATTGATGTAAATTTTGAATAAGCACAATAATTATTTTGTTTTTATGGATTACCTCATCCAAAAACCTCTTAATTTAAATTGTAATTAAAAGTACTGTAAAAACATATAGAGAGAATTTAAAGAAGTGATATTGAATTAGAATCAGGAGGAGTTATATTATATTTTAATGATCAATATTATGTTGTACACACAGCTGAGTATTTAATTTATAAACACATTTAATCTATGTTATTGAATGAATAACATATTGAAAGAGATTTTAAATAATTTCTTAAATCATTATAAGTTAAACCACCAAGACCATTTAAGTTTTACTAAAATATATATGAAGAAGGCATTAAAATATTAGAATCAAATAATAAAATAGAATAAACTATTAAATATAATTTTAATGATTTCATTACTATTATATTATACAACATATTTAATAACAAGACTTTCAAATGGAATTAATTAAAATCTATAAAAGAATATAGAGTTTCATGGTCATCCTATTAACCAGAATCTTTAAAAAGAATACCAGTTTATACAGGAGAAGATCTTTAAAAGAATCCAGAAAATGTATATTTAATTATACCTGTTGGTGTTAATGGAGTTGGTGTATCAACATTTGCAAGTACTTTTTAATCATTCTATTATTAAACTTAAATTGTTAGTGATATTTAAGATGCTAAAATTAGAGATAATTATGTTATTATAATAGAACATAATCATACTCCAGAAGAAGCATAATCTATTTTATCAAAATGTAGTTAGTTTTACAATAAAATTATCCTTTATCCATATACCAAAAAGTCTTATAATTAATTAAAATTACCATTTTCATATGAATTGCTTATTACTGCCATGAAAAGAACTTGTACCACTCTTGAAAGAGTTTAACTCTTTATTAAAAAGGCCAAAACTTTTTAAAATTTTAATGTTAGTTCATTTTAAGTAAATGGAATAATTGAATTTCCATTTGTTGATGAAGATTTAAAGATTGATCATTAATATATTGAAGATGATTTATTAGATTTATTTTCTAATGAGTCAAAAAAGAATTTAAATTAATTCTTTAAGAGTCTAAAAGAACTTCATCTATAAAATTAAAGTAATGAAACATATGATGATGAAATCAAGAATATTATTCATTATTTATTTCCAAAAGTTACAAATATTAGCAAACATCAACCAATAAAAGTAGATGATGTTGTAAGAAAGGAAAGTGAAGATGTTGTAATTCATGAAAAGAAAACCAAATTACATAAAAAAGATAAACATATATAATATGATCCAACTTATTTACCAAATTCACTTAGTTTCCAACTTAAAGGAGGTTACAATATGAAAGATAAAATAAATAAATGGATTTTAGATTGTTTAGTATATTTATATAATTTATTTTTTAGAATGCAGGCAATTCTCACTTTAAAAATGATGAAACTTATCATAAAATTGTTAATATATTTTAAAAGTAAACTTTTGAAAATGGTGAATAGCATTTCATACCAGAAAAAGAACTTAAATTAGAGTTATTAACAATCAATTAAAATGATTAAAGTGTTAGATAATTACCCTATTTTAAAGATTTTATATAAGATAAAGAAGCAGAAATATTTGTTAAAACCTTGTTTGTAAGTTTTGATGGTTTGATTGCTGCACTTGCTAATTAATCAGCATTACCATGCTAAAGTCCATATCCTCATATTCCATTTTATTTTAAAAATCTTAAAGGAAAAGACAGCTAATCTATCATTTCATAAACAATATTATAAAATTAAATTTTGAAATAGGCATTCAAAGATGGCTAACTCTCTAAAGTCACAAATTAACCAATTTTTGCTTCCGAAGATATTAAATACAGAAATAAGACTTATAAGATTTATGTCATTTCATTGTAAGATGGTATTAAAGTTAATGCGATTTCTACAGATAGATTATGATACGAGTATTATAAAAAAAACAATACATAAATATAGATTTATATCTTCTTATTTATTTATTTGAATAATTCATTAAGCTGGTTTCTCACCTTAAGCTTATTCTTGAGGTTTTTCACCTTCAGGATTATTAGCAGCTTCTTCAGCTTTCTTTTTTTCTTCCTCAGCTTTAAGTTTATCTTCTTCTTCTTTTTTTAATCTTTCTTCTTCAGCTTTTTTAGCAGCTTCCTCTTCTGCTATTCTCTTATTTTCTGCTTCTATTCTTTCTCTTTCTTATCTTTCTTTCTCTTCTTTCTCTTCTTATTCTTTTCTTTTTCTTTCATTTTCTTCTCTAATTGCTTCTTATCTTGCAAATTCTTCTTCTTTCATTTTTATGTAAGCTTAAAATGTTGGTTTTGATTTCTTTTCAATTGGTTTCTCTTATTTCTTTTCTTTAGTTGTAGCATAACCTTTAACATCCTTTCCATTTTTAAGATCATCAAGAAATCTTTTAATTCTTTCTACTGTAGGTGCTACACAAGGAAATAAGCCTGAATTCTTTTTAGAGTAAATTATTTTATCTATTTTAGAAATGAATGAATTACTTTAATGAGTGATTTCAAATGCCCCAATAGAAGGTTTCTAAATTGAATGGTTAACTACACAAAATGAATCTGGAATTGCAGCTTCAACAGCTAGATAATTTAGTAATAAAAGAAGTTACCTTCCTTAAATTCATGATATAATTTCGCATATCTTAGTTCATCATGTTGTGTACAAAACGAATGTGATTTTTAACAATTGATGCAAACTTCAAAATGAATCACAGTAGCATTAGGAGGTATTGGTTTATTAGATAAGTCTAAGTAATTCTTAGCTGGAGGCTTTTCCTACTGTTGGGTTTGTTACTACTGTTATTATTCTTCTTTTGGCTTTTATTCTCCTTCTTCTTATGGTTTCTAATAATTAATTAGATAGATACTTCTTCAGGAGGTTGCATTTTTTATTATTTAATTTATTTAATTGTTTCCAGATGTTTTTGAATATTGATTTAAGAATAATAAAAAATATAAATGATCATATAAAAAAGGTAGATAAGCATTTGTAATTATAATGAAGATATTTATATATTAAGTTTAACTATAAGGGAATATTAAAAATTAATGAGATTTAATAATAATTACAGTATTTAATCGTAATTTTAATTATCAAAATAATTTGGTATGAAAACCTGTACTATTTCTTAATTATTAATCGGCATTATAGTATTATTTAATAAATTTAGTAATTTAAGCAGAGGCATCAAATTCTGCTAATAAATTCTTACTTATTGATGATCTAGTAACATTTAATTTTCTTATCATATTTGGTTTTTCTGTTTTGAGTTTTCGATCTGGACTATTTTATATAGATTGACTTTGAGAATAATATTACTTGATTTTTGCAGGTTCTGGAGGAGTATTATTTCTTTTAATGATTGTGCCTTGAATATCCTTTTTGAAATTAAGGAATTATAATTATTCTTTTGCTTATAAGATAATTTTTGAATTTTCTAAGAGAAGTGTATTAGTTAAATTGCGTAATTAATGTACTTTTTTAAGAATTGCTTTTAATTTAAATTTAATGGCTAAAGAAATTTGGGGAGAGTTTATTTTGCCTTCTGATGCAATAATTCTAAGATGTTCACTTTCTATAGCATATGTTTAGAGTTAAGTTTAAAAGATAACTATCTTATCTTTTAATCTATGTATTTTATCTTAAGCTTTCTTTTTGAGAGCTTCATATTATTGACGATAATTATCTTTGTCTTCTTTTTTTTATCTATTCAATTCTTCATATTTAGTCCGTTAATCAATTAACTTCTATTAGAGTTCTTATTTCTACAATTCAATTTATTGATTGCAAGCTTTGAGGATAAGAAACTCAGTATTGAGTTCATCATAACGGTGTTTTGATTAATCATGTTATGTATCGTGAAATTCATCAATAATTGATTATCTAGTATGATTAGCTATTTTACTTGTACTTTGCACAATTATTACAATATTTACCAATAGATTCTTTCATTTCATATTCTAGTTGTTTGATTTCTATAAAGAAAGATTCAATTGAATGTTTTAATTCTAATTCTAGTCCTTCAGATGGTTCAAACTCTTTTGAAATGATCCTCATCAATTACTAAGTGAATTATTATTGTTGTATCAGAATCCCTTACATTAAATTAGGTACAATATATTATAATTTATATAAGTTAATCTTGTTTTATTTTACAATAATCTTTATTCTTTTCTTGTAGATATACAGTTTTATTTTTATATAAAATGAATACATAAAAAAAGTAGTGTTACAATTCAGAACAAGATGATAATTTAAATTAGAAATATGGAGAAAGAGGAATCCCTTCTACTTAAAATTAATAGAAAATGAATAGTAAAGATTCAATAATAAATAAGAGCCTAGAATTTAAAGTGGTAGTCATTCTCTTTATACTTTCAATGAGAATTCTCTATAAATAAACTCTCTAAAACCATAAACATCTAGTAGAAGACTTTATAAGAAATCTTAAATATTGGGAACGACATTTCCTTCAATAAGTACAAATGAACAATAAAAGTAATAAATGCCATTTATATTAAGTCCTGATTCAAAATAATCATAAAATAAACAAGAAGAAAGTAAAAAATTATTATATTTAGATTCAGCAAGAGATATCAATTCTAATCATCATTGCCCCTTTGAAATTTAAGTTAAACATCTTCGTAAAGAATTAGTAAATTTAATTATTATAACACATTTAGAAAACCAGTGAATAATTAGCTATTTAGACTAAGCACGAATATGATGATTTAAAGAGGATGGTTAAAAATTATAATAAAGAAGAATCTATAGTAAAATTATTAGAATAGTAATAATAAAAAAATGATTTAAAAGAAAAATAAAAATTGATGGAAGAGGAAATATAAATGTTAGTATAATAGATAGATTATTAGTAATCTAAGAATGAAGAAACTTAACAGAAATTATAAAAAATGTAAGTTATTGAAAATGATCTTTAAAATAAATTACAAAAATTAGAAATATCTAATAAATAATTAGTATAAATTAATATAGGATTAAGAGAGCAATAATTGGAAGTTTAGGATTGGTAAAGAAAATGCAATATTAATGATGAAAGATATTAAATCAGCATTCATTAATTGGAGGAAGTATTAAAAGAAAATTAAACAGATATCTAATAATTATAAAAGAAATTATAAAGATTTGATAGCGAAAATGGTATATTATTATAAGAGATGAAGCTTAAAAATGAAAAATTAGAAGAAGAACATAAAAGATCAAAATAATTAAATGCTGAATTGTTAGACATAAGAGTAAATAAAGTTTAGAAATTATAAGATTAAATTGCAAAGTAAAATAAAGTCATTCAATAAAACGTAATAGTCATTTAATAAAAAGTAGAAAAAATTGAAGAATAAGAAAAAATAAATAAATTATTGAATGTAAATAAATATATTATAATAGGATAAAATTAATTTATAAGAAACATAAATTGATTAATATAAAAGAGATTTTAATTAATTGGAAATGAAATTATAAGAAGTTGATTTGTTAATTTAATAAAAAGAACATGAAGTAGGATAGGGAATATCTAAAGTTTAAGAATTATAAGATTTAAATGAAAGATAAATATAAACTATATAAACAAATTCTACTGAAATAATTAGATTGAATAAGGAAGTGTAAGAGAAAGATTAAGATTTAAAAAATGCACAAAAATAAATTGAAGAATTCTCTAAAGAACGTATTTCATAGATATTGAGAATTGATGAATAAAATAATGAGATTTTTGATTATAAATAATAGGTATTCTAATTGAAAAATGAATTGGAAGTTTGTAAATTAGACAAATAAGATTAAGATAGATAATTGGAGAGATTAAATGAATAGATTCTAGATTCTAATAAATATTTAGATTAATATAAACAATAATTAGATGAAGAGATTAAGAAAAAATATTCATTATAATCTGAAATTAATAAATAAAAATAATTGCTTGAAGATTTAATGATTTAAGATAAAAAAGAAATATAATAATTATAGGAAATAAATGAAAGTAAAGATAAGGAAATTATGATATTACAAGAAAAATTATAAGAATATTAAGATTAAGATAATGATATATCAGATAAAATAAAAAAGTTGAACAGTTAAAATGATAAAAATTCTAAGTTAATTAAATAATTGTAAAATGAAAAAAAATAATTGGAATTGTTTATTCAAGAATTATAGAAATAGTAATCTTAAAATGAATAGTAAACGATTGAATTTTAAAAAGAGAAATAATAATTACTTTAAAAAAAAGAAGAAATCAAAAATGATAAAACTGATGTCTAATAATTAAATAAAGAAATTGAAAAATTAAAAGCAGATTTAGAATCAAAATAAAATTATAAAGGATTGAAAGAGAATGTTAATTAAATTAATTTAGATAATTAAAATAATGAATTGTAACTTTTATTAAACAAAACAGCTGAAGAACTTTAAGAATGTAAAAATAAATATGCTAAATTAGAAAGTGATAAGAATCATAGTGATTTATAATAATAATTATTATTAAAAGATAGGTTAGAATAGCAATAAGAATTCTATTTAATAGTAATTAAAGNTTGGAAATGAAATTATAAGAAGTTGATTTGTTAATTTAATAAAAAGAACATGAAGTAGGATAGGGAATATCTAAAGTTTAAGAATTATAAGATTTAAATGAAAGATAAATATAAACTATATAAACAAATTCTACTGAAATAATTAGATTGAATAAGGAAGTGTAAGAGAAAGATTAAGATTTAAAAAATGCACAAAAATAAATTGAAGAATTCTCTAAAGAACGTATTTCATAGATATTGAGAATTGATGAATAAAATAATGAGATTTTTGATTATAAATAATAGGTATTCTAATTGAAAAATGAATTGGAAGTTTGTAAATTAGACAAATAAGATTAAGATAGATAATTGGAGAGATTAAATGAATAGATTCTAGATTCTAATAAATATTTAGATTAATATAAACAATAATTAGATGAAGAGATTAAGAAAAAATATTCATTATAATCTGAAATTAATAAATAAAAATAATTGCTTGAAGATTTAATGATTTAAGATAAAAAAGAAATATAATAATTATAGGAAATAAATGAAAGTAAAGATAAGGAAATTATGATATTACAAGAAAAATTATAAGAATATTAAGATTAAGATAATGATATATCAGATAAAATAAAAAAGTTGAACAGTTAAAATGATAAAAATTCTAAGTTAATTAAATAATTGTAAAATGAAAAAAAATAATTGGAATTGTTTATTCAAGAATTATAGAAATAGTAATCTTAAAATGAATAGTAAACGATTGAATTTTAAAAAGAGAAATAATAATTACTTTAAAAAAAAGAAGAAATCAAAAATGATAAAACTGATGTCTAATAATTAAATAAAGAAATTGAAAAATTAAAAGCAGATTTAGAATCAAAATAAAATTATAAAGGATTGAAAGAGAATGTTAATTAAATTAATTTAGATAATTAAAATAATGAATTGTAACTTTTATTAAACAAAACAGCTGAAGAACTTTAAGAATGTAAAAATAAATATGCTAAATTAGAAAGTGATAAGAATCATAGTGATTTATAATAATAATTATTATTAAAAGATAGGTTAGAATAGCAATAAGAATTCTATTTAATAGTAATTAAAGAAAAGGAGGAAACTATTACTTAACTAAATAATTAATTATCATAAGCTCAATCAGAATTAAATATTATAAGTTAGTTTAAAGATATTAAAATCATTCCATAATAAGACTAAATTCCTTAACAAAAGAATAATACATTTCATCAAATCTTTGTTGAAGATAAGGTATTTCATAAGGATTCTACAAATGAGGAAATCTAATTGATGTTCTCATAAATTAATTTTGATAAATCTAAAGGATATTTAACAATCTGCTTTTGGGTCAAAATTGATAGAACTAATTCAACAGATATGTTACCTATTCTAAAAATTAGTACAGATAATAAAACTCTTCTAGAAATGGGTATTTATTTAGATAGAAAATAAGTGTATAGTACTTTTATTCCTAATAATCATCCTAAAAATACTCAATAATAAAATCCAATAACAGTTACATCTTAATTACCAATTAAATTTGGAGAATTTTAATTATTAGCTTTAATTTTAAATGAATCTGGGAAATATATGGATATGTGTTTATGTTTAAATGGTGTTAGAGATGATTAAGTTTCTATTTCCAATTCTGTAATTTTCCCAGAAGCTTAATTATAATTTGAAAAATACACAACAAATCTTCTAGTTATAAAAGATTGTTTGGTAATAATTGAAAATTTCTAAGGAATAAACATATTTAAAGAATTGTATAAAATATTCTATTATAAATATAATGGAATTAAAAAAATAAGTAAAAGAAATGAATAGAAGAAAGAAAATATTTCATATTTATCTGCAAGAGATCTAATATTCTTTTTAAAATAGTAGAATGATCATCCACAATCAGGAAGTAAATCCTCTCCTCTATAAAATTAAGCAGTAATTATTAATAATCGAAAAATTCCAGGTTTATTTGTCAATAAATATGATTTATCCATTACTAAGATGAAAACTGAAGAAACAAAACCAGAATAAATTTAAGAGCAACCTGAATGGAGTCGAAAGTATTCTATTAATAAACTAAAGAAATTCTTATAAACTAAATCGAATTATAAACAACTATTGAGTCCATTTATTGAATATTTTGATTTTATTAGTTTAGGATTACAATACTTATAACCTAAAAGGATTGATGAATTACCTCCTACTAAATTTCATAAAATAATTAAACCCAAGATACTATTATCACCCTATTTTATGATGCCATACAACTAATTTCTGAAATACATTTAAAACGCTGGATTACTACTTATAACTATTGAATAGTTGCATGAATTATGTGAATTAATGGAAGTCATATATACAAATTAAAACGAGAAATATATTCATTATGATCACTTTCTTATTGTTTTAAGAGAATGTATTATGTCAAGAGAAAATTTAAGGAAAATTAAAAAATAAGAAAAAGGTGAAAATAAATATACTTATAAGGAAATAATTATAAAATCAACAGGTAAATAAGAGTAAGTAGTTGAATTATCTAATGCTTAGGAAGTGACAGAAGTTTTAATCAGCAAAGTTGAATAGTAAATTTAATTATAAGTCAAATTCAAAAATGAATCTATATAAACTTATTCTCTTGATCATTTCCCTGAAGCATTCAATGGTAAATTGAATCTAATTAAATAAAGAAAATTGGCTTTTATGTTTACTAATAATTCTCAAATTAATTTAATCAAAACAGAAACCAATTCTTTATTTTTAGGATAATATAATGAAATAACATTAATTCATGAAGTAGAATTACAAGAAAATGAAAAAATAGTTAAATTCAATATCCTTGATAAACAAATAATATTAGTTATCTAAATTTCTCAAAAATAAATTGAAGTAATTCCTGTATTTATATATGATATTTCTTATATTAGGAATTGGACATGTATCTAGATACTGAATTGGAAACTTTGAGCTTACCTTAGATACCAGATAATTGGAACTTAGGCAAATTCTCTGTCAATATTTCTAGATGTTAAAATTGTGATAAACACTAATAGACTACAAGACATCAAGAGAAAGATTTTATTGAAAAGACAGAATATGTAACGAATATGCTTAAAGAAGTATTTCCTAATATAGAAATAATTGAAAATGAAGAATAAATTGACAAATTAGAAAATTTTGAGGTTTATCTAAAAAATGCTAATAGTCCTGATAAGATTATACTTCTTTAAAAATAGGAGAATATAAATAAATTTAAAGATCAATTTGATAACAAATTGTTTAATTTATTTGAAAATCTATTTAACATCATTAATATTTATGGTACTACAGAAAATTTAGGACTAGTATAAGAAAAGTTTAAATGAAGATTAATTAAATAAAAAATATAAAATATTTATATTTATTTATAATGTACTATTAAATGTGGTATAAATGCACTCATTTTCCAACAAAACCTTTAAGGTAAGTTTCCTTTTAAGCTCTGATGACTTCTCTCTTATCTGTCTTTCTTGACATGTAAATCTTTGTTTTTTCAGAACCTCTGGTTTTCTTTAACTTAGACTTGACTTCTTTCCATCCTTTTCTGCTACCATCTCTCTTTGGAATGATACCTCTTCTTCTCAATCTGAATTTTGGTTCAAATTTAAGAAGATATCTATATTAATTGTAAACTCAATACTATTATGTATCGTAGATCAAAGCAAATCCAGTTGTTCTATTTCCTCCGAATGTTGTTTTAAGACCATAGACTACAACATTTCTTTCATCTGCCTTATATTTGCTTGCTAATTCCTTAACAACTGATTCTTATGAAGGAGTTGGCTTATTTGGATGGAGTAATTCAACACTCTAAAGTTAATTGATCACATTACTAATTGTCTTCTGTTTAAAAGTTTGTTTAAGAGTACCTTCCTGGTTTTTACTATGAATGTCATCTTATTGAATAATTCAAAATAAATTAAATCTTTTTTATTAAAATAAAACACAACACGAATAGCTCTCCATCATTACTTTTTAATATAAATTTTATGAATTATTAAATGCTATTATAATAAACTAATATTGATCCTTTTTTTTAGAGTATTTTATCATGCTAATTAGATAATTATGATGACTTTCTCATATCTACTGAGTTTAAATATAATAAGAAATTTTTTAGATTTCATTTACAAACAATCAAAAAGAAGATATAGAGTATCCCAATATTATAATTGATATCAAGTTAAGATCTAAAATAATTGTCTAAAACAAATGAGTTGTAATTTTAAAAGAAGAGACTAAGGATATTTAATATATATTCATATTATTTTACAGATTAATAATTAAAATTTGGGTACTTTTACAAGAAGATTATCCAAATTAATTCCTTTCTCCTTATATATTTTGTCTAATTCCCTATTAATAATTAAGTTTTGAGGGTTTTTGAAATGAAGGCAGAATTAGAGAGAACAATTCATAATAATTAATAGGCATAAGAATTTCATTTTTTGTTTTATAAATATTATTATCATTTCATTTCTTTTAGATTATATATTCATCTTATAATCAATCAAATTTATTATCATTTCTTTGTTACAAAATATTTAATTTCTCTTTTATGTACAATGATGATAACATCTATATTTTAATTGATTATTATGATAAATAAATATCAAACTAATAATTCTATTTTTGATTTTAAATACTTGAATAAGTAAGATGAATATAAATAAGAGAAGTTTTTAATATTTTAGTAATTTAAATAATCTATGATTTTAGAATAGGAGCGTATAATTATAATTTAAAAAAAATCATATATTAATTTTCTTTTTTTAATTATTTCCTTGATTTTCTATAATTATTGTATATAGAATAGAATGACAGAATTGATTAAAACAAATGAAAATACATTCTGTATTCAAAGAAATGATATAGAGAATGTATTTGAAATAATGAAATGCATTTATATTATGTATTTATGATATAATACTCAGGCTTATTATTATTCCTTTCCTAATTAGGCTTCAATTTCATAAAGCTTGATGAGTCCTTCATATAATCTTCTTGAGACAACTGCCTCAGTGACTCCAAATCTAGCAGATGGGGAAATATCAGCAGTTCCTTCATGATCCATAGCTGAATGTTCACCTCCCATTCCTCTTGCTTATAATCCAAATTATCTAGCAATATCTTTAAGTTTCTTCTCATCTTTTCCTCCATTTGTGATATTTGGGAATTTACCAAGAATAGATTATCTCTTTCCTGTTCCCATATTGGTTGGGCATGTTGTGACAACACCATAAACTGGATGTTCAGCAAATTCAAGTCCACTCTTTTCAATACCTGTAAGTAATTAATAGAGTGATTAATCGACTTTTCCTAAATCATTTCCTTAAACAATAGAGATGATTCTTAATTAATCTTCTTCACCAACCCAAATCATTTTAGTTTCATCATCACTAATCCAAATACCTCTTCCATATGGCCAATCAGAAGCAACACCTGAAGATGTTAAATGATTGTCTGTGGTCATATCATTAAATAAGAAATGTCTTTTAATTAATTCATCAGCTTATTCTTGAGTGATTTGATTCTTGTGACCTGGTGTTAAACTATGATATTTTCCTTTAATATCAAAGTTTTCAAAAGCTTAAACCATCTTATTTTCAAAGTTGATTCTTTCTTCCTTGCTCATCAAAGGAGGTAAATTCCATCCTTTAACATTTCTAGCAACTCTTGCTCTCATGGATACCTTCTCAAGTTTTGGGTCAATTTTAGTCAATACATATTCATCGACTGGGATATTCCAATCATGCTCTTATTTGGTTTCACCTTCGATTTTATGATAATCTCTAATTAATGGTTATAAATAGAAGGAGAAAACGTCATAATCTTCAGGTCTTGTGGCATAGACACCAACTGAGCTATCATCATTTGCCAATCCACCCATCATGACATCTAAGAAACGGTGTTAATCAGCTGCTGACAACTTCTTAACTTATTCAACAACTTCAGGGGTGAAATATTTGTTTCCCAAACTCACTCTGACTTTAGCCAATTCATTCCATCTAGCTTAAACTTTTTCGAAGTCAACATTTCCATCAGCATCTAAGAAAGCTTTTCTAGCCTCATCCTTGAAGACAATCTTTTATTCCATTAATTTAATTTATCTAAACAATCATTGATTTTCTGATTTAAAACCCAAAGATCCCAAATAATAGTAAAATCTAGAAATATTTTAACACGTATTAATTGCCTTAATTAATTTTATTTTGTGTATAAATTTACATTAAAAGATATTGTTATATAATGCTAATTTCATAATTTATATTATTAAATAAGTATTTTTAATTCTTCATAAAAGAGAATCATCATCTCATTATTATTATTCATTATAATTATTATTTATAAAATAATAATCTTTTTATAAATATTAATATTTATTTATAATGAGCAATTTGGATTATACAAAAAAATTGCTTGCAGAAAAATATGTGTAAGATTTGAGTAAGTTCCTTGGTTCGGTAAATATCTAAAAATATCATTTTAAAGGGAAGTTTTGCAGATGTCCATTAAGGATATATGTATAGAAACCAGAATGAATTAATAGCAATTAAAAGTATTGATAAGAGAAGATTGGAAAAAAAAAAGAGTCTATAGAAAATTATAATTAATTACGTAAACAGAGAGAAGCTTAATTAATAGTAATTATCAAGTCCTCATATTGTAAAGTATTTATTTTTTTAATTTAGAATGATAGATTTTATTGAAAATGATGAAGCTTTCTATTTTATCTTAGAGTATTGTGATTAAGGTAATCTACAAAATAAATTAAAATCTCATTTACCCTAAAATGAAATCTTTTCTATCTTTGAATAAATTGTACAAGGGTATAAAGAGATTAGAGATAAAAAAATAATTCATAGAGATCTAAAACCGGAAAATATTCTATTTTCAAAAGGAGTTGCTAAAATTGGAGATTTTGGGTTTTCTAAACTATTAGATGAGCTTGATCTTAGTTTGCCATAATCAACTCTAGGAACCCCCTTATATATTGCGCCTGAAGTCACGACAGGAAAATATTCATCTAAAGCAGATGTTTGGTCTTTAGGTGTCATCCTTTATAGAATGTTATATGGTAAAGCCCCAATGGAAATGATATAAAATAATATATCTAGAGCATCAAATGTTTATTAAATTCATTATCCATAACATATTGAAGTTCCTCCAAAGTATTTCAATTTATTATAACAAATGCTTACTGCGGATCCTGAATAAAGAATTGGTTGGGATCAAATATTTAAAGTAATTCTTGGTATAGGATTATAACTTAAGTCATAATAAAGCTCATAATTATAAGAAATTTAAGAAATACTTTAAGATTAAAATAATAAGGTTAAAGGCATTTTAAACTATTTTTTATATATTTAAGATATCCTTAAATTTATTAGGTAGTTGATGAGAGATGTATAAGAAATTAATTAAATTATATAATTATCGCAAGAACAATAATTAAATTATTCAGTCATTACTTAAAAGTACATGTTAAATGAATTAGCTTTTTATTTTAATGTTCTACAAGGATAAGTAATATATATACTATTTAATATTAGAATATGCTCTTCATTTAAATTTTGCCAAATGATTTTTAAATATTTAAAAAAAGTGAAAATTATGAATAAACATTTCAGAGTTTCTAATAAAATTATAGTTATCTGATAGAGAGTTACAATCAAGTCAAAATTAAATATGATTATTACTAAAAATCTAGTCTAAGAACTTCTGAAAATACAAATTATGTGTTAAAATAATCATAATTTAAATTGCCTAATTACTATTCAGTACTATAAGGTAATTAGAACGATTAGGCATTTGGAGAAATATTTAATTAAATCTATCATAATATAATTGAACACATAAGATCAAAATTGAATATTTAGGCTATTTAAATCTAATAAAAATAATCTTTACTTAAAGTGCTCATTAAACTGATATACTGTTTGTAGCCTCTCTAATTTAGTCATCTCATTTTTGAACCTTAGAATATTGAACAGAAGCTTCGCAATTCATCAGCTTTAGAACAGGAGTTTAATAATATCTATGCAAAATACGTCAATTTGGAAATATGAATTAATAGTATATAATTATATAAATAATTATATATATGGAATAGGACAGTGTTTCTATTTTATGTGAATAAAAGGAGAGAAAAATAAAGTAAATGCAAATGATCTACATAGAGTAATCTTGATTGGAGATCAATCTGTAGGTAAAAGTAAATTAATGGAATGTCTGCTGAATATTGAATCTAAAGTTAATGATAAATAAATTTAATCTGTAGATTTCTTTATATCAAGAATTCTATTACCTAATAAGATTACTTAAAAGATTCATGTTTGGATTACTTCTGGAGAAATTAAGAATATGTAATTATTTATTTTTATGATGTTTAGTGCCATGATTAGAGCATTTCTGCTATAGAGTAACATTTACATAATTGCATTCTCTTTAAATAATATGGTGACTTTAGAAAATGCATTAAATACATGGTTTTAATTATGTGTTAAGAATGCCAAACAAACAAATGCATATTATTATTTCTTAGGAACTATGGGAGATTTAGAGAGGAAATGTCCTAAATATAATGAGATAATTGATTAGATCAATGAAAAATGTTCAGAATATAAAGTAGCAGTCTTTGGTTCAAAAAATGTACATCCCATAAAAGGAATTAGATAATCAGAAAAATGGAATGATGATCACATTATTGAATTTGCAACTAAACGACTTCCTCAAAATGTATATTACTCAGAATGTTCAGCAACTGAAAATTTAGGAATGGATCGAAGTATGAGTATATTTACTAAATTAATAATGTCTGCAATGGATATATAAGATAAAATGAATGGAATAGTTAAGGTTACAGAATAACCTACAAATACATAACCTTAATTGTAGTCTACATAAGATAAGAGACCTTCTGCAAAGATTGAAATTCAAAAACAACCTTAAGAACAATAAGAAAAGATGTGTTGCAACATATTTTGAAAAATAAATTAAATATTATGATCAATTATTGAAAATTAAGGGTTATCCTGATTAATTTTAATAAAACAATAAATAAGGTGTTTCCTCTGCTCTATATATATTATATATAAAATATTACATAAGCTCTTTGTCAAGTTGATCACTATCATATTCTAAATTTGATATCATGGTATCATCGAAAGTTACCCAAACATCAGGTTTATTAAGTTATCTAGCATAACATATATAATGGCCTGAATAACTATTTTTTCCCTATAATAGATATTATAATTATATGTATTTACCATATGGACAATAAAAGCATAGAGATCATAGATACAATCTTTACTATTGAGTTTTTTTTAATTGAAAACATCTCTGAAATCAATCTAAAATTTAAATGGTACTTTTGTTAACATTTTATTCATTGTTTATGTTGCAGCATTGAAAGTAAAACTATGATTTAATGATATTATTACCGATGTACTATCATGAATAATACAGAAGGTAATTGAATTAATTACTAAGATTTGTATACTCGATCAGTTCTTTAATTACATTTATCACATGTAAATTCTATTTGTTCTTTTTCATATGCTTTTCGAATCATATCATAAAGATCTTAATTTTCTTCATCTTCATTAAAATGTAAATCGATTCCTAAGAACTTTTCTTTTGGACGATATGCTGGTTGTCTTTTAGGACAATTATAACATTCAATACATGATCTATGATAACCAAAGAATATCTTTTCCATTGGAATTTATAAATGTTTAGGTAATAGTTCTAAAAGATCTTCTAGAAAATGATGTGCAAATTCACTCACATCTTATTAATCATTTGTATTACTATATGGTTCTCTTAATTATCTTTTAAGTTCATAAGGAGAACAATACCCTTATTTTTAATAAGTTAAAAGTAGAAATAATTTCTAAAGACTACTTAATTTAGATGGATAAGGAATTAATTATAATGATTAATCAGTAAATTTTAATTGAATAACAAACTTTCTAAAGGATTAGGTCATGTATAAACTTTATAATATACTATTCATAAAACAAGTATTAGTGAGATTTTCAAGACCAACAAAATCTTTAGAATCTCTTAATAGTATATTTTAATCAATTTAACTTTATTATTCAATTAATTATGAAAAATCCCATTAAATATATTATTTATATGGAATCATTTTGTCTGTTGTTTGATAGATTTATATAATATTTAGAAATTGTTCATCAGTATTTAATCCATTATAATTCATAGCAACAGTCAATAAAAATAAAATTCTTTAAGTTTTAAAATCTTTAGTAAATATTTTATAATTGGATGCCTACTTCAATTTGAAATACAATAAATCTAATGATTTTAATAAAGGATCTTAATCTATTGATGACATTCCAATTATATAAAATAATAATAGATCAATTAATTCTGTACTATAATGAATCATTTAAATGTTTCCCAATATAGTTGTCAAAATGAATTCCTAATAGATATATTTTAAAATATCTGAATATTATTTGCTTTTAATTTCTAATGCATATTCATATAAGAATTAACTTATTGTTCTAATAAAAAAGATACTTTATAAAGTAATTGAATAAAAAGTTAATCCTTAAAAGATCTTTAAGGTTACTTTTAAATTATTAAAGTAATTTAGAAGCATAAAATATTTATGTCTATAAAGTAATTCATTAATATGTTGATGTGGAATCTAAATATAATAAATAAAATTAAAATACTTTTCGCAATAATATAAATAATCCAATAGAATTTCCTTCATATGCATATTAAATGATTCCAGTCAATAAAGCTAACCAATCATGAACTTAATTTTAATTTGCAATTCCTTGTCCATTGCATTAGGATAGTAATACATCAGCCAACTTTTCTAATAGGGATATATCTGTTGGATCTGCTTTATGGAGACATTTAAAAGGAATGAGCATTAATGAGAATAATTCTGGATTAAATCCCAAATCTTATGGACATAGTGTTGTAATCATTTGAATCATAAATCTCTGTTTTGTTATATCATTTGTATCTAAACGTAATTCTTTAATAATGGTTCCTTGTTTTCTAAATTCTGTAATTAATTTCTCAGTCTAAAAACCCAATTCTTTAAAGTATATTTTTTATAGATCTTATTTACTAATTTGTTATATATATTTAACATAAATGCAAATATGATTTAGATCTTTTGCAGTTTAGCATACTTTTTTAAATACCTATAAGACTTCATTTTAATCATTTTATGCTTGGATTTTTAATACATTTCCAAAATTGATTTTTAAAGCATGTTCTAACAATTAATTAGAATCTTATCCAATATTATGAATATGTTTATAAATTGCTTAGAGATCTAGGTTTTTAGTTTAATTTTTATTGTCATCTAATATTTTGATTTTATCTTTAAGAGTTGTGACATTATCTAAGATAGTTGTCATACTTGTATATAAATTCAAAATTGAATTTTAATTTTGTATAATTGTATAAATGAACAAAATGCAGAAATTGTATATTTGAAATACTTATTTAATTGGTATATATATATATAACAAAGTTCTAGTAATATATTATATATAATGATGAGCATATATATATAGTTATAAACAGTTATATTAAAATATGAAATAATAAATTGCACCAAAACCCAAAATTACTACTCAATTACCAATATTGCCAGAAATAAAAAGATAATCCAAGGATTCTTTGGGGACTCCTCTGTAAGTTGCGTATGAATATATAGGAAATTAATGAAACCAGCTATTTAGAATCCTTTATCATAATCTCGTCTTTCAAGATAATCAAGTAGCATTGAAACTACAATATCATAAGAATCATAAAGAAAGTAGTCTCAACCAAAGAAGCCTAATGTTGAAACTTTGGTGAAGAATAAGACATACTTTAATCATCGTTCTTTAATGAATGATTATTTGAAAAGATAGAACATTTCAATTGCAACAAAAGTGTTTTGTTTTAATTCATAAGATGAGTATATTAGAAGATGTTTATAAAGACATGGTTGGCTTGAAACACCTTGTAACTAATAAATTTTTGATCTAAAATGGGTTTATACTGATAATCCTGATGATTTTAAAACATTATTAGATGGTTAATTTTACAATCATTTTAGTAACACTAAAGAACTTACTACAAAATCATGTTTATTAACAAACTTTAAAAATTAATGTGAATATGGTTATGATACAAGTACTTTCTTTCCAAGAGCTTTTGATTTAGGAAATGCAACAGATAGAGAGGATTTTCTTAAAGAATATGAAAGAACTGCTGTTACAATAATATTAAAGAAGGCTATTTTTGCTTTGAGAATTAAGAGAAAAAATGAGATGAAGAAAATAAAAGAAATAATATTAAAGGAATGGAAAGAGAAAGAAGAATATTCAAAGATTAGAAAAATTGATATGAAAAGAACAGTAAAGAGGAAATACAAAAATATTTATACAGCATAAGAATTGGAAGATTCATAATAATAATCAGATATTAAATTTGATTGTTTAATTATGTCTGAAGTATTATCTAGATTATCTGATATGAAAAGATAGTTGAAAGATGGTTTCTATGATGATAAAAATTTTGAATTGAGTTAACAATACATATCAAAAACTAGATTAAAGTAATATTTATATATATTTATAATATAGTTTAATTACTTATTCTCAAATTTAAAAGTTTGAGAAAGGTACTAATCCAAGTTTATTTTTAATCAAAAAATTGTATAGATATCATTTGTTTTTTAAAAAGTATGATCCAGCATATAAGGTTGATGGAATCAATAATATATGGATTATTAAACCTGGAGGATGTGCAAGAGGATAAGGAATTTATTTAGAGAAGGATATTACAGAAGCAATTAATAGTGGTTAATAAATGTAAGCTAGATTGGTACAAAAGTATATAGAAAGACCATTGTTATATAAAGGATATAAATTTGATTTGAGATAATGGGTTTTAGTAAGGAGTTTCTAACCATTATAAGCATTTGTCTTCAGTCATTGTTATATGAGAATGTGTAGTCAACCATATGATGTGAAAGACACTAAGAATTTATTAAAGCATTTGACAAATTTTTCTTTAAATAAATCAGAATTTAAGAAGTAAGTGAGCAATAATAATACATTAGTCAAAATGATTCAATTTACAGTAGTGATTTTATGTAGCAATGGCTTCCTGTTGATTGGTAAAAGATAGTTAGACCATAATGTAATGACTTAATGATTAAAACACTGAAAATATTATAAGATCAATTTGAAGGTGAATCTAAATATTGTTTTGAATTATTTGGTTTTGATATTATGTTAGATGAATATTGTAAACCATGGTTATTAGAAGTCAATTTATCACCAGCATGTGCAGAAAGAGCAGATTGGTTACATGAAATGTTAGATTCTATGGCTGAGAGTATGTTTAATATAGTATTTGGTGATGAATTTATTAGACCTAAAAAATACTATTATGAATTATTAATTGATGAAGAATAAACTTATAATAATTAATAATAGAATGATAATTAATTTGAATTATGGGGATAGAAATGTAATATTAAAAGAGAAAAGATGATTGATAAAAGATATATAGAATCTTTGGCAGCTTTAATGATATAAAAGTTTTATAGAATGTATAAAGCTAAAAAAATAAAATGGTTTTTAAGAGATACAAAATATGCTATTATTATCTAAAAATATGTTAGGAGAATGCTTTCTAAATTATTAAGAATAAGATTAAAAAATTATAATTCAGCTACCAAAATATAAACACTTATTAGAGGATTTTTAGCTAAAAAGAGGAAATATCATTTAAAAAGAAACAAAATGGCAACTAAAATACAATGTAGATTTAGATGTAATTAATCAATAAAAATTAAAAATGAATTAAAAAGAGAATTAGCAATTTTGTATTTAGAATAATTGATCTCATTTAAAATATCATCTAAAGTTGCTAATGATTTGTAATACAAACTATTTAAATATAAAAAAATTTAAAGATGGTGGAAATCATTATATAGAAAAAGAATAAAATAGAGTGCCAAAATTAATTCACTTTTTAAATGGTATTCATATATTATTATTAATTTAGTTTTATTTAAAAAAAGAAATATAAGAAATTACTTAAAAATCATAGATCTGCTATTATAATTTAAAAAAATTATAAAAGATTTAAAGCAATTAAATTAAGAAAAAGATTGGAAAAAGAATAAACAGCTCTTTTATTGTAATGTTTAATGAGAATAAGATTGGCAAAAAGGTAAAAAAGATTAGAAATTATTCAAAATGGATTAAATAAATTAACAAAAGTTTATGGTAGACATAAATCAAGAGTAGCAATGGTTAATATTTGGAATATGGGATTGTTAAGGATGAAATCAATTATGAAAATATAGTCATATAGACTTGTAATTAAATCAAAAAGATATGTACGTAGACTCAAACGATTAAAGAAATTTATTAGATTATAAGCATTTATAAAAGGCTTTTTATAAAGAAAGAGATATAGAAGATTAATTAAAAGAAAAAGAGCAATTAAATTGATTATTAAATGTATTAGAAGATATATCTTTAAAAAGAAGATAAAGAGAAGAATTTAATAAAAAAAAGGAAGAGGTCTTAATCTATATTCCTAATAGCCTAGTAAAACAAATACAATTTAAACTATATCTACTAGAAATTCATAAACTATATAATAATTTCAAAGCAAAAATACAAAGAAATAGACAATCCAAATTCCTAAAAAGAAATGAATCAATAAAACTAATTAGATAGAAAAATCATCAAAATAATGTTTTCTATTTGCCAATATAGGTTGGAAGTGCATCTAGATTTAATTTAGGCACTCCATTTATTTACTAAATTTTACCCATTTTTACACTACTTGATCTAGCTTATTAACGAATTCTTTTAGTATCACCTTCTCTATTACTTTCTTGTCTTGCACTCTCTTTCTTTTCATTAAGAATTGATTTCAAAATTCTATTTTCTTCTAAAATCAATTTTATTCTTAATTCTAAATGTTCAACTCTCATTTTCTCTTTTTTCAATTCTTATTCATGACTACAACATTTCAAATATTAATTTTAATTGTTTTCTTTATTACTGTTATCTAATTGGGTTTCAATTTTTTTAGGTTTATTATCAACAATTTAACCTAAAATTTATTCATTTTCTCCATTTAACAAACTATCTACAGTCTAATAATTTTGATTATTTTAGATTATTGAAATATTGCCTATTTTCTATTATAAATATTCAATATCTTATTCCTAAAAATCTAGTTATTTTAGTTCTCTTAAAATATTTCTAAGGAATGATAAATGTCCTTCTTCTTCTAACATCTAATCTATAAAATTCTTTAAACAAATATGAATTGCTTCAATTTCATCTCTACCAAAACCACTGGCATTTATACCTTTGAACCTTTTTATTTATTTGATAATTCATACATAATATTACATTCAACACATTTATAACCAACTTATTTTTAATTTTTTGTTATTCCTGCAGCAAGTAACAAATTCAGCAATTTATCTAAATCTTTATTAGGAAGACTATTGAAAATACTCTTAACTTGTTATACTACTAATTTGTTCATATGACAGTTAAATTAATTTAATTTAAGTAATTCAAGAATTAAAAGGGAAACACTTTTATTTTAGTATTCAATATCATATCATATCAAAATAACTATTTAATTGAAATATATATTGAGTAAAATTAACTAGAAGAATTTAACTCTTTTTTTTAACTATTTTATTTTATATACATATATATATATATAGATAGATTGTCTTAATCAAAACATTTAAGTTGATTATTAATCTTTGTTTATAATTATTCTACTAAGAAATATGCATATAATAAAGAGAACAAAATTAAAAATTAATTATTCTATAATGAATTTGATAAATTAATTGGTATCTAAATCTGATAAAGAATGAGTTATGTTTATAAATTTAAGAATGTATAAAATATAGTGTTCTTATTTTCATTAATGTTAAAATTGAATGTAAAAAGGGAATTATTAGTTTTTGTAATTCTTGATTTGATGAGTGTCTTTAGTTGAATGAATTTTGGTTTGTGTTTAAAATTACGGTAAAAAAAAAATATTGAATATTTATTAACTCATGGGAGGTGCATTAAAGTGTGGGATTCAAAGAAAGCCAAAGAAAAGCAGTACTCATAAATTGATTGCTTAAAAATACTTAGGAAAATGTATACATTGAAATTAGAGTGTAGTTGATGAATTTGAACTGGATATGCTTATTCTTATTTTTAAAGACCTGTCTTCTAGATAAAGTAATTCATTGTTAAGTAGAGACACATTCAATACCTTCTTTTAAATAATAGTTTGTAGCATATAGATTATTAATGTAGGGATTTTGGGGAGAACAAATATTTAATAAGTTCACTAATAAGTAAGAAGATTACATGAATTTTGATGAGTTTTTAGCAGGAATGGAAATGTACATTAAATGTTCAGATGAATAGCGAATTGTGAATTTGTTTCAACTTTATGATTTAAAAAGCTAAAAAGGAATAGCCAAGAATGATTTTTTATAAATGGTATGTTAAGTTTTAGATAAAAATAGATGCAAAATTATCCTTAATATGAATTAAAGAAGATATGTGAAGACTAGCTATTTTTAGATGAATCTTTGATTATTGATGATTTCGGTAATAGACGTAAACATCATCATAGAAAATATAAGAATAGTGCAGATATATTGGAATTATCAGGTATATATATAAATGCATAATGAATAAGTCTAACAATTTAGAAAGTAGAGCTAGAATATTTCTGAACAGCAATTTGATAGTTCTAAGAAAATAATCTCAGAAGGTTTATAAAGTTGTTTTTCCAAATAATCTGATGCCCTTTTTGTATAAGATAGTATGATTTAAGAAAATGGTATATCTTAAAAACGATTTGGATTGATAATAACAGCTTAAGTATATTATTTAATAAATTAGGTTGATGGTTAAAAGATTGAAATGTGTGTGAATTAAAGTCTATTGATTAAGAAATATGTTGATTTAGTGTATAAGAATAAACACGATTAATTATTGTCATTACAAGAATTCTAGGCATTTATTGCTAAACATCCTAATTTAATCCAACCTCTATATGCAGCCTTTAATTATAACATTTGGGGAATCATAGATAAATAGCCAAACTATAAATAACTGTAAGAATGCGATGAATACAAAATAGAATGTTGATAATGTCAGGAGACTTATATAGAATTTCAAAGAAAAAAGATATTAAATAGAAATATTGTGAACTTTATCCACATGTGTTAATAGAGTTTAGTAAAAAAGGAGAAAACCCTTCAAAAGTCATATGTTTGTAGGGTTTGATAATAGAGGAGAAGGTACACCAATAAGTTTAAAAGTATGGTTTTGAAGTGATACATGTTGGAAAATAGTATAAGAGTAAGAGTTATGAATGTTCTGATGATAAGTAATTTAGATTATGGTAGAATGCATTACAAGCTTATAATAAGTAATTATGATAGTATTATTGGAGTGGGGAGATAAGCAAAAAGTATTCTATATTAGAGAAGATTGGGTAGGGTCAATCATCTATGGTTTATAAATGTTAGGACAAATAGACAAAGGAGACATATGCTTTGAAGATTATCAATAAATAATAGATTTCTTAGAATTAAGTAGAAGCTATAAAGCATGAGGTTGAGATAATGAAATTGATAAATCATTAATATATTGTAAGATTAGTTGAGAGTTTTGAAAATAGAAGTCACATCTACTTAGTTACTGAATTAATAAAAGATGGAGATCTGTATGATTATGTAGAAGAGAAGAAATATCTGGCTGAAGATGAAGCTGCTTTAGTTTTATCTTAATTGATTGAAGCATTGTTGTGTATACATTCAATGGGAATTGTACATCGTGACATAAAACCAGAAAATATAATGATAGTTTTGAATTAGAATACTATTAAATAGGTGAAGATAATTGATTTCGGATTTGCCAATTATTTATCCATTTTGAATGAGAGGAAAGAGAATTTCGAATGTGGTACAATGAATTATATAGCACCTGAAGTATATTAGTAATGTAAAGAATTGACATCTAAAATTGATAACTTTGCTTTGGGAGGAGTTCTGTATTTTATGATATGTGGTTATGCACCTTTCTATTCTGAAATACTATTAGAAATAAAAGAAAATATTATTGATGGCAATTATGACATTTAAGATGAGTTCTGGCAATGTGTTAATGATGATGTTAAAGAACTCATTGCTGGATTATTTGATGTTGATCCTATTAAAAGATTATCACTCTAACAAGTTAAAGAACATATTTGGATGAAGAAATTTTTGGAGAAGCGTAAATAAAAGAAGAAATGATATTATATATAAATTCATGTTTTGATATCTACATATCAATTAAATTATTAATATACCATATAAATAATCAAACTCCCAAATTACCATATAAATGTATCACACTCTCTTATTTATTCTTATCCTAACAGACTATGGCCAATATGAATTTGTTAGGATGGAAACAAATATCAGATGGTTATCCTTCTAATTTTATCGAATCTATATGATCTGTCTTACCAGCTAAACATCTGTCTACCTAATAGATATAAGCTTATTCTTCCAAACCAATAGCTGCTATGTATTTACTGTCAAAAATAGATATCGATTTAATTTCTGATTCCACTGTCATTAATTATCCTGCACACAATAAATCTGGTAATTGCCATAAAATAATCAGAGAATCCTAAGCACCAGTATACATATGCTAACCATCTTTGCTGAATTTACATTAAGTAATTCCAGCTCTGTGGGCTTCCATCTAATGAAGAGGAGGTAATTAAGGATTGTTTACATCCATAAATTATATCATACCAACTCCATTTTATTGACCAACTGCTACAAAAACATCTTTATCATACATAATGTTCTTCAATTCGAAATTCTTATCCTTATCTTTTGGTTAATACAATATTTATCTCTCTCCTCCTTACATATCTAAAAACATGATTTGTGTTTCCTTATTCTATTTAGTACCCACTGCCAATTCATTACCATTAGGACTCCAACAAGCAATACCCATTTATTCCTTCTTCTCTTATCTTACACTTTATTTTGTACGAATATCCCATATCTTCACATACTCCTTTGTTATAGAAGCTATAATGTCTGGTTGTGTTGGATGAAATAACAATTTTTCCAATTATTCTGATCCTTACTTTAAATCAGTTGATCTCTTAATATTATTTCCATCAAAAGACCAAATTTTAATAGTAGAATCACTTGATGTAGCCAAATAACTTCCATTACAATTCCAATCCATTGATTTTATTGTTTTACGTTCTTATTGAGTTTTCTCTCTTTATGAATTTTTTGGGTATTCTTTGAATTATTAATAAAACATATATTAATCTACATAAATAATAAGTTTTAACTAAGCTTAAAGAATATTAAATGTAATTAATATTATTATAATATTATTAATATTCATATTGCTGCTAGAAGTTTTTACTTCTCAAGTTCTTTTTATTACATCTCTTTTAATTTATCCTCAATCATTTGATTTTCAATAACTTTCTTCATTCTACCACCATAATAAGTAGCTAAGGCTTAAATAACATAGAATCCTACAAAGACAACTGCACATACAATTGCATATTATTTCGAATTTGCCTTAGCTATTAATAGATTTAAGTTACTTACCAGCTTCAATTAATCCATACCATATAGGTAAACATATTCCCCAAGTGAAGATTGTCATCAATACAACATAAAAGTAATCAATGCATTCAAATGGATAATAACCTGGAGTGGTTCCATGGAATTTAGGTTTGTAGGCACCAAATTTTCTAATTTAATAACATTTAATAGCATACCTAGTATATCCATCATCTAACATAGGGTCTTCTACAATAGTTGGGTCAATTTTATGATAATCTTACTAATCCATAGTTAAATATAATAATTATATTAATTATCAAATTAAGTATATTAATATAATATAAATATACAAAAAATGTCAATGTTAAAAGTAACAATAAAAAATAAAGAAGTTGAAATTGCTAATGAAGAATATCAATATGAAAATATAGTTTAATTAATGGATAAATTGAAGAATGCACATGGAGTAGTATAGAATAAGATAAAAGAAATAAGTATTAGAAATGAGATTATTAAATAGTAGATACTTTGGGAGCAGAAGGTGTAAAGAAGGTCAAAAAGAATCCAAAAGAAGAAGAATAAGAAGAGAATGATGATAAAGGTGATGATGTTAATGATTGTGATTAAGACAATGAATGATAATTTGAATATAAATTTCATAATTTTTTTATGACTCTCCACAAAAGTATGGTCATATCTTCTCCTCCCATAGTCACTAAATATTGATCATCCTAAGTAAATTTGACCTATGAAATTGGAGATGAATGACCTCTTCTTTAAATTGGTTCAGATTTCTTATTTATACATGGATATCTATATAAATTATAGATGAATAAATTACCTATATAAAAGTACTTCATTAAAGTCATTACCAACAGCTAATAAATAATAATTATCTGGTTATTTAGGAGCAAAAGGAGAGTTAGATCTACAAACACAATTGATCTCTTAACCATTATAATCATCACGCCATATACCTTAGACTGGCCATCCAAGAATATTTGTCCAAGTGGCCCATTTTTCATCTCTTAAGATATTACGTCCTTAAGGCATCTATTTACCAGTTGTTATATCCCAAAATATTAGATCAAAACTACCACAAGTAGATATTAATTTGGTACTATCTACACTGAAATCAACATTTTTGATAAATGCACTATGTTTTCTAAGTGGTTTCAAATGTATAACAAATTCTGGAATTCTATAAATATAGATGCAATTATCATGTGAACCAAATGCTATATATTCATTATTGGGTGAAATCTTGATATCTGATATCCAATCTTTAGCTACTTTAAAGTAACTCTTTTATTTCAATTCTCTATCATAAACTCTTACTCCCCCATCTTTAAATCCTACTACAATAAAATCAAAATTAACAGCAATAGAACGTCCTCTAACACTATCAGGATAAACACCATTTTCATCTGGTTTAATATCTACAAAGTTAGAGTCTTAGACAGTTCTAATAAATAATGTTTATTTTCTTTAGGATACACTCCATTATCTAAGTGTTGCATCATCTCCACAAGAATAAATAAAATCACCTTCAATAGCTAATCCCCATAATTCACTTTAGATTTATGGTGCATAATGTCCTTTCATCATTATTTTGGGTGTAAATTTAGTTTGATTAGTAATTTTAGTATCTTTAGTACTTAGTTCCCAAATCTCACATCCTACAGTTCCTACAACTAATTTATCTTCAAAATAGCAAACACTTTTAATAATTGGTTAAAATGCTTATTTACTTAAATCTAGTAATTTAAATTAGATTATGAAATCTTCTTTGATTTATTTTCCATCATAGATTGTAATAAGTTGATCTTTTCCTCCTGTGAATAAATAATCTTTGGTTTTAAATAGAGCATCAACTTATTGAGTGTGATGTTCAAGTGTATGTTATAATACTTTTTTTTAATAAATAAGGACTTTTCCTCGATTATCAGCAATATAAATTTCTTCATCATCAATTATAAAGGTATTCAAGATAAGTTTATCTTATATTGGGATTTTAGAAATAACAATTTAAGATGAAAAGATCCATTCCTTAAAATGTTATGGACCTATAGTATAAAAAGTAGTTTCATTCATCCATTTAATTTCATTAATAATTTATTTTCCTGATTGATATTTAAATGATAAAGTTCCCCCACTTTCACTCTTTGTATTAATTTCAAAAATAGCTATTGTTGTAAATTCATCCATTGCAAGAGCTACCAATTGATTAAATGGAGAGAATTAAAGTGATTTGATACCCTTACTTAATTAATTAAATTTGCATAATGCTTATAAAGTATTACTATCCCAAACATAAATGACTCCAGTATTGATTTCTCCAGTTGCAACTCTTATACCATCTTAATGTAAGTCCATTGATATAATATCATCTTCATGCATATTGAATATTTTTTGTTAATTTACATTCATATCCAAAACTATACCTAATGAAGCAGAATGATAAACAATATTTCCAGACTTTAAAAATCTTATATTGTTTTTACAATCATTTCCTCTATAACCAAATGCATGTTCTAATTCCAAATCTATTAATGGTGGTGTATTTTAATTTATTGGATCTTTATAATAAGAAGAAGGTTCTTTTATATTAGAAGCCCAAGGTTTTAAAGAAATCTTCTCAACATATTCTTCATCTTTTACTTATTATTATTATTGAGGAATTCCATACTTTTCTAATCCTGTTTTTTTTTATTATTAAATATTAATTCCTAATAATTTCTCTGTTTCTGCATCCAAAATTGTTGGTTCATCTATTTCTAATTACCAAATCATAATTGCTTTTTAACCCACAGAAATTGCATATTGTTTTGCTTCAGTTTCCATACAAAATTAAATCCAATTGATAGGTCCACTATGTCCTTTATATGTTCTGCAACATCTACCTGTAACTGGATATTTAAATAAAGATAAATTTCCAAATTGATCTCCAGTTATAAAAACATATTCCTTAATATTACCTGTTTCAGTTTTCACTTCCTTTGTTTTATGCAACCATACTGCTGTAATGTCTTCTCCAGGATTATTTGGATATATATATTGTAATCCAGGACCATAAATACAAGACCATGTCTGCCATTTAATATCATAATTATATTAAACATCACGTTATTTAGTAAGTGATATACATTTCAATTCATAATTTGTAGATGATGCTAAAATATGAGTACTATCTTCTGACCAATCTAATTATAATATTCCTCCTGTAAAACCACAATTAATAATTTATCTCTCTTTATCAAATTTATATGTATTATCAGATGAATTTATTGTCCAAATTTCAATATGTGATGGTCCACCTTATGCTCCAACACATACTCTCTTACCTCTTGGATCAAATTTAACTCTAGATATCTCATAAGCAATAGTTTTTTATTTTAAATTGAAATTAGTTGAAACACTACCTAAAGGTGAAAGTTTTTCATCTAATAAATACAGAAATCCTTTAGAATCTCCACATACTATTAGATTGTTATAAACATCAATAGATCTTAATTGATATTAATAAGGTTCACTATTTAAAGAACAAACTCTATTACGAATATCCCATACTTTAATAGTTCTATCACTACTACAAGTATAAACTTTATATTTAGAAATTGCTAATCCTCTAACATCTTCTCCATGACCTTTAATTATATCAATAGAATGTATCTATGCTGTTATTACTAATTCTTTTATATCACAAGTGCTTGTTAAAAATACTATATTATCATTCCTTATATCCATAGATAATAATGGAGGAGTTTGAGTTTCCATAAATTATTGGATTTGTTATAATTAATTCTAGATAGAATGCCATAGAATAATTTTACCATCATCTCCACCAGAATATAAATTTTATTTAACTGCAATTAATACATTCACTCTACCTGAATGACCCAAAATTCTGTTAGTCTATTTATTCTTTATAACCATTAATTCTCCTTAATCATTTGCACAAACTAATTCACTATTAAAAGCAAAAGTTACTGCACTTAATTAACCTGGAAATTAATCAAATGATAGATTTCTACCCTTAATTTCCCATACTCTCATATACTTACCCACTGTTACAAATTAAATAATTTTAGGATTACCCAAAAAACAACAATCAGTTAAAGGGGATTTATCTACTTTTGAATTACATATTATTCTATTTGCTTACCAATCATAAACACATATTGAATTAAATTAATCAGAACCACAAGTTAATAATAATGTACCATCAATACTAAACTTCAAATTTTTTATACCATTTTTATGATATCCTCTTATTTAAACTTATGTTTAACGTGTATCAACATCCCATAAATTAATTTCATCACCAACTGTTCCTGTTGCAATTATCTAACTTTTTGGATGTACACTTAAACTTAATATTAATTATGTATGTCCATAATAGAAATTCTATTTACGATATGGTGCACTTTAATCAATCTTAGTATCCAAAATAACACAAAGACAACCAATTGGATACACTATTTTTTATTAACCAGCATATTTCAATTATTAATATAAAGTGTTGCCTTTATAACTAGTGGATACACCAAATATATATCTTAAATTAAGATAATTTATAGGTAACTTTAATTATTCTTCTTCAGCTTCATCCATTTTAATTTAATCAAGAAATGGTTTATTAGTCTTTTAATTATCATTTCCATCCATTTAATCATCAAACTAATTTAATTCTGATTTAAAAGCACTTCTATTTCTAGAATGAGTTGTACTACTTCTCTCTACTACATTCTATTCAACCTAGAAATTCCATTAAATTATGCTCTTTTCATTCTCTCCAAGACTAATCAAACATTTATCATTAGATGAAAATCTTAGTTTACTGATTCTACCACTATGTCCCAAATAACGATAAAAACTACAATTTATTTTATAAGCAGGATATTTATATAATTTTATTTATCCATATTTATCTCCTATAGCAATGACAGATTTTGAACCATCTCTATCAGCTGTAACTATTTCAGTTCCATCTGTCTTTTAAGGCCAAGCTCCTTTGATTTACCATCCATATATAGATGTAAATGATTTCCAATCATCCTCTTTATATCTGATCAATTATCTTTGAGCTAAATCAATACACCATAATTATTGATTATCAAAAGTGACTAAAATCCTTTGAGTGATTGAATAATCAATAGATATACAATTACCAGGTCTACCTGGAATGGATAAAAGTTTCTTAAATTTTTACTTGATACTATAAACAAAGAATTCAAAATATGGAGATGAATAAAATGCAATTAAATATTCATCAACTATTTTAATACATGTAATTTCACTATCTCTATCTTTGAAATCTTATAATTATGTTAATTTATAAGGTTCCATTAATAAAACAGTACCATTGCCACATCCACCAACCAAATAACGATCATTAACATCTAAAGTTTTAATACAATAATCAAATTTCTTTTTTTCCTTCAATTATTTACTATTTAAATCCCATAACATTAACATCTGATCTTCACCAGATGTATAAAATAAATCTTTTGTAGGATGACATACCAATGCTTCTAATTTACCATCAAAATGTGCATTCACTCTTACTTTCAATTCACTATTTATTAATTCCAAAATCTAACCTCCTCTAGTTCCTATAAGTATAGCTGTTTAATCCATATTTTCATACAAAGCTGTAATTTTTATATTGTTTAATAAAATATCCTTCTAATTAGCTAGATTAAATGCTCTTATCTTTTTTAAATTATGATCCCACCATCCAATTTAACCATCCTTACCTCCAGTCAAAATCATAATCTTCTTATTACATGTATGAATAGTTGTAATAGGTCCTTTATGAGCATCTGAAATAGCCATAGTAGTTCTACCAACTCTCCATAAAAGTAAATAACCTTTAAATGATCCTACAACTACTGCATTCTCCAATAATCCAATAGATAAAATAGCTTAATATGAACAATATTTAGAATCCCACATTCCCTTTACTATCCTTAATACATTGTTATCATATGTAACAAAATTCACTTCTCCCATGCATGCAATCACAATTTATTTATCAGATTTCTCAAACTTGATATCAAAAATTTCAACAATAGGACCTTTACCATTAGCCAATAAGGACTCATCCTTTCTTCCATTCATTCTTGTTTAAGACCCTTTTTCTATATCATACACAACTACACATTAATCTTCATCCATTCCTACTGCTGCCAACTTTCTTCCATCATTTGATATACATAAATTACTTACTCCTACTGTTAGAACTCCTCTAAAAACTGCTCTTAATTCCATAGATCTTGAATCCCATACAAATATTGATGGCTTTGATCCCATCTATCCACTTGCAACCAAATGTTCCCATACATCTAAACATGTTACATCATCAGTGTGTTCCATAAAGAATTCTTATTTCTCTCCATCTTTTATTACTAAACTACCTGTGTGATATATTAATTCATTCTCTATTGAATATTTAATATTATTTCTTGTATCAAAACATCTAAATCCATAAACATGATCAATCTCCAAAGTTGCATTTGGTGGATTTCCATTTACATCTTCAGGATCATCTGGATCCATAATCATATTGTCTTTTGCTAATTATTAATGCCAAGCTAATTATTCAATTCCACCTCCATTCATTTAAGTCTCTATTCCCAAAGCAACTGCTTCATCCTCTACTGTCTTTACAACCCTACTTTTAAATATTTCATTCTCTAAATCACTATCTGCCTCAGGTACTGGTAATTCATTATTCTATGGTTCACCAAAATTGAATCTCAAATCTTATATTGATATTAATCCATAGCTTAATAACATTTTCACTATATCAGGATCTTTGGAAACGAAACTGTAGAATTCTTTTGCTGATATTGATGCATCTCCATTAGTGTCATAACGATCTAAAATGACCTATGCAATCCCAACAGCCTCCTAGATTGAACATTCTCCTTTTGATGATATTGCATTCACTGTTGTCAAAACTGTCTTAATCAATATAATCAATTCCTATTTATTCATTGTCCTATTTCGATCAAAGTCATATAATCCAAACATTAAATCACATTTTTCCTATCTCATCATTATTATATACCCTTAAATTTGCATAAGCCATCAATGATAATGCACAAACAAACTCTAATGTTTCTATTTTACCTGAACTGCTCAAATCAAATATACGAAATATCTTTCTAATATATTATTAATACTCTTTCTGTCTCTTCCTCCTTTGTCTTCATAGCCAAAGAAAATGCATCCTTTGTTATACTTAAATCCGCCTCTGATAACATTTCAAGTCGTTCCCTATTGCTATTATAATACTTAACCTTAACATCATAACATGCTTTATTGTTAGTCCAGCATATTTTCTAAATGAATCCAAATCACTTGGTGTCCCTTGAGTGTTTCCCATTTATTTTAATTATTACTATCAATTATATATAAATTTGTTAAAACCTCAATACTATTTCAAAAAAATAAAATTGTATATATTTCATAATTCAAATTTATTATAAATTATATATTTCAATACTTTAAACCATTTTTATATTCTGTCTCCTTTATTCTTATTTAATCTTTATTTTTGTTTTAATCACCATCTAATTCAATCCACTTTCCATTTTTATATCCATTATCACCATAATACCCTCCTCCACTATATATATATATTAATAATCAACTCATTTTACATTTACTTATTTTAAAAAAATGTATTCCATTTTCCCTACTTCTTTCCATTATTATATCTGCCCAAATAACTAATACCAGTACTATAATCAATTAATATTCCATACTTCATAAATGGGTCATGTAAATCAATCCAATTTTCATTTTTTAATCCATTATCATCATAAAAACCACATCCTCTAATATCATAATTATATATATATATAACATTAATTTCTAATCTAATATTGCATCCCAATTCCCATATTTTCTTGAATCTATATACGAACCAATTAAAAATAGATTATTTCTTTTACTTAATAAATAAGCAAATACTTTATAAATTTTTGATGCAATTCAATCCATTTACCTTGCTTCATTCCAATTAAATCATAAAATCCTCCTCCACTAAATTTAATGATATATTTATTCTACATTTTTGTATTATATTAAATCATCTCCCAATATCCTTATTTTATTCCATCCTTATATAATCCACTAAATTTAATTTATTATTAACTTAACATTAAATAAATCCTTACTCCCAAAAATGTTAATGTAATTCAATCCACTGACCTTACTATATACCATTATAATCATAAATTCCTCCTCCACTATTTTATTAATAATTTTGAAATACATTATTTCATACTTATAAAAGATATCCCATTTTCCAATTTTACATCCTTTTTTGTATTATCCGCTCCAAATAACTTAACTAAGACTAGAAATTTTATAATAATGTTTTCTACTTTCCAAAATTTTCATTTAAGACAATCCATTTTCCAGTTTTATATTCATTTTCATCATATTAACCTCCTCCTCTAAAAAAATACAATCAAATTTATTACATAATATTATATTAATAAATTGTATCCCATTTTTTAAATTTCTTTCCATTTTTGTACTCTCCTTTATAACTCACTTAACATGTACTTATTTTATACAAATTTATTAATGTACTCTGAAAAATATTCATGTAATTCAATCCAATTACCATTCTTTATTCCAAATGAATAAACCCCTCCACNTATATATTTCATAATTCAAATTTATTATAAATTATATATTTCAATACTTTAAACCATTTTTATATTCTGTCTCCTTTATTCTTATTTAATCTTTATTTTTGTTTTAATCACCATCTAATTCAATCCACTTTCCATTTTTATATCCATTATCACCATAATACCCTCCTCCACTATATATATATATTAATAATCAACTCATTTTACATTTACTTATTTTAAAAAAATGTATTCCATTTTCCCTACTTCTTTCCATTATTATATCTGCCCAAATAACTAATACCAGTACTATAATCAATTAATATTCCATACTTCATAAATGGGTCATGTAAATCAATCCAATTTTCATTTTTTAATCCATTATCATCATAAAAACCACATCCTCTAATATCATAATTATATATATATATAACATTAATTTCTAATCTAATATTGCATCCCAATTCCCATATTTTCTTGAATCTATATACGAACCAATTAAAAATAGATTATTTCTTTTACTTAATAAATAAGCAAATACTTTATAAATTTTTGATGCAATTCAATCCATTTACCTTGCTTCATTCCAATTAAATCATAAAATCCTCCTCCACTAAATTTAATGATATATTTATTCTACATTTTTGTATTATATTAAATCATCTCCCAATATCCTTATTTTATTCCATCCTTATATAATCCACTAAATTTAATTTATTATTAACTTAACATTAAATAAATCCTTACTCCCAAAAATGTTAATGTAATTCAATCCACTGACCTTACTATATACCATTATAATCATAAATTCCTCCTCCACTATTTTATTAATAATTTTGAAATACATTATTTCATACTTATAAAAGATATCCCATTTTCCAATTTTACATCCTTTTTTGTATTATCCGCTCCAAATAACTTAACTAAGACTAGAAATTTTATAATAATGTTTTCTACTTTCCAAAATTTTCATTTAAGACAATCCATTTTCCAGTTTTATATTCATTTTCATCATATTAACCTCCTCCTCTAAAAAAATACAATCAAATTTATTACATAATATTATATTAATAAATTGTATCCCATTTTTTAAATTTCTTTCCATTTTTGTACTCTCCTTTATAACTCACTTAACATGTACTTATTTTATACAAATTTATTAATGTACTCTGAAAAATATTCATGTAATTCAATCCAATTACCATTCTTTATTCCAAATGAATAAACCCCTCCACCTCTAAATAATATATAAAAAAAACATAATTACATGACATTTTTATTATAAATGTATTACCATTTTCCTTCTTTTTTCTAATTGTTATACACCCCTTCATAAGTCACTTTACCAAAACTATTATTTTTTAATTATGAATGGATAACTCATAAAAATTGTCTTGCAATTCTACCCATTTACCATTTTTCATTCCATTTTCATTATAACTACCACCTCCACTTTTTATCATATTTCAAATTATACATCATATCCTTTTAATTAGATATATATAGCTATTTGCATGGTTTCCCATTGTTGTATTATCCTATATATGTTATCTAACTATTTCTAAGAAATTAATTAAATAGTTACATAGAATAGTTTTTAAAAACCTCAACCCAATCCCCATCCTTTAATCCCACTTCATTGAAATTTCCTTTACCACTAGAAACATTATAAAATTCTAACATTATTTTTTCTTCAAAAATAGCTTTCCATTCCCCTTTTTTTATTCCTTTTTAATATTTTCCTTAATATGTGACTTAACACCAACTAATTTCTTTAGTTTCTAATATACTCAAAAAAGTTTTCATGCAAATCAACCCAACGTCCAGCCTTTACTTAATTTTCATCATAAGTTCCAATTCCACTAATTTAATAAAGAAATTAAATATACACTACTTTCTCCTTAAAAATTTGAGTCCATTCCCCTACTTTCTTCCCATTCTTATATCTTCCACGCTCTATAATTTTGCACCAACTACAAGTTATTGAATTGATTACCTACTAAAATTTTCATAAACCTCAACCCATGCTCCTATTTTTTCTCCTTCAACATACATCCCACCTCCACTAATGTAATAGTTAATTCTAATATACATCTCAATATCAACAAAAAGAATTTTCCAAAATCCCTGTTTTTATCCTTTAATATATTCACCTTAGTAAGTTATCCGAGCTTTACTTATATTTTATTGAATTATTACTCCCAATAATTCTCAAATAATTCAATCCAATTTCCAATTTTTTCCCCATCATCATTGAAAAATCCACCAACATTGAGGTTTTCACCTCTCCAAAAGGCATTCCATCTTCCAATCTTTTATCCCTTATCATTAGTTTAGCCAATCCAAAATAAACTCTTTAATTGTTCAAAATTTGGATGAATATTTTGTATGGTATTATAATCAATGTATTTTTAACTAAAATTAAAGTGAGTTCCTTACATCTAAAGAACATCTCCATCTTTAATGAAAATTAGTTCTGAACTCCCATTTAATAAAATTGTAATTTCACTAGAAAATAATCTCTAATCATATTTTAAGAAGCCTAAAACTTTACAAAGCTTTTATTTAATCAATTAGTTTTCAACCTCTTATGTATTTCTTATAAGTATTGCTTCTAAATAAGATGCCATATATTCAGAATTTATTATTAATTTATTAAATCCAATTCATTATAAAAATAAAAATCAAAAAAAGTAATTAAAAAGTTTCCAATCATTATTTACATAATTGATATTTTTATAATTTAATTGAACTTTAAGAATAGTTAATTAGATAACAGAATAATAATTGGAAATATTTAAGAATTTGACTCAAATTTAATCATACATATATGTATTTGAGATGACGATTTTATGATTTTTAATCATAAGATTATTTAGAATCATTTTTTGTTTCTATAATTTACACTTAAGATTAAAAATTCAAAATTTGAAATATATTTTTAATATGAAGACATTTGCTTTAAACTTTTTCCTTTTTTTGAATAATATTATTTAATTATTAATATGAAATTTTCTTTTTTCATAACAAATTGATTAAATAAATATTAAGTTTGGAATATATATATATGAATTTTTATATAATATTATTTGTAATGAATTACTATATTTTTTTTTCAATAATTGTGATATTGATATTATGACTTTGATTATAAAACGTTTTATTATTATTAAGGACGATTAATTGAAGCCAATCCAACAAAGAGTTGACTATTAAATATTAAACCTTAATCTCCTCTAGATACTAGATCTTATTATTATGTTGTGTCCTTTTTAATTACTTAAGTAGTAGAGCCTAATCCAAACATTTCTAATGTTGTTGGTTCTTAAAGGGCTATATCATTTTTGAATGGATCCATTAGTATCTGATCATAGAAGTTTCCAGTGTAAAATATATTGAATTCATTTCGTTATACTGCTACCAATGCTGTAGTAAGGATCATCAATACTTCAGTAAAAATAGATCTAAAATAATAATAGATTTTATTACGTTGGTAAAGGAAATGAAAATATGTATTGAATTAGAACCCAAAAAATGAGTCCAACAAGTAATCCAAAGAAAGCTATAATTTCATAGACATATGTTTATTTATGTTTGTCAAATCTATTTACATAACCCAAAAAGAAACCTCATAATAATATTAAAAGATTTACCGGGAAATAACAAATTAAAAATAGAAACCCATGCACATTTTTTCTTGTAAATATATCGAAAATAAGGAAATTAGGCTGATAGTGGAGTATTGAAATATCTTAATGCAACACTATCCCATTCATATCTGACAGTTTAACTCAAATAAATAGAACAGAAAATATCAACAATCATAAGGGGTACAAAAAATTAGAGAGCATTTTTTAAGGATGTTATTTTGAATAGTTTGATCAAAGATCCCAAAATACAAATTGATAGAATATTACTAACCTAAGAGTAATTATCATATAATACATACAAACCAGGGTTATTCATAATATAAATAGAAGAAGATAAGTAGGGTTGATAATATGATTGATAAATAATCCCTAACTTTTAAGCAATAAATCTTTTCAGCTAAAAATGTGAGAGTATTTCTAAATTTACCAAAAATTTCATTAAAAAAATGAAATGAAGTGAATACACAAATTATATAAACTAAGATTTTAATAATTTTCTCTGCTTTTTCTTTATAACTCATTGATGTAAATAAAGCAATTAACAATAATGCCATATATACTAAAGCTTAAGNATATATATATATGAATTTTTATATAATATTATTTGTAATGAATTACTATATTTTTTTTTCAATAATTGTGATATTGATATTATGACTTTGATTATAAAACGTTTTATTATTATTAAGGACGATTAATTGAAGCCAATCCAACAAAGAGTTGACTATTAAATATTAAACCTTAATCTCCTCTAGATACTAGATCTTATTATTATGTTGTGTCCTTTTTAATTACTTAAGTAGTAGAGCCTAATCCAAACATTTCTAATGTTGTTGGTTCTTAAAGGGCTATATCATTTTTGAATGGATCCATTAGTATCTGATCATAGAAGTTTCCAGTGTAAAATATATTGAATTCATTTCGTTATACTGCTACCAATGCTGTAGTAAGGATCATCAATACTTCAGTAAAAATAGATCTAAAATAATAATAGATTTTATTACGTTGGTAAAGGAAATGAAAATATGTATTGAATTAGAACCCAAAAAATGAGTCCAACAAGTAATCCAAAGAAAGCTATAATTTCATAGACATATGTTTATTTATGTTTGTCAAATCTATTTACATAACCCAAAAAGAAACCTCATAATAATATTAAAAGATTTACCGGGAAATAACAAATTAAAAATAGAAACCCATGCACATTTTTTCTTGTAAATATATCGAAAATAAGGAAATTAGGCTGATAGTGGAGTATTGAAATATCTTAATGCAACACTATCCCATTCATATCTGACAGTTTAACTCAAATAAATAGAACAGAAAATATCAACAATCATAAGGGGTACAAAAAATTAGAGAGCATTTTTTAAGGATGTTATTTTGAATAGTTTGATCAAAGATCCCAAAATACAAATTGATAGAATATTACTAACCTAAGAGTAATTATCATATAATACATACAAACCAGGGTTATTCATAATATAAATAGAAGAAGATAAGTAGGGTTGATAATATGATTGATAAATAATCCCTAACTTTTAAGCAATAAATCTTTTCAGCTAAAAATGTGAGAGTATTTCTAAATTTACCAAAAATTTCATTAAAAAAATGAAATGAAGTGAATACACAAATTATATAAACTAAGATTTTAATAATTTTCTCTGCTTTTTCTTTATAACTCATTGATGTAAATAAAGCAATTAACAATAATGCCATATATACTAAAGCTTAAGGCCAATATAAATAGAATCCTTAAAAAGGACTTAGATCTACATTTTAAATGTTTTGTTCTTAAAATTATCTTCTTTTTGCAGGTGTTACAAAACTAATTCGAAATGAATAAATTTTTCCAAAAGTAGCTAAGATAATAATAACTACAGAATCAAAAGTAATTAAGATTATATTACTCCAATCAAATCTAATAATATAGTTATTTAGTACCTTTTAGGATGAAAATTACTATCACAAATAAATTAATATTAGAAATTCAAACCTTAAAAGTCTTGAAATCGTATAAATACATTTTATATACTCCAGTAATTAGAGTTGTTAATTTATCTTTCACAACTATGAATAAATTCAACAACAATGGTTTAATGAGGTTCTATAATTGGTAATGAAGATAATTTAGGTGCTACTGATATCTCTTAATAGTCTAAATAATCTGATATTGTTAATTATCTCAAAATAATAGTTTTATCTTCATTATTTTTAATTGTCAAGGGTAATGTAAATTTCTATTTACCATGTCCATGAAGATTATGTGTATCTACTTTATATTTAGTCAGATTTGTAGGACAACATGATAATAATGGGAATTGATCATAATCAAAATAGCTATTCATTTAATTATTTTCATAAACAATAGCAGGTAGATTTTCTTCAGGGTCTTTTTATTTGGGCATAAGAGTGCCAAATGATAGTGTGACATCTGGAAATGCAAAGGTTGTTGTAATAATTTGGAATAGTATTATAATAAACATTATATATAAAATATATAGTAGTAAAATCAAATTTCATATTCCTTTGTTTTAGTTTATAATAATTAATTTAGTTACTTTTAATCTTCAATTTTCTTGACGAGCTTTTTAATAATTAATTTTTATAAGATTATAATCTCATCTTTATCTGGTATTCTAATATCTTCATCTAAATCTTCAATTTTATTTTATAAATTAAATTCTAATTCAGGTAAAACATCATTATATTGTACTTATAGTCCTTTCAATAATAAAATCATTTATAAGTAAGTATCATTAATTTTATCTTAAGAGCGAGAATGAATTTCATTGCCATCTTTAGTAATTTTGAATTTGTACTATAATTCTTCTTATTACTTTTAAATTTCTTCATATTTTTATTTATATTTGTTCATTTATTTTGTGATTAATTTCATATCATTCAAAATAATTTATTTTTCCTTTTTAATTAAACCTAAAATTCCAACGATCCCTTATTATAATTTAGGAGTCTATTATTTAATTTCTTCTAATTATTTTTTTGTTTCCTAAAATAGACTGGCACTACTAATAGATTTATCTTTTAATTCAAATTCATATTGACTTAATGATCTATCTATTTAAGTTGAATTTTCTGTTTATTAATTACTACTTAGAGAATAGCAATGTACTCTTTTAGTACTTGGACTAGTTTATAATCTTAAATTTTTTAGTTTTTAATAACTTAATTTAGGTTGTTTAAAGAGTGGTGAATATGATTACTACTTTTATTGTTATTTTGGTTCTAAGATGGTCGTATTATTCTTTCTATTCTTTTATAGAAAGTCTTAATATTGTTTAATAAAAGAATTCTAACTAGCTTATGAACGAGGTTTAAAGTAAGGTATGTTCATGTAAATAATGATATTAATTAAAATTCATTCCAACAACATTTTCTTTTCTTTTAAATATTTTGTAAATTCTTATTCAATCACTTGTCTTTCAGCTCTCATCATACTATATTTGACAAGGAAAAGATAATAATCATCAGCAGTAAAATTAAAATTGAAGAATGCTTATGGATTCTATTTCATTTCTTCAATTAAAATGTCTTTTTAAATTTAACTTTCTAGTTGGATGATAAATTTGATTACCTTTTTTGTGACAGATTTCTTCAGCTTATTCTATATTCTAGAAATACTCTAATGTACATTTCTCTCCAATTCTAGGAAGAGTACATTCAATATCATCATAACTCTTATTCATTAGAAATAATAAATTATATTTTAAAGTGAAGAAGGATGACAAAGATTAGTATTAATAATTATAAATCTTATTGTACTTATATCTATATATATTATTATATCAAATTTCTAGACGCTTTTCACTAACATAGATTCCATCCAAGAATTATCTAATATCCTTGTTCTTAACAGCACAAGCTTGATGAATAAGTGCACAGGTGAGTGAAACATTATTCAAATCGTTACCTTAGAGTGTTAAAACATCTATAAAGTGTATATTAAGATTTGAATACTCTTTTCTTCTTATTCATTTCTGGTGATGGTCACTCCTGGAAGACATTTGATTGTTCTGATGATCTTTTCTCCAAGGAAATTCTTGATTTCAATGGCTTTTCCATTTTCCAATAGGTTGATAATGATTGGAAAGTGAGCATATGCCAAAACCATCTTGAATTTATAACCTGTGGTAACACCTCTAATCATATTTCTAATTTGAGAGGCAACTGAATTAACTTGGCATCTTTATTTTCTATATGATTGCCACATCCTAACACTGACTCTAGATTTGGCAACATTAGTTTTCTTATTCACTTTCTTTTAAACTTAGATGTCCAAAGCAGAATGTCTGAAATTTTTGGATAATTCCCCTCTAGGTCCTAAGAGATAATAAAACATGAGTTAATACCCTTAACTTTAACAACCTTAGATTTCTAAGTGATCTCAATCTTTTCAGGAATTGGAACATGCTCCTCAGTCAGGATGTATTTCATATCTTTTAATTCTTTTAATTAAAAATATTTGAAGTATGAATCCGTATTCTGCTAATTTTGATTGTATTAAGCATATTAATACACTCTTTCCCAATGAATAATCACTTGTAGGCATAGATACTGAAATTGAGAAACTCTAATCAGAGCTAACATAATTATAATCTGAATTATAAGAAGACATACATGAACATGCAGTCATGCAAAATAAAATATGGAGAGATGTTTAAGATGTTGAATAACTATCTTAAGGAATTGTTACAGAAATTCAAGAAATCAAATAAAAAGCAGAAAAGAGTGAAGACTTAGTTTATTCAATGTGCAAAGATATTAAATCATTAGATATTGCAAAAAGAAATCTTACATTTTCTATTGCAGCTCTTAAAAAATTTATTATGATGTTAACAGCAATTGAGAAATTGAAAGAACATTGTAAAGAAAAAAAATATGCAGAAGTAGCTAATCTACTCTCTGCATTTACTGAATTATCATAATATTTTGTTAAATTTTAAAATATTCCATAAATATTAGAAATAAATGGAGAAAAAGAACAATTAATAAAAGACTTGAAGCTATAGTTGATAGATGATTTCATATTATTTTAAAAAGGCACAAATTTAATGTAAATTAAAGATTTATAAGATGCATGTTAAACAGTTGAACATTTGGGTCTGAAATTTAGAGATGAATTAATTCAAAAAGTATGCAAATACATTATATCTCCTTATTAAGAATTATTTTAATAAATAGAAAATAGAAGTTTGGAAACTACAGAAAGAAGGTATGCTTGGATGGCTAGAGTCATTAAAGATTTTGATACTAAAACATAGAATGTATTCCCAGAGTATTGGGCAGTTCATTGTCAGATTTATTATGAATTTTGTGCAGTGACTAGATTGTAAATTACTGATATCTTGGAATCTCTAAAGGATTTAGAAGTTGCTGTATTAATGAAAGCATTACAAGCAACTTTAAAATTTGAATAAAAACTTAATGATGAAATGAAAAAAAGATATGATGAATGGCTTGGGAAAAAGAATATTAATTAATTTGCCATTTCAGAATTACCAAAAATTAAAGGAGCTATTTCTGATAGTTTTGAACCATACTTACGACCATATATAGATAGTGAAGAGAGAGAGTTAATGTAACACATCTAAAATATATTAAACTAAGATAAATTGGATGTTGAAGGTGACTTAAAAATGTTGAATTCTTCTATGAGTATGTTTGCTTACTTTAAATAAATGCTTAAAAGAGCTTCATAATATAGTAGAACATAAGTAATGTTTGATATATAGAAATTAATTAAGAAGGCTTTGAAAAAGTATTCTGATGAAATTATAATGAAAATTAATTAATCCAGAAATAATGAATAACTTTCATAGATCTTTTGTTGTTTTGTTATAAATACTGCAGAATATTGTAAAGAAACTATTCCAGGATTATAAGAGAGTTTGGTTTAACATTTAGATTCTCCTTTTTCTGATTAAGTTGAATTATCAAATGAGGAAGAATATTTCAATTAAATGATGAATAAATCAATTGAAACATTATTAGTTTATGTTGATTCTAAAGTTGATTAATTTTATCAATAGATGTTAAAGATTGACTGGAATGAATTTGAAAATATGGGAGATGCATCTAAATATATTAGAGATACAATTTCCTTTTTGGAAGGACATATTAAAACAATAAAAGATTTATTATCAGAATCTTATTTAATATTTTATTTGAATAAACTTGTTGTATATCTAAATAATAAGTTTATAAATTCTGTTTTTAGAATTAAAAAAATAAGTGAAGTATTTAATTATTAATATTATAATTTTAGATTGGATTATCATAATTAATGTTAGATGTTTCAGAATTAAAGACAAATTTAGTTAGAATTTCAAAATTGAAGTAAGAATCAAAATCATAATAATCATTCAATAATTTTGTATAGAAGACTTTATCAAGGAGTGATTCTATTTTAAAATTGATTTAAATGAGTATTGAAAAATTTGTAGAGAATTTTCCTGATTATGCTAAAAAATATGAATCTGCTCCTACTGATTTAGATAAGATTTTAGGACTTAAATAATTAAGAAGATAAGATGTTCCATAATTAAATAAGTTTTTCACAAAGATTAATTGATTTATTATAATAATTATAATGTTAAATAATCGAGATGAATTATAAATTTTGAGATCTACAAAAATTTTAAATAAATTTGAAAAAAGTACTAATAATTAGATTGAACTAAGAATTCTTATAATTAAGTATGAAAGTTAGTAAAATAAATGAATATAGAAATACACATACAAGTTATTTTGAGTTAACCAATAAAAAAATTATGTTATTAAATAAATAAAGTAACAATGATATAATTTAGAAGCAATTAGAAAGAAAGTATGATTTTCATTAATAATTGGATTAACTATTTCTTCCAAGAGTTTTGAATTTATTTTGCATTAAAAAAATGAATATGATGATGATGATCTCAGATTATAAACTGAAAGGATATCAAGGTTAATAGAATTTATTGTTAAGACATATGCAATTGAATTTCATATTCCTTTGGCTTCATATTAAGTTCTAGATTTAAATTTGAAGAAATATGTAGTATATAAATAGGATAGATTTAAAAACATAAGTAAATTGCCTAAAGTTAAAGCAAATTTTTAATTATAAACCAATTTTGAGCAAGTTTATAAATAAGATATAGAATCAAAATTATTATTTGGTTAATTCTTATTATAATAAAAGGATTTTGAATAGAAAAAGATTTTGTGTGAAGGAAGTAAATCATAAATTGTATAAATAATGAATACTAAAATTCATACTTATCACATTATGAATAGTATTAATGAAGTTGGTTAAATCTAAATAAATTTGTTACCTTTGAAAAATATGCAAAATAATTGATAAATGTAATCTTTTCATCCATGTAGTCAAAGAAATTATATAAGAATTTTTATAGTCTATAGCTTTAGAATATTGTTTTGAGACAGTTGATAAATATTATTTCATAATACCATATGCTAGATGTGATTTGTTCAAGAAATTGGATGAATTGAAGAAATTTGAGTAAAAATAGATATTTTTAATTGTCTAATAATTGGTTATGGTTTTAGGAGACTTGAATAATAAATAGATAATTCATGGTGATTACTACTAAGGGAAAAGAAAATATATTTACTAATTTTACTTATAATCAAGAGGAGGATTAATTTATAAATAAATATAGGAGGATGATTTATTAATATATATAATTATAGTTGAAAATATAACTAAGAGTATTTGAAATTGAATTATAATTTATTTGAATTATATTGAGATTAAGTTAATAATCTCTTTTTAATTATTATTGATCAATAAATATAACAATATAATCAGATTATCATTCCAGGTATTCCATCAATTGAAGATAATGATGATTCAGTATGCGATATAAAAGATCTAAAAGAGTTATTCGCACTTTAGTTGAGATTGCTTTAATTTTTTTGATGGTTTTATTAATTGAATATTATATCTGCTGGATATCTGACCATTTTAGTAGACTATTTAATAATAGAGGATGGAGTATTTGATTCTTTTTTAGGTTTTATGATAGTTCTTTTCTGCAATTATTGAAGCAGATTTGAAGTCATTTTAGAAACATCTCTTTTTGGTGTTAAATAATGTTCATTATCATTATAAACAGGTAAATCCAATTATTTAAAATTGAGGTTATGATCACTTTCAAATGTTAAACATTAATTAGATTTAATAGGATTTGATGGAATCTTTCTAGTTAAATTTTCTTTACTTTATTCTTCTTCTTCATCTACTCTTGAAAATATATCAATATCTCTAATATAATAAATAAATTAAATTACTATATTTCTTATCCAAATGAAGAATTATCTGAAAAATCTTCTTATTCTAATTTAGATCTTTTAATTAATTATTTTGTATAATTTTACCAAGCTTTAAAAATAACTAATATTGAAAGATAATCACTTGCTATACTAAAATTACTATTAAATTCAACATATGTAGCAATAAATGATCTCTTTTATAATTTGTCTCTTCTAAAATAAAAAAGTCTCATTTGCATCTCCTTATTAAATTTTTTAATTATTTTAATTGAATCTTCAGATCCTTATTTAAAAACTTACTATTTAAAAGTTCTTCTAAATATTTCATATATTAAAGAATTAAATTAAATATAGCCTCTATCATCAGTTCTAATTTTTAAGTATCCAGCCAAACGTGCTGCATCCCAAATATTATCTTTAACATGTGTGAATGGTTAACCAATTTCTAAAAGAAATTTACAAATCTATAAATAATGCATAGCTTTTCCATGTCTTTGGTATGAGTATTTACACCAAACAGTTTTTATTTTATCAATTGATTCGATATATACTTAAAGTATTGAATTTTCTGATTAAAAGAATTTCTCAAATTATTCAATCAATCCCAAAACAAATAAATTTAATAATACATAATTAGAAATGAAAACAAAGGAAATGAAGTAAATTTATGCAAATTATGATCCACAATATCGAGGATCATCATAACAGTAAATATTATGAATCATTGTATCAGCCATTATATTTCTAAAATTATCACAAGATCCACACTTTAATAAGGTCAAAAGAGAACTTGTAAAAGTTGAAAAATTAATCTAAGAATCTATTATAATTCCTTTATCAATATGTCCAAATAATTAACATCCTAATAAAGCATAAGACAATGTTGTTACTACCAAAATAAATAATATCTTTCCCAAAAATGGAAATGAGAATATCATTACTCTAATTAATCTTTAGAGATCATCAAATCCCTTAAATAATATTAAGATTCTAAGATTCCTTAAAGCAAATAATAATCTAATAATCTGATAATTCTCAGTAAACATTGTAGATGTAAATTAAATTCTAAATAAATCATATTTTTGTGTTGCAATCAATTCAAATATTGAAATTATAACTATCAATGAATAGAATTTTCTCCATTAATCATCTATAAATCTTTTAAATCCATAATCTAAGAGTTACACTATAACCCAAAATGTAAATAACATTGATATTATCTCATAATACTTATTTAATTCTACTGCCAATTCTACATCCATATCTTAATAAAAAGACATTTAAATTATTGTATCTGGTATTAGTATAAGAAATGAAAGATATTAAAAGTATTAATTATTATTTAATTTTTAAGCTATTCTTCTTATGATATTTCTAGGAGGTTATGAAAATGAAGGTGAATCCCTAAGAATTTTTTATGAAATCTATATGAACTCTTATTAATAGACAGTTAAATCATCATATTCTATTTTCTATTAGCTTGCTTTTAGATTAAGAAACAATAGACCAGTAAATAAACTTAAAAAAAACATGGAACCTATGAAACAGAATAGAGTTAAATAAATATATGTAGGCAATTGATTTGCAAATGGAGATGGACCTTAATATGAAGGTCTTGAATTTTCAGCTACTTATAATATTTCACCCCAACCATCAAATGTAGATATCACAAATAATGTAGGCAAGGCAACTGTAATATTATCAAAATTATGTTAATATGTAATCCATCTTCTTCCTTCATCTTCACATTATTATTTATTTATATCAAATTACATTAAATCATCACAGAATCCAAATTTATTCTAATATAATATCATACCATAAACTGCAAACATTGTCCAAATTATTAATAATGTTATTAACACATTACTCATATTATATAAGGCAGCTACTAAAGAATTATACAATTTAACTATTGGTTTAAATGAATACAATAATTTAAATGGTCTTAAATATCTTAAATATAAAAATAAATGTAATATTCTACTTTCTGTATTTATCAATTATAAATAATAACATACTAAATACATTATGTCTGTGATTTACCAAATGTGCTAAATATAATTATTAAATATACTTATATATAAGTTCCTTTCTCATGAAATAATCCTAATGCTATTATTAACATAATTGTCTACACAGTTATCAATAGATTAGTTATCAAAATCAAAGAATCTACAACTACCATATATTAAACATGATAAGTTTATATTGCTATTAAAACAATAAATCCTATATTCAATCCTAATCTGCTCCAATAAAAGATTTCTGATCTAATAGTTTTTACACACAAGATTCTCTATTTATTGAACTTATCAAAACAAAATAAGGATTCCTTACATTTAATTCCTAAGTAAATCTTTCTTCTCTTTGTTTTTATCTATTTCACTAATTATTCTATATATTTATATTTATCAATATGTTACATATAGATTCTAAAAGATACCAATATTGAGTATCCTTTTAAACTTATTGGTTTTAAGATAATTATTTAAGTGATTTTGTTGCTTTTTCCTTTTCCTTTTCATTCTCTTCAGCATCTGAATCTGAATCATGTTTATCAGAAACTTCATCTTTAAACTTTATATCTTAATCTTTCTTTATCTCTACCAAATATTCTCCAAAACCATCCAATAATATAGCCATCACTAAACCATAAGTTATATAATTTAAAAAATGAATCATTGAAAATGAATAGATAAATGCAAATATTTAATTTACTTATGTTCCTAATGCTAACACACCATACCAATCATCATTTGTCATAATATTAAACACAGTCATCCAAGATTTTAAAGGATCTTTATATGAATGTAAATGTCCAAGTAATGTTGTTTCATCAAAGCTACTTGCATAAACAGCCATACCCAATAAACCATATATAAGTATCATTAAAAACATTAAAAATGTCAAATAGATATATTATTTAAATGTTCTTTTTGCTATCAAACCTATTAGTACTGCCATTCTTATATATTTTAAACATCTATGAAATAAGAGAATCTTTGTGCCTCTTAATAATCTTGCAATAATGTCTTATTAGTTAAGAATCTATCTAAATGACATTTCACTAAAATTAATGATAATGATTATAGATTCAAAAATAAGTTAGTCTTTTTAAATTAATCTTGCTATAATAATCATAAACATAATTAATACATGTTTAAAAAGATATTAACTTTAATACAAGTTCAAGTGAAACTACTATTGTTGTAAAATCTTCTATTACTGATAGAAATTGATTAGATATAATGCCTATCAAACTTAAACATAAAAAATTTATTAAAATTACACAATCCACAAAGAAATTTGTAAATTTATTTGTAATAATCATAAATGTTATCTTCCTAATAATTATAATTTTCCCTCTTATTCCTACTAACCAAATTAAATAGTCTATATGATTTAACGAATTTTTAATAATATTTTTATGTTCATAATTATTAATAACACTAGAAATAGAACAGTTTTTAGATTCAATAATTCCAGTCTGCATTTCTGACATTCTTATTTATAAATATTTCTCTTCATAATCTTTTATCTCATCTGCATTTCTAATTTATATTTTCTTGTTGATTAATTCTGATACTGCTTTGTAATTATGATAAAATCCATATATTTTAACATAGATTTCTTTTTCTTTATGTAAAATAAATGTATTAATATTCTTCTTGATTTAAGTTGAAATAAATAAATTATTATTAGGATGGATGGACATTGTTTATTATTAAGTAGCCTTAGATTAATGATGTTGAATATCCATTAAAGTAATTCCACTAGAAGCAAATGATGCTATTTTATCTTTTAATCTTGTACTCTTAAATATTGGAAATGCTTTGAATTCTTTTTAGTTTCTCATTTTATTCTTTGGTTTTGTATGATATCTAAATTACAGAACTCTCTATTAAACTATCATCTTTTAACTGGTTTCTGATTTAAAATACATAACATCAGATGTACTATTTGAAACATATTCTACATTTTTAGCATGTGCCCAATATCTTGTAAATTCATTATGAGTTAAACACTACATATTGATATCAGGTTTCTCCATCAAATTATCATATAAATCCTAAAGCAAATTCTAATATTTTCTAATATCCAAGAATTTAGGTAGTAATAAAGTCTTTAATGAAAATTACTTCAAAAATTAATATTTATTTTCATATTTAGAATAGTGTTTTCCTGATAGTATACGAGGCTATTCAGATATACTAGAGACCATTGAACAAAAACTTTTATTTAATAATTAATGATCTCCTTTCAAATACATTTTATATTATAAAATAGGATGATACAATCCATTTTATTTAAGAATTTATAAATTTAATTTCTCCTCTTTTTGATGTTAATCATCTTCTTCAAATTGATTAAATTTTTAATTAGTTTATTAACTATAATGAATTTTTAAGACAGCAATAACTAAATTAAATCCAAAAAATCCACCAAAAAAGATTATCAATAAATAATAAACCCATATATAAGTACCATAACTTTTAAGAGTAAAATACATGACCCATGTCCAATCATCCATTGTAATTGTTCTTAATACTTAAGCATAAGATGAAAAAATATTATTAAAAGATGTTGGGATATTAGGTCCTGATGAGACATATTGACAAACTAAATCATCAGGACAAGATGTTATTCTACATGAAATCCATGGTTATTCATCTAAAGAATCATATTATTTAGGTAGACATCTATAATTTATAAGACCATGAAAAAGACTCTATCCAAGGGTTGCAAAAAATAGTCCAAAAATAATCACAATTATTAAAGCTTCGAACAAGTATTTAAATGATTTACCAAGAGATTTTAACATAATTTTTAATCCTAATTTGTAAATATAAATACCTGGCACAAAATCTCCCAAATACAAAAGTAATGTAATTAATCTCAATGGCGAGAAATCAACAGATTCTATATTACGAATTAAGGTAGTATTAATTTATAAGACTGTTAAAATTAGGTCAAACCAATTTTTAACAACTCTAAAATAGGCATGTTTATGTCCTATTATTCCTTTTGAGAGTATTCGAAATACTTAATCAGCAATGTATATGTATATTACCACTAATTTCTATAAAAATTATTATACTTATTTCATAAACTAAGAACTTATCATCATCTAAGGATAAGATTTTAGATACAAAAATCACCAAATTTTCTAATATTATAATTGACATAAATATTTTATAAAATATGGTTCTTTGCATGTGATTTAAAATTATGAGTATTCCATAAATAAATTTGACTATGATTTTTCTAAGTTCCAAAAAACTATAATTATCTTGATAAATCTATTTAAATAACAAATTACATTCAATTCATATTTCAACCTTTGATATCCATATATTTTATATAAATCAACTAAATAAATTTATTCAATTTTTTGCTTAATTTTTTCATACTTTTTATTCATCTTATAGAATTAATTATCACTATTATTAATAGTCTTTTCAGTTCTGCATTTCATCTTCTCTTATGCAAACTTGTATTTTTGCTTCTATACTTTTTCATTTATTTATTAAATTATCTAAACTCATACTATTAAATACCTATTTAGTGCTGTCCTACTTAACTTTATCAGATTTGGCTCCAAATGTCATTTTAACAGAAGAAATATCCTTTCTTGATAAATTATCATTATCAAATCTGCTGCCAAATACATTTTCTTCATTCCTTAATATAATATTTGTTTTAGTTTTTTTTGCCTTCCTTGCTTTAGGTGTACCACTTCCATAAGTGTTAAAGCTTTAACTTTTTAATTGCTTATTCAATTTCATATTTTCAAATTTATCTACTCCTAGTCTGCTCTTGAAATGAGCAGTTCCTTAAATGGATGTTTAACTACGTAATTAGATTGAAATTACTTTGAGAATGTTATACGCTCCAAATCTTCATTATTCATATAATATAAATAGTGAAAAATTATTATGTTCCAAAGTATTTTAGAAAATGCATTAGAAATCTTATAATTATTATATTTTTGATATATTACATAAGTTTCATAAAATATGTTAATTGCTTTCAACAAAATATTTAATTTTAAATGATGGTTTATAGAGAGTAGAGGTTGAAAAATTAGTTAGTAGATTGATATGCATTCAAATAGAATTAATGATTTATTTAGAATAAAATATATTCAAAAGGATTACTTAAAATAAATAAATGATTATCATTCATCCAACTCAATTTGTTTATTGACTTTGATGAAATAGGGGAAATCTCTATTCTCACTCTACAATGATGTGTCATAACTACCCTTATATATGGGTAAATCATTATATCTATTAATCTAACTGTTAATCGATACACTATGTCTACTTGCAGATGCATTACTGCTAATTTCATTTTCTATCTCACTTTCACAATTATTTTATAGTATATGATTCTAGCTTTGCTGATAACTTAAAATAGTAGAGATATTTGATACTCATTTTATATTATGCCTGGGATTGATACACTTTAATCAGTAAAATAATCTTGGTCTTAATTCACTTTTTCAATTAGTTATTTGCTGAATTATTCCCATGTTTTAAATAAGATTAAAACATTTAAATAATCATGAAGAAGATTGATATTAGGCTGAATCGTAGCTGAAGGACTAATATTGGAACGAGGTAGATTTTTATTTTTTCTGTAATACATTAATCTAAATTATGATTCTTTATTAAATTTCTTTATTTGTGTAATAGAGTCTTAGCTTCCTGATTTAAATACTTCATTATAAAAGCATCTCCTAAACAATTCATACATGAGGAAATTATATTAAATGTATCCATGGATGTCACTAAGTTTAATGTTATATAATACCTTTATAATTTCAGTTAAGACGATAATTTACAAGCATCCCATAAATTAGAATCTTTATCTACTCCTAAAGGTTATCCAATATCAATTAAAAATTTACATAGGAATTTAAAATGCATAGACATACCTTAAGTTTCTTATGAATACTTACACCATGTATTCTTTATTTTATCAATGTTCTCAACATAAGTTTGAATTTATGAGTTTTACATTTAAAAAAACTATTCAAATTATTCTATTAATCCTAAGACAAATAAATTTAATAGAACATAATTAGACAATAACATAAAAAGAATAAAAAATAATTAATTAGCAGCAGATCCACAATATTTATCATCTTCTTGACATAATGGATTATGTTACATAGTATCAGTCATTATTGTTCTCCAATCATCACCTGAAGCACATTTAAATAAAGCTAACATGGCATTCCCAAAATTAGTAAAGTTAATGATATCATCCATAACTTATCCTGAATCTATCCTTCCATAAAGTTAACAACCAAACAAAGCAAAAATGACCATTGTAATAATAAGTATTGTAAATATCTTCACCAAATAAGGCATTGCAAATACCATTACTCTAAGCAATCTTTAGATATTGATTAAACCTTGAAATATTAAGATAATTCTTAAACTTCTTAGACTAAAAAACAATCTTAATAATTGATAATATTAATCTCCAGGATGTGATTTGAAATAAAGATGAGTCCAATTTGTAATAGAATTAGCAATAAGATCTACTAATCCAATTAAAACTAATAATAGATAGAATCTTCTCCAATAATTATCAAAATATCTATTAACACCCAAAGCCAAAAATAATAATATTACCCATATTAAATATAAAATAGTAAGTGAATTATGCATAGAATTAGCAATATCAAAATAGTTGTCACTCATTTCAGAATTAAATAACAATAAAATTATTAAATCTAATATTAAACAACCATAAATAAAATATTAGATATGTATATTGTTTACAACCTTACTTGAAATCTTTCTAACTTTACTCTTTGGAGGTGCTGAATATAATGGAAAATCTGACATTAAGATATTAGTAATTTTCATAAATTCTCTTTAAACTTAAGTATATTGACTATTTTCCATTTTAAATTAATTTTCTTTCAAACTATTGAATAGAATTCCAGTAAATAAACTCAAAAAAAACATTGATCCAATGAAACAAAAGATTATCAAATATAAGTATGTATACAAATAGCTATTAAATGGAATTGGTCCAGTATCTTAAGTTTAACTATTTTCAGCTACTTATAAGATTTCTCCCCATCCATCAAAAGTTGATACAGTGAATAAAGTTGGAATTGCTACTGTGATATTATCAAAATTATGTTTATAATTCACCCATGTTTTATTTGATTAAATGCAATCATTATATGATACATAAAAAGACATTTTATCTTCACAATATCCAAATTATTTTTCATATAATATTATACCATAAACACCAAATATTAACCAAACAGAAACAAGAGTAACAAATACATTTAATATATCCAACAAAGCTTAACCTAATGCTGCTCTTAATTATGATAACCATGTAATTCTATACATTAATTTCATGGGTCGAAAGTATCCCATAAATAATAAAATTTTTATAATTTGATTATTGAATTAATATTGTATAAGATTTGCTATTATATAAATTACATCTATAATTTGCCAAGTGTTTGTTAAAAATGAGCCTGGATCTAAAAATAAGCCTTTAGCAATTACATTTAAAATAAAATCAGTCAAAATAATAATATTAGCAATAAATTATAATTTATCTGGCAAATCTGATGAATTTGTTTCAAAATCATTATATGTCTTGATAATAAATATTATAATAGAACTGTATATCACAAAATCTATGAAATATTGATAATAGATTTTAATAACAACCTTAGTAATTATTATTCTTAATATATTGGATTTATCAAATAGATAAAGTGACTATTAACATTCTATACCTTAATATATAGACTAATGCTTTTGTTAAATACTTTTATATGATGATTTTATTGATACTAGTAAATGAGATATCAAACTTATTTTCTGGGTTTTGGATTATAATTAATTAATATTAGCAATTGTTTCATCATATGTAATTTCATGTTATTCAGAATTTGCACTTATTTATTGAGTTTACAATTCTTCTTTCTCCATTATTTCTTCCTCTTAATTCCCTAAATATTTCCCAAATCCATCCAATAATATTGCTAAAACTAATCCATATGTACAATAATTTAATATAATAACCATAGAATATGAATATATAACTGAAAATGTATAACTTATTTCTCCTCCCATAACATATACTCCATACCAATCATCATTTGTCATAATATTAAAAATTGTCATAAATGATTTTACAATATTATCAAATGAATGTAATTATCCCAAAGTTTCTAATTAATTAAATTAACCTGCATACATTTCCATTCCTATTAATGCATACATAAAAATCACCATTAACATCAAAACTGTCAAATATATATAAGACTCAAATGTTTTTGATGCTATTTATCCTATTTTACTTGCCATTTTATTATATCTTAAACATCTATAAAATAAAAGACATTTTGTTCCTCGAATCAATTTTTAACTTTATAGATTTGAATTTGTTATTTGATCTCCTAGAGTTAACTCAATAAAATTCAAAATAATTATGAATAACTATAAAATTTAACTTGGATAATTGAGCAATTCTCTACATGGATAAGAGAATAATTTAAATGATTACTCTAAACATAATAGAATAGTTGTGATATCTTCTATTTATGATATCAATTCAGGATTTGCTATACCTTATAATGATAAAAAAGTAAAATTGAATAAAATTATCAAATCAAAAAAGAATTAACTAAATCTACTACTTATTAAAATATAACAATATTTTCTTGCAGTAGTAATCTTACCTTTTAATCCAGTCAACCAAATTTGATGATCTTAATAATTCAATTTCTATTTTATTTCATTAAATTCATTTGCCCTCAAAATATCTAACAATAATACATCACTCCCAGACCAATTCTTCTTTTCTATTAATCTTTTCTTCAATTCCTTTTTTCTTAATAATCGATATTTAAATTCATTTGAAGTTGAATTATCAATCATTATTGGTATTTTTAGATTGATTTTTTCGCATACTGCTTCATAATCGATATATTATTCTTATATCATAACATAAATCTTCCTCTTACTAACTACTGAAAAAGGAAAACTGCTTTAGGTTTAACAATGTTTAAAGTTATTCATCTTCACTTAAATAGAAGCCTCTCTATCGATATTATGATGTTTTTTAGTAATCTCATCATTAGTCTGATCGATTTAAGATGTTTTTATCTTTCTTCGAACTTATTTCATTGGAATTAATGCCTTCGATGAAGTCATGGTTTATTTTGGTTTGACCTTTACTAGTGAATATACTTGTTTAAGTTTAATTTATCTGCATTATTTAATCAATTAGTTTTAGTCAACAATTTTCTTATGTTTTTCTTTTTCACTTAAATGAAATATGAAATTTACATGAAAGCTAATAAAACATCATCTCCACTACTAAAAGATTGATAAATATCATAATTAGGATATGGAGAGAGTTATGAGAATTGATTCTCTAATAATCTTGAGATTAATTTCATTTCTAATTGATCATCTGTATAATTAGACACCTTAATCATTTGCTTGAATTTATCTAAATATTTAAATCTAGGCAATAATAAATATTTCAAACTAAATTAATCTAAATAAGCTTAAAATCCTTTTTGATTTCTATTCTTAAATAATAATTAATAATAATACTTTCTCATTAGTCTTCTATCTACCAGATAATGTCCTTACTTTTGTTTTAACATTTTCAAAACTCAATTCTTCAATTGGATGAGATTATGATTAATAAAGTGGATTAGTCAATTATTTTTTATAACTCAAGTAAGCCTTATATATTCCAATATGTTTTAAAACAGCTACATCAAAGATCTATATCAAATCTCTCTCTGGATTTTCCTACTTCTCTTTTAATCTTGCCATAATTTATTAATTGATCTCTTCTTATACAGTTTCTTAAGCAACTTCTGCATAATGAGTTTTCAAAACAGCAATAACTAAATTGAATCCAAAAAATCCACCCACAAAAATGATCAATAAATAATATATCCATATCCATGGATTAAATATTCTCATTGTAAAAAACATTACCCAACTCCAATCATCCATTGTTATAGTTCTCAAAATCTGTCCTAATGAATAAATGATATTATTAAATGAAGTTGGTGGTTTTGGTGTGTAATCAGAATATTAACAACTCATACCATCTGGACATAAATTTTCATTACATTAAATCCAACCTTCTGTTTCATCTCCATTCTCATATTAACATCTATAATTAAACAAATTCTAAAAGAGTAAAACTCCAAAGACACCAAAAAATAATGAAAATAAACCCACTATTATCAAGGCTTCTAAGAGAAATTTTAATGATGATATTAAAGCTTTTAGCATAATTGATAGACCTTTTAATACATCTCCTAAGTAATTTAATAAGGTGATCATTCTTAATGGAGATAGATCTAGAATCATTACATCAGGTCTATATAAATTTAAGGTTGTAAGAACAACTAATGTAAAATCGTATATATTTAATGGACTTCTAAAAAAGCTTTTTCTATTTAAAATTACGCCTGAGGCAATGATTCTAAAGCTTACCTCAATTAAAAAGAACACTGTTATGACTTGTTCTATTTGATCTGTATCTTTTCTATTGTTTGTCTTTACATATATAAACAATGCAACATTGAAAATGATTAATGTTGTCATAAATAATTTAAAATAAATCGATTTTACTAATCCATTTATTATTATAGGAAATATGTAACATAAAAATACTATCCTCTTTCTCATTTATAAAAATCTGTTTTTGTCATGATAACGCTAATTAAGTTTGAACACATACTGTTAATTCGAATTTAAGTCTTTCATATCCTCTTAATATTTTTAATTAAACATAATATGGATCTTGCAAAGGATTTCTTTGCATTTACTTTTAATATTTTTTTATAATCTTTTACAATTAGACTTCTCCTTCATTTATATTTTATTAATAATTCATCCCTTCCATTTAAATTGAACTTTTATGCTGATCGATATCATTTTTACTTAATCTTAAACTATTATTTGACTTCTTAAAAGAAGAACCCTCATCACTTTTATTATATTTATCAACTACATGAACCGAAAGGATGGAATCTTCTGATATATTTTCACTACTTAAGTAGAATGAATCATCACTTTACTCGGATCCCCTTAATTTTATTAATATTCATAATCTACTTATCATCAAAAATATTGGATGGATGTGAAGAATTCTTGAATGCATAAGTCTATAAAGAAAACTTCAACTTATTTGAATCCTTTAAGAAATCAGCTCTCTCTTTCTTCCCTTTTACAACTTTATAATTATTGCTACAAAAATACCATGATAGATTTAGGCTAAAGATAACGAACGATTAGCTAATTCAGATGTTAGCGTTACCCTTTTGGATGATATTTTTGTACTTGCCCTCATTTGATATTAAAAAAAAAGGAACAAATAAATTACAAATTTATTTAGCAACTAAATTCATATAAAATATAGCAATAATAATAATCATAATAAAGTAAGTTATTCAAAACTATTTCTTTTTTTGCTAGTCATTCAAGAACTAATCTAATTACCTTTCTTTCAATAACTATTTTTCAAAATTAGAATCACTAACTAAAATTGATTCATTTTCATCCAAAGAATCTATTGTAATTGATTCAATTGTTTAACTAGATAAAATTTTTGCTCTAGAATTATATTTCATACACACATTCTTTTAATCTGAAAATACTGTAAATTCTTAATCATTTGATTTCTACAAATTAAATAGTGTTAGATTATGTTTTTCTGTGAATATTTTTATAATTTAGTTTGTCTTTTTTATCAAACATTTCTCCTTTCTTATAATATCATCTATTTGTATTTTTGAGTAATCCTATTACTTTTTGGTTTCATTGTAGGTATCAATATCAGTCTCATCAAATTCTTTATTTCTAAATAACAGTTTATTTTTAAAGCAAGTTTGCGCCTTTTTTTAAATATATGAAGAAATTACATCTTGTTTCAATTTGTAGAATTATTTCCCTAGTTATTTCAATAGAATATATTGGTTTTATAGATCAGATTAAAATTTAGACAGAGAATAATGAATTCCATCAAATAATGAAGAATTGTATTATTTGGATAATAAGATTGTTTCATTGAGAAACTATTTCAAAGCCTTACTTTCTAGTTTAATAAGTTATTTAAATAACTTTAAATTCTTTTTTTCTTTACTAAAATTGTCAAGTAGAGGAATCATTAATAAAATAAAAAAATATTCATTTAAAAATGAATGGAAATAAGAGTATTTCAAGAAATAATGAAATATTATCCTAAATTTTATAAAAAGAAGCAAGAATGAATAGATCATGCAATAATAGATTACCATCTTTATATTAATCTGCACGCACTCAAAAAAATCACATCATGACAAATTAACCATATAAATAATTTAGATTAACTAGATATAAAAATGAATCAAAAATATTTGGAATGTAGATATTAGACATTAAGAAGAAATAGTTAACTTCTACAACTTTACATACACTTGAAGAAACCTTATGAATAATTATAACTAACTTAAAATCACAATAATTTGATTTAACAATATACTCAAATCATTTATATCTAGCCTTTAATTCTTTTCTCTCTGTTTCGTTTACTACATTTTTGTCTATTGTCTTAGTATGCAATATTTACCAGTGACCATGTCTAATATATCATCTAAATTGGCTAAATCATCTGGCAAAAATGGAACCAAAGATGCATCAAAATTTAAATTATCACTTCTTTTTTCTAACATCTTTTTATAATCATAATCTTTTTTTTATTCCAACATAATTTGTACTATTTGAACAAAAAGTCTTAATTTATTTAAATTATTACGTAACATGACCTAAATCAGCCATTTTAACTACTTCAGATCTAAAAAAGTTTGGTCCAAATACAACAGCCATATTATAAGTAGTCATTAAATTATGTTCTTATTCTTTAATGACTGAATATAGAAATCCTAAAGAGAATAGTAATATTTCTCTATTCATTTCTGGCATGTAATCAAAAAGCATTTACACACTTACTTCCAAATTTTATTCAATTTATGGTTTATTTTAAACAACCCAATCATATAATTAATAAGTCATTAAAGGTTCTCTCAATTTTAAGAAAAACTGTTTAAAAACACATGCAATTGTATGTGCATTTTCAACTTTATTTACAAATCCTACTTTTTAACAAGCTAATGCTGCCTCAACTACTTTTTCTTCATAAACAGCAGCCTATTTTCTAAATAATCCTTCTGTTTTAAGTTTTTCTGGTTATTTTTCAAAATATTAAACAAGCATATCTAGAATGACTGGAATACCATATTTATTTCTCTCATATTCATGTAAATTCAATCCTAAAATTTTAGAATCCTTATCAAAATTATCATCTGAATCTATATCATCATCTCCAACTGCTTATTAGGTTTGTTGTTTTCTGAGAACAGTTTTTTTTCTTTAATTTTCAATATCTTTATAAGATTAATCCTATGCCTTAACACTTTCTGGTAATGCAGCTAACATTTTATATCTAAACCATTCTTCTTTAGATAGGATAAGAAGTCTAGATATTAATATGGAATTATACGTATCAGCAAATGTAGTGATTTTCTTAAAAAATTATTTGATTTCATTCATTCCAAAAATACCTCCACCTTTGACTATAAAATTTGCATGAAGGACAATAAATTTCTTCATATGAAAAAAGTATTTTTCAGGTAAAGTACCATAAAAATCTTTGAAATCATTAAGTGTTGATGCAGTCATCATATTAGTATTAAAAAAGACAATAATAAAAAATTTGTCAATTCTTGGATGCATTGTTTCTATAATATCAATTTTAAAGGAGTCATAATCTTACTTTCTACTTGGATCTGGAATGTGCTCTCCATAAATGAAATAAACTTGTAAATCATCATTTTCATTGCCTGATTAATTAAATGAGATAAAATCATACTCATTAATTTGATTGCTGGTTTTTTGGTGTAAGTTTCAGATTTTTTGAAATAATGAGCTACTTGGAGTTAAATCTCATAATTCTTTTAGTTTTACAACATCTGATCCTTTAATGGATTGATTTTTATTTTTTATTTCAGGAAAGCCTCAGCATCATTAAGTGATTAATCCATAAAAAAATATATATTATGAGTTTTAATGAATAGAATAGTGTTTAATTATAAAAATAAAAATAAAAATGAAAACTTACGAGATTATCATTACAACAGGGAATTGCTTATCATTATGTGGAGCCTTAGTGATATTTTTCTTATTTTTTCATTTTGAAAAATTACGTCAAGGATTTTTCTCACATACGATTATTTATATTACGATAGGATCATTGATTCAAATTATAGGTATTCAATTATCATCCAGTTATGGAATTACGAATTGCAAAGTATCAGTAAGTGTTTTAATTTGTGGTTCATTGATAATGATATTTTGGAGTACTATAATGATTTGGGCATTAAAGTAGAATTCATATTCTATACTAGAAAACTATTTAATGTATATTCAAATAAGGGAACTCTATAAGAATTAGAAAGCATGCATAATTAATTGAGAAACAATGAATTTAAACTGATAATATGTTCTTTTGGGATACCAATCCTCCTAGCTATATGGCCAGCAGTCTTGGATGGAGCTACATCTGAATAGTCGACAAATAATTTTTGTTATCTTTATACAACTTCTTATCAATCTCCTGGAGTAAAGATCTAAGTTGAAATTGCTAAGTTAATATCATGGGAAATCCCAATTATATTTTATCTCATCTACAGTTTAACTGTTCTTTATAATATTAAGAAATTGTAAAGCATTCCATAAAATAATAATCTAGTTATGAAGAAAATATTGATGAAATTATTTTTGTTGAAGTCAAAAAAATAGTTAAACGATTACTAGCTTATCCAATTATCACAATCCTTTGTTCTCTTCTATTCACTATTATGGACTTAGAAACTTTCTTTAATGTTGAAGTATATAAACTTCTATTCTAAGATAAGAGGAATATAAAGTACAATAAGTTGGACTATGCTATCCTTATGGGAATTCTTTAATTTCTTTGCTTATATCTCATAAAGTAGTGTCCAAGAGGAAGTTTTCAGAAGAGATTCTAAAGAATAAGAATGTATTTTAGATGAACAATCTTAGTTTAGTGAATCCCTTGATCCCATAAGATCTAGAAGAAAGTATAAACGAAAGAGACTACTTTTATTAAATTAACTCTAATATGCAAGAATCTGGCTAATAAAATAATTGATTATAATAATATAAAAAATGAGTGTTCGAAGAGTATAATCAGCAGTAGCCTCTAGTAAGTAGACCACAGCAGTGATTCCTCTGTCTGAGTTGAAGAGAATGCAAGACCATATAACAGTATATCATTAAGATACTCCAGAGAAATTTGAATTGTATTAATAACTGTTCATAAAAGACATAAATTATCATAGGATCGTGTAAAGAATTGGAATAATACATTAAAATAGAATAAGGTTTAGAAGGATAGAACAAAGTATTCAATTACTAAATTTCATTTTAGATTTGAACGTTTCAAGTAAGATGAAGAAGAAAGGAGAAAAATAGATGAAGATGAGCGTCGATATTAAGCACTTGTTAAATAACAAATTTTAGAAAAAGCTAATAAATAAATTTATGAGAATAATGAACGTATTAGACAGTTTCAATCTAAAATGCTTGTTGTAGATGCAATTTAAGAAAGAGAAGGATAAAAATAAATTAAAGAAATGTAGAAACATTTAGAAAAAGAAAGAGAAAAAGTCTAATATGAATAAATGTTAGAAATATAGGCTGAAAAAGATTTATTAGAAAAAAAGAAATAATAAGAATTATTAGAGAAAAAAAAATAATAACATGATATGTTAAAGAAATAGCATGAAATTATGAGAGTATTATGTGTTAATTTTAGAATAGGATAAATTTATTAAATAAGTACAAGAAGAAAAAATAGAAGGCGAATTAATGAAAGCTAAAGTATAGGCAGATTTGGAAGAAGAACAAAGGATTGCTAAATAAAAGAAAGATAAAATCATGGAAAATTAATAATTATTAATTTAGGGAAATGAAATTTTGAAAAAACAAAGAGAATTTGAAAAATAAAAATTATTAGAAGAAGAAAAAAAAATTGAAGAACATGCTAAAAAGAAAGAAAGAGTTTTAGAAATTAGAAAAATTAGAGATGAATAAAGAAAAGCAGAAAAATAAGCATAAAGATAAAAATTAATTGATGCTTAAACTGAAAAATTAAAAAAATAAAAAGAAGAATAAGAAAAATTATTAAATAAAAATATAATAGAAGCTGAAATTAAAGCAGAAGAAGTTGAAAAAATGAAAAAAGAGTAGAGACGTAAATTATAAAGTGCAATAAGTTATAGTCATAAAGTTAAAATGGAAGTTAAATAATAATAAGAAGAAGAAGAAAAAAGATTAAATTAGGAATTCTAATAATATTGGATTAATAGAAATAAAGAATTACAAGAATAAGAATTAAGAGAAAAAATGGAAATTAAAAAAAAAAATTAAGAATTAAAAGATTTTCATCATTAATAAGAAAATGAAAGAAATCAAAAAAGAACTTAAGAAATTATGAAAAATTTCGATGAAAGAGATAAATGTTTAGCAAGACTAGATAATCAAGATAAAGAATTTGATGAATGGGCAGCCCAAATTGTTAAGAGATATTAAGCAGAAGGCAAAAATACAGATATTTTAATGAAAGAACTTAAGTAATTCAAACATAAGTGATGAATTTGACTAAATTTATTAATTTTTAATATCAATATTATCTTATTTTTACTATATTTCTTATTAAATTACTATATTTACTTATAATCGTAAATACTCATTAAGAAATAATTGAAATTACATTAGGCAAAGACCTAGGAATTTTTTAATCTATTATTTTAACATTTTATTAAAGAACTTCTGATTTATAAGCTCTCCTTACTTAATAGTATGCTTTATAATGTATTTGTTAAATTGGATTAAACAATTAATTGATTTATTAATGTTAAGGAGGATCTAAATTAAAATATTATTCTAAATCTATCATTTATTTTTAAATAAAATTGTTTTAAAATACTCTACTTATTTAACTAAAATTATCTTCATTATTTTATCCACATAAAAATGAGCTAAATTTAGAATCATTTATTTCACTTATGATACTTAATTAAGTTTTAAAGTTAATTAATCCTGAATCAAAAGATTTAATATCTTTTTTGGCTAGTTCAAGATTATAATTCATTTAATTTATTTAATTGTCTAATAATTTTAATATTTGTTCCTTTGAGCAAAAATAAATGATATTTTTTTCTAAATTCACTAAGCAAGGCACTAATTCATCATTTTAAATTTCATCTTAACCCAAATGTCCTACTTAATACTTCACTACAGAAGATCTTTTTAATTGAAATTCTTCTTATTTATCAGAAGTCTAATGTATGGAAGTTCTTCTAAAATCATTTATTTGTTCGCCAGATTTGATTTGGCCTTTTCTCCATTAAATTTTATTTTTTAAAACTTCTATGGCCATTATTTATTATTTATTTAATGTCTGCCCAGTAGGATTTCCAAAAATAGTATCTAAATTTGTTGTTTATCCATTTTGTAGACTTAAATTTATAAATTGATATTCATACTCAACAATCAGATCTTTTTCTCTTTTTATTAAACTATTAAATCTATTCTTAACAGTATTTTCATTTCTCCTACCATCAAATAATTTTGAAATTTCTGCCCATTTTCTACCTTATTGTAAAATTAAATCTAATAAAAATATATCTTCGTCATCATTCCAAGGGTCTCTATGATGAATTAATTATTTACTTAGAAATTTTTGGATTTAAATGATTTAACCACCTTTCTCTACATTATTTACTAGTTCGATAATTTAAAATTTGAGAATTAAGTTCTTCTGAAATTTAACACCATTTTTTACCTTATTCAGAATCTTTGTATTTATGAATTAAATCTAATAATAATTAATCTTCTTATTAAGTGAAAGGTTTTTATTATAAATCAGTTTTTTTTAGTTATAACCATTTTTATTTACAAGATTAAGGGTCTCTTCTGCAAATCAATTCGGAAACATCATCCCAAAAACTATTAGGTAGATCTCTAATATCAAGATCTTGAGATTGACTTAATTTACCTACAACCCATATTAACACTTTCTTTTCGTCAGTAGTCCAATTTTTTTTTCTATTTGAAATTACTTAGTAAACTGAGAATAAATTTTATTAAATGGCTTATATTTCCTCATCTGAAGGAAATGAATTCAAATTAGTATTAAAGAATTCTTGCATATATAAAAATTGCTTGAAAGGCTAATTTTGATTAGAATTATAAAATTCAAGAAATTTTCCATAGCTTTCTGTTTCTTATAAAGATTTATTTCTTTTGGAAATGAGCTTTTCATTTTTTTTGGAAGACAAAGATCGACTTGATTTTTGCATTTTAATATATATTTTTTTTTGAAGTATCGAAGAATAAAATAAAAATTAGGTTGTTTGTAATTTATATATTTTGTGATAAACATCACTAAGATTATCATTATTCTCCTTCTTCTTCGAATTCTCCTTCTTCTTCAGCAGTAGCATCTTGATATTATTGATATTCAGAGACTAAGTCATTCATGTTGGATTCAGCTTCAGTGAATTCCATTTCGTCCATACCTAGATTAGAATATAAATTATTAAATACCTTCACCAGTGTACCAATGTAAGAAAGCCTTTCTTCTAAACAT